TGTGAGGAAGGCTGAATTTGATGGATCGCAAGTCTCTTTTCAGCTATGTAATCCATGTAACAGGGTCGCAAGAAGCTGCAGGAAAACCAAGGCGCAAAATAACTGCCCATGAACTGAGAAAAGTCAAGCTGCAGCCGCCACGCATGCCACTCTGTTGTTCAGTTTGGGCTTCTCATATTTCAGAGCTGCAAATATCACTGGAGTGCCCAAAAGCACAAGGTGTGCAATACTCCGAGACATGGCCAAGGTAAGAAAGGCTGAAAGACGACCACCACTGAACAAGACACACAAGCTGAAACGCCAAGACTGGGCCAAGAAATATCTCAAGACTGATTTTTCTAAGGTTTTATGGACTGATGAAATGAGAGCGAGTCTTGATGGGCCAGATGGATGGGCCCGTGGCTGGATTGGTAAAGGGCAGAGAGCTCCAGTCCGACTCAGACGCCAGCAAGGTGGAGGTGGAGTACTGGTTTGGGCTGGTATCATCAAAGATGAGCCTGTGGGGCCTTTTCGGGTTGAGGATGGAGTCAAGCTCAACTCCCAGTCCTACTGCTAGTTCCTGGAAGACACCTTCTTCAAGCAGTGGTACAGGAAGAAGTCTGCATCCTTCAAGAAAAACATGATTTTCATGCAGGACAATGCTCCATCACACGCGTCCAAGTACTCCACAGCGTGGCTGGCAAGAAAGGGTATAAAAGAAGAAAATCTAATGACATGGCCTCTTTGTTCACCTGATCTGAACCCCATTGAGAACCTGTGGTCCATCATCAAATGTGAGATTTACAAGGAGGGAAAACAGTACAGCTCTCTGAACAGTGTCTGGGAGGCTGTGGTTGCTGCTGCACGCAATGTTGATGGTGAACAGATCAAAACACTGACAGAATCCATGGATGGCAGGCTTTTTGAGTGTCCTTGCAAAGAAAGGTGGCTATATTGGTCACTGATTTGTTTTTGTTTTGTTTTTGAATGTCAGAAATGTATATTTGTGAATGTTGAGATATTATATTGGTTTCACTGGTAATAATAAATAATTGAAATGGGTATATATTTGTTTTTTGTTAAGTTGCCTAATAATTATGCACAGTAATAGTCACCTGCACACATAGATATCCCCCTAACATAGCTATAACTAAAAACAAAATAAAAACTACTTCCAAAAATATTCAGCTTTGATATTAATGAGTTTTTTGGGTTCATTGAGAACATGGTTGTTGTTCAATAATAAAATTAATCCTCAAAAATACAACTTGCCTAATAATTCTGCACTCCCTGTATATTTCCCCCTCAGAGGTCTGCTTGGCTGTAATTTGTACTTATGCGCCTGAAAAGCCTTGCAAAACAAAAACGAGAGTGCAACTAATAACTAGTTTCTAGTTAGTCATTAGAATATGCCAGTTCCTCTTAATGCATTGAAGGGAAAGTTTAGGAACTTCAAGGACATGCATACAACACTGTGATTTACGCTGGTTATATTGTATCTAAGCAAATCAAAGAGGCTGTTTTCTCCATGAGATCATTATAAGACGTTTTGTTCTGCAAACATAATGATCACTTGAGTCAGGCATCCAACGTGTTTTGTTAGTATATTTTTGAAATTAACTATCAGCTAGCCTCATGCATGGTAGAAAAAAAATTATTTTGGATGTACCACCTCTTCCAAAAAATAAAAAAATAATAATATACCTCAGAAAAAAAGCATTTTATTTGCCTCTTCTCTGAAGTGGCCCAAAAATCATTATTTGAAGCCAAAATAAATCCACAAGATTTGACTAGTTTTGACTGAGGAGTAAAGACATGCTCAGTGTAAAGGGTGGGAATAGAAGAGCTGACTAAATGAATAGTCGGAGAAGACATAAAATGTTGCAGCTGGGAAAACTGAAAATGATCGAAGGATGTTAATTCTTTGACACATGGAATATCTGCATACCGTATTTGTTGAGAAATAAATGTTGAGTAAAATGAAAGACAAGACCCCTGTCCTCCAATACATTAAGGCACTTGGGAAACCATGCCTGGAGGGAGAACTAGGGTGTTAGTGGGGAAGGGTAGTTGATAAGGTGGAATTTGCGAGATAACATACCCCATAGCAAAATGGAGTAGATAAGTACCAGTGAGGAATGTATGTGATAGGAATGGGTTGTCAGATAATCCAGAGACAAAAAGGAAGGAAAGTTATCTCCAAAGCTTAATTACTCCATACCCAGCTCTGGATGGGGTGTGTAATTGTTGGGTTTGGACTGACTGTGCTACAGGATAATAATGGAGGAATTGAAGCAATCTCAAAACCTAAAAATAGGGATTTTAGAAATTTGGTCTGTATTTGCTCATTCAATCTATGAACAAGGAGGGTGTCTGTTTAATTGGATTTTTTTCATTAAAAAAGAAAAAGTTGAATCCATCGAAGAGCTTTAGAAATGTCAAAATGCATTTGTGTTTTAAAGGAACATTCCACTGCCCAAATAAAAGAAATAAAAAAAAAACTGTTTAGTAGATACCCAAATAAAAACATGCATGTATTTAATTATACTTTTCTTTTTTTATTGGGGATATATCTGAAAACAACCTGCAAACGCTGCTGATCTCTTATCTGAAGCCTTTGCAAGCCCTCCCCTTCTAACCCCGCCCAGACTTCCCAATGCAGCTCAATGAGAAGTTTTTGCAAGGCAGGTGCTCTGGGCAATTGCTGCCTCTTGAGTTTAGCTATATTGAACTAAGCAACCAGGAAGTAACAGGACAGGTTGTCTGATTGACAGCCAGGGGGTGTAACAAAGTTAATTTATAAAATGCCAGTGTTTATTGCAGAGTACAGTTTGAAGGGGGATGCAGAGACAAAAGTGAGCACTGGAATTCTAAACAACCAGGGATGAACCCATTGCATGTAAACAAATTGGAGAGAGGGACAAATGTATTGGGGGTGGAAATCATAGTATCACAGGGCTCCTTGGCAACAAAATATTACCTGGAGTATTAACTAAAGTGAGAATTGTTGGCAATTCACAGTGAATTCAATATAAATTGCCAAAATAGGTGAATTGAAAAACTTATCCAAGTCATCAATGCTTCCGTTACAGTTATTTTGATGTAAGTGAGTAGTTCATGTTGAATTTACTTTGAATTCCCTCAATTCTCGCATTAGTGAATAACCCTATAGTGAGTTTTGTCGCTTTGGAGCTCTGTGATACACTCATACACACTGCACATCACTATGAGTTTTATGGTTAAGGAGCTCTGTGCTAAACGCAATCATTAGCATTGCCGTGGAGCTTTTGGATACACTACTACACATTTACGTGAGTTTTATTGCTGTGGAGCTCTGTGATTCTCTGACACCACGCAACACTGTCCGTTTTATTGCTCCAAAGCCCTGTGTTATTCCAGTTTACATTTCACATTATTGTGGTGCTGTGAATACTTTAAACACTGCACATTACTGCGAGTTATACAGCTGTTGAGGTATTTGATACACACATGGAAGATTATTTATATATATTTGGTCTCTCCATTAATTCTGTGCTGTGAAAGCGGGCCCTTCATAGCAAATGAATTTGACACCCCTTCTCTATTGCTTGTGGCCTTTGTTTTTTTATGGGCAGTAGCTACACATAAATTCACCACAAATAACTACCTTATGTGTAGCTCACAGGGCTCCTGCAGAGGCAACAGAGGGTTTATTTATATTAAAATATTCCGAAAGCGCTTCCTGAATGTCAGATACTATTTGGGGTTATTTGAGGAAAGAGACCAAGAACGTGGAATTTGGGGGATAAGAGAAGTTATAAAGAAATCTGTGCATGATCATTCCCGGTTATTGTGCCTGTTAGCAGAGGTGACAAAGTACAATATTGAATGTGAAATAAAATTGGAGTTTATTTTAGAATAACAGGGTTCTTTACGAAAATCATAATTCAAAGTGAATTTAAGGCAACAATATCGGATTGGAAAAAACCTTGCATTTTGCGTGGCACAAGCACATCTTTTGATGCGATGACACTATGCGGATTTCATTGGTGTCCCAAGATGCGGGATCCCAGGGAACTAGCCTGAGACAACGGGACGGAAGCCAAATATTTGTTGGGTGACGCCTAGCCTTAGACAGTTGGGAGGTACGGGTAAATGGGTTTGTGAAAGTAAGTAATTAACTTAGTTGTTTGAGGTACAGTGCAAAAGATTGTCTCCCGCCTCCTGTTTACGACAGGGAAAGGTCACGTCCAGTTATACGGCGATAGTAAGGTCACTCCAGCTGTGACAGAGCGGATATATTAGTTTTGCAAAGTACACCAATAGGTGTAATCAAGCTCGTTGAGAGCGTATATGGGTGTAACTGCCACTTAATTGGTACCTACAGTGCCAGGTATGGTAACTCCCAGAGGGGTCTAGCATTAATGACTTATCCTTAAAGGAACACTGAAAGCGTCATGACCATTACAGCGCGTTGCAGTGGTTATGGTCGCAGGAGTAAACCTGCGCACTCCCAAGGAAGTCTAACCTTTTGCAAACTGTGACAACTAACTTTGGACCGGCCAAGGCTCAGATAGGTCACCTCTAGTCTGTCTGTGCAGGGCATAGCTCTTTCCTAAGATAAAGCTACAGCTCTCGGCTAAAGAAACGCCATGGTTTGGCGCAGGGGAGCTAACGTTAGTTTTGTGTGGGAGTTTTGACCCTCCTGTAGGCTGTGACCAGATGATTTGACTACTAACCCAGGAGGGTGCTACAGCACTTGAGACACGCTGCAGTGGTTGTGGTGCTTGAAACACTTCTATAAACGTGCAGGACTTTCTTAGAAGTACAGCTACTTGGTAGCACAAGAAAACTGTGACAGCCTCAGTCACTAACAGGTTAAATTAAAGTGAGATCCAAACATGACAAACAACCTCACTGAATACACCCACAAATAAACTTTTTACCTGACTCAGGCACAGCCAGAAAATCCCAAACTGTGCAGACTTTACTTTATCAGTCACATCAAGCACAACTTGTGACTCTGGTTTCCAAAATTAACCGTTTGAGTGCCAGTGCCCTGCAGACTGCCATCCTGTCCAGCATTTCTCAGAGGGTGAGTAATCCCTTACACAAGGCTGGATCTGAGCCAGGACAGGCCTCTCCTCTTCCATGAGGATCAGGAGGGAGGGGCAGGGGACAGGAGGAAGGGAGTCGAGCAGGACTAGGGAAGGGAGGGATTTCCTGCAGGGAAAGACGAAAAAGCTTTGGCAGGCTGACTTGTCCGAAAACTTGAGACAAAGTAACCTAGGATGTGAGGCGAACGTTCCATCCTGTCCTGGGGGCTGCAGGTAAGTTCCAGACACCCTCCCATCCAGGATTCTATGGATTCTATGCGCCAGCCATGAAGTTTGAGATCTGCTGGAGATCAAAGGGAGATCTCTGCGGGGGGGAGGAGGAGGAGGAGGTGGTGATGGTGGAGGGGGGCGCTGTTTGGGATCACTTTGAAGCTCCTCATTGAGATTCACTTTATGTATATACTCAGCAGTGTGTATATGCAGCCTTCTATGTAGATCTGTGTGTATACACATGTAAAATGAATACATAGAATGTGTTAATGCTTCCACTATACTGTATATCCAAATTCTAGGCAGAATAGACTGTGCAGATCCAGACTGGTCCTAGGAGCTTGCAATCACTTTCTATAGATTAGAATGGGTATATCACTATGGTGTGAGTGCACTGTTCTGGGGCAGGTGCAGGTTCCTACTATGGCTATATTTGGCAGTGTATTTTACTGGCCATCTGCTTCCCTCCCTATTGTCTTTTACAGACGGAAGACTTGCACTAAATTCGCTTCCCTTCCCCTCCAATCAAGCACAGACCCCACACTTGAATACTTATTGCCTGTCTGAGACTGATTGTATTGATCCATCATATTAGTGTGGGGTTTATACACTGATAGGCTGTTCAGTCAGCCAGAACACTAATTGCCCTTGACTTAAAAAAAAAAAAAAAGAAAATAAAGGAGTGATTATTGTTTTCCTTATTGTGGCTTGAGAGGCAGAACCTGTATGTTTGAAAGGCTGAACTTGACAGTCTTTGTTCTTCAAGCCCAAATTTCCATATGACTTTGTCCTGCCTGTGATTAATGTGGACCCACCATGCTTGGAGGAGCTGACCCTTTGTAGTGACAGATCACACAGTCAGTGACAGAGACTCTCTTCACATTACAGGATCACTCACACTGGAATTTGGTTCAAGCTGAATTTGTGGCCCCAGGCACATTAAAGTGCAATGACTACTGAATGGTGTGAAGGGGACTGTTTTGTTTACTACTCAAACTGTTTGCTGTTGCTTCTCAGCTACTAGACAGTGAATGGTTAATCCATGTGTTTGAGATTTGTTAAAATGTTATCTTGTTCTCCTCCTCTTCCCCCTACTTTAGTATTATTATTATTTATAAAGCGCCAACAGATTCCACAGCGCAGTACAATACAACATTCATTTTCTGTAGCCACTGAAACATTCCACAGTCATCATATATCTTCTTTTTTTAAATCCCCCATTCCATTTTCTCTTCCCCAGATGGTGCCCTTGTGTGTGATATCTGTTCTCTTTTTATTCCGAGTTAAACTTATTTATTTTTTTTGCATCATACTATTTTTTTGTTTTTGTTTTGAATGTAGGAAATTGGACTTTTACACAATAGGTACAAAACGAATGATAAATATAGTTTACCCTAGTTACAACTGTCTTAGTTTGTCCATTTTGCAATCCTGTTAAGCGTAGGAAAACATAAGGTTAAATGGCCAAAGATTGGCTTGCAGACTAGTCCATTGAAGAAAGGCAAACAGAAAAAAAAAAATCCCAAACATTCTTCGGGTTGATATGGGGATGATCCATTTGAAAACATCAGTATGTTCTTGATGTATAGACCCTTTGATTGCCACAGGACCTTGAAACTCATTGTCAGATTTTGTTTGAACAGCCATCGTGTCAATAGTGCTTCCTGCCTTTCAGGGCCAGTCGGTGGGGTATGCTTGAGGGTGGGGGGGTCTTAAAACTTCCGTTCCCTGGATTTATGAATGGGTTTCAGAATGTAGAGGGATGGCAGGAAATAGGTAAATGGGAATCACGTAATTAACCCATACCTTGCCATCTACGTTTTGCCACATATGTCAAAAAATGTGTCTGCGCAGTCTACTCCAGTTCCTGGAAGTTTAAAGAGTTACTGACTTTTTACTTAATACTTATTTGAGGGAGAAATAAAAGTAGCTCTTGGGAAGGGGGTGGAGGGGGAGCATATGTGGCGGTTGACAGTTGACTGCTATAAATATGTTTTTTTTTAACTGTCTCAGGCTTTGAAGGAGAGTAGTGGTGTAGTAAATGGGTGACTGCTGTGTGCTTGATAAAGCGTACCCGACAGTACACATCATAAAGAATCGTGACAGAAAAAAAAAAACCTTTTGGAGTTACTAGGTTTCCGAATAACAAATTGTCACAGCGCTGTCACAGATTATGAAACTAAACCGTACAATTCTGTGTTTACAGGTGACGAAAACAAACACCATCGAGGAATCCCTGAAGACGCACTTGTAAGACTGTAACAGCTCATAACGAAGGAACTACATGTTCAAGAACTTTAAGAAAATAGACAACTATTCATCCTTTTATAGGATGTTAAAAGAAGAAACTTAACAAAAAACAGAGGCATGGTGGGAAAATGCTCAAACACAAAGTAAGCTCTCATAGAGAAATCGACATGAAATGGAGGTCATCAAATTTTTGCAATCTGCTGCGCCTTTGGTAGCAGACTTGGCTACTTGTTCGCGATTTCAACTTTGTATGTAGTATGGGATTTTTTTTATAAGTGACCAGGGATCTTAAAGATCTGTTGACGTGAACCAAAAGAAGAACCAAATGGACACTTTTTTAATTCTCTATTTTGGATTTAATTCTAAGGATAACTGGTGTTGGTATAAATTTTTGCTCAGCTTTTAGAAATGACTGTCTTCCCAGCAAAGGGCAGTAAAAGTCGAGTGTGCAAGTGCGGTTTGTGGATATAATAAATAAGGATTATTTTTTGGGGTTTGACCTAAGGACATGATGCTATAGCCTGTGTGGCGATGGGTCGGGAGAATGAACTGATCCAAGCTGTGAAGAGCGGAGATGTTGTCACTGTTCAGAAACTGCTTGCGAAGGTCCGAACGTCCAAAACAAGTAAGCCCAGTTTAGGTTGAAGGTGCTAAAATAATAAGTAAATGGGTTTCCGATTCAGGAAAAAAATTTACGTTGGCAGATGGAAAAGGGAATGGTGTATAGGACAGTAAGAGGAGACATGGAATGGATTAAGACAATATTAACGTTTGAGATGGCAACTGCAATGTGTGGCTATTTGGTGCACTTGTGATTCAAGATTTGTCTGTAGCACTCTGCACTAAACTCAAAAAGACGTTTCATGGTTGATGGAACTAAGTGCACACAATGGGATTTAATCTCATAACACTAAAATGTAGTGAAGTTAACATTGATTTGCAAAATTCAGCATAATATAGCTAAGCACTTTTTCTTGCCGTTTGGTGTTTTGATTCACTACAATTCTGTGTTTTTGGTAAATAAACCCGAGTGACTTTGACATGAGAGCATGACTCGTATATCTATGTGTTCTTGTTTTTTTTTTTTTTCTTTTCATCCTTGATAATACTGTGGGGTTTTAGCCATTAAACAGCAAATTGTAAAATGTAGGCTAAAAAAACAACTTGTGACTACAACTGATTTTGAAAATCTTTCCAAATCAGCTTGTCTTTTTTTTTTTTTTTTCACTGAATTTTGTAATAAGGTTTCACTGCTAATTGTTATGTATTGATTAAAACCTACCATTTTTTGGATAGCGGGGATATATGGTATATCCACATTTACACCATAAAGCAATGGTGTATAGAGTATGCCTCTGCAGTCTCACTGCTCAATTCTCTGCCATTTAGGGGGTAAATCCCTTTTTTATGCAGCCCTAGTCACACCTCCATGCATGTAACTTACACAGCCTTCCTAAACACTTCCTGTAAAGAGTTGTCTAAAGTTTATACTTCCTTTATTGCAAAAACTGTTTCATTCATAATTTCTCATCTCCTGTTCTGTTAATAGCTTGCCATACCCTGCAGGAGCCTCCTGTGTGTATTCAAAGTTCAATTTAAAGAGCAGGAGATAAAAACTTTTTACGTAAATTACATTGGATTAAAAATGAAACCATCAATTCTTTATGCAGGCTGTGTCAGTCACAGCCAGAGGAGGTGTAGCTAGGACTGCATAAACAGAAACAGAAGTGATGTAACTCCTAAATGGCAGAGAATTGAGCAGTGAAACTTTAGAGGCATAATCTATGCACCAACATTGCTTCATTAAGCTAAAGTTGTTCTGGTGACTGTAATGTCCCTTTACGGTCAGGATTTATCTCATTGTATGTTCCATATAAAGGATTTAAGAACCAGCTTTATTTTATCTTTTGTGGGGGACAGGAATATAGATTTGTATAAAAAAAAACAAAAAATTAGTGATGCATCTACATTATGGAACTTTGGTCTCTAGTGTATCTAGATACAGTGCTGAAGCACTAAATGGGGAAGGTTTGCAGGGATGCCGGAGTTATAACCACAGACTGGCTAGTTTATCCTGGTTTTTAGCACTTTGGGTTTTCAGTTTACTAGTATTCACCGTTTAATCCAGTTAGGTTATTTATGAATCCAAGAATTATGGACAGCTGACTTGGGGAAATTCCCAAGTTGGCCTAGAACCAATTCCCTTGTCTGTAATATACAATTCATGATTTACGGGGATATTTACTCGAGTCTGAATTGTCAGGAATTACTATTTCATGACAGGAATGCCACACTGAAAACATAGCTGACTTGGACATTTTTTTAACAGTTTAACCATTTTGGCTTTAAATCAGGCTTATTTACTTAAGTGAGAACTCAAATTTAAGGCTAAAATAGCTGAATTGGAAAGATTCTCTAAGTCAACAATGCCTTCAATGTGGCTACTGTGGCCTTAGAGAGGAAAAATGTTTAATTTGCATTGTGTGCCTTGGCTGTGCCTTATCTGACCTGGATTGTGGTGTCATTGGCTAAGTCTTTAGTATTCTTTGCAAAGAAAACGGAGAAACACTTTTTAAAAAAAATTAAAAAACGCTAAAGGAAACAAGCACTCCAATCACCATAACTACTACACCGCACTGTATTGGTTATGGAGCCAGGAGTGTCCTGATGCTCCTCAACATAAGCAGTCAAACAGTCTTGACTTCTTCCCTGGACACAGACCAGGCCTTCACTACAGCCTCCTTTCCACCTGAGCGAAGCCTAGAGGTGTAGCTGTTAGCGCGCTAGAAGTCAAACTGTTACTAAACAGTTTGACTACTTATAGTACGGGGCACTGGGGTCCTCATGGCACCATAACCACTACAGTTTGCCGCAATTGTTATGGGGTCTGGAGGTTTCCTTTAACACATTATAGATTATCAATGTCTTATTCAATTGTCTACATTCTAGAGAATTGACCGATCCCCTTTTAATTACTGGATTGGAATGCCCTTTGGTTTGGTTCTGTGGCATTGTTGACAAGGTACGCTGTTTTCTTTCGTAGCTGGTATTACTTTTTACCTATGGAATATTCCCTCGTTTGGTGTTATAGACACAAGGCAGTAAAACATATAGTGTTGACATTTGAGTTCCTGGAGTGCAACAATTTCTAGAGATTTGATGATAAATGACTGTGCGGTTAGAGACGGCGTGTTATCTGACACTCTCAGAAGCTTGTAAAGGCCAGGTACTTTCACTGACTGTCATACACGTATGCAACGTACGCAGTGTTAACGTGTCAACGTGTCAAGCTCGGTGCCCTTTGTGCCTGACTTCACAGTTAAACATTTACCTGAAGCTGCGTAATATAAACTTCAAATGTGAACGCACTGAACCTCTTCCTGTTTTTGTCTGGTTCTCCTCCGTTCAATTCTGTTCCTCCTCAAAAATCGAAAAGAAAAAATTCTGTGCAAGGCTATGGATTGATTGATCGAATGGATCTGAGAATTTGGAGAACTAAACACTAGAGTAAACAGAAATTCATAGAATGATCTCGTGCAGAACACAAAAACTGTATAACTGTACTGGCCTCAGTTTCCATAGCTATAAAAACAAACAGGGCTATTTATTAACCCCTTAAGGACCAAACTTCTGGAATAAAAGTGTCCTTAAGGGGTTAAAATTAGAATTTCAGGCTGTTCAAAGTGAATTTCAAATTTAAGTTCAAAATAGCCAAACTGTAAACCAATTTTGACTTAAATTATGAAATTCTCTTTCAGGGTTATTCACGAAAGTGACAATTTAAGGTGAAATCAAAATTAACTTCAAATTAAGGTCAAAGTAGCTGAAATAGAAACATTAGGCTGTATGCTTTAGGTTTGACTACTCTGGCCTTAAAGGGACACTATCGGCACCCAGACCATTTCATCTCATTGAAGTAGTCTGGGTGCAGTGCCCCTGTCCCCTTAAAGGACCACTTCAGCTCAATGAAGTGGTCTGGGTGCCAGGTCCCTCTAGTGTTAACCCTGCAGCTGTAAACATAGCTGTTTTAGAGAAACAGCTATGTTTACAATAGGGTTAATCCAGCATCTAGTGGCTGACTCACTGACAGTCGCTAGAGGCGCTTCTCACTGTGAAAATCACAGGGAGAAGACGCTGGACGTCCATAGGAAAGCATTGAGAAATGCTTTCCTATGGGCTGTTTGAATGCGTGCGCGGCTCTTGCCGCGCATGCGCATTCGGAGCTGACGTCTGTTTTAACCCCTTCAGCCCAGCGGGAGTGGGACCCTGAGGGTAGGGGGGACCTAAAGACCCTATAAAACAAACTTGTTTTCCTGGCACTATAGTGGCCCTTTAACCCTGCAGCTGAAAGCATTGTGCATTAGGTTCCTCCTCGCGATGACGTTGGAGGAGGCGAAGACGGAGCCTGTGCCAGGGGTCCTCAGTGCTGGAATCGAATAAGTGTGTAAATGTTTTTTTTATCACTTTGGATGCCACAGGGGGGTGGGGGAGAGAAGAGGGACACTATAGTGTTCCTTTAAATTTGAAATTCATCTTGAATTCTCTAGTAAATGATCGTGTAAAGTGAGAATTCAAAGTGAATTTCAAATTTAAGGCCAAAGAGCGTGAACTGAAAGCATAGCTGAATTAGAGAATGCTTCAATTTCAGGTACTTTTATCTGAAATTTGAAATTCAATTTGAGTTCCCAGTTTAGTAAATAATCCTGTTCAAATTCACTTTACATTTCTGACAATTCTCACTTCATTGAATAGCCCTGTCAGTGACTGGGATGTCTTTACGGAAGATTACAGACTGGAGCCAACTCCGTTTCTAAATAATTCATAGAAACTATATTATTTATCGTTGTAAGCTATTATTTATGTATCTGTCATATATAGTGATGTATAGGTGTATGTGCATTTATAAGTATGTGTGTTTATATTTCTATATATGTTTGCGTGTGTCTTTATAAATGATTTGAAGTCCCTGCTTTTGCTGCCAATCCCCGGTATTTGTAGCTGCTGTAGGTTCTATCCAGAAAAGGGAGTCGCTTAAAATCTTTTGCAAGCCGTGGCTTTCCTGTTTTGTTCAGTGGAGCATATTCTATAAAACCCAGCCCAGAAGGAGTTTATGGGATAGGTAGCCCAACATTGAATTATTGGACAGGTATGAAGTTGCTTTACACGTTTATGAGCTGCACGTGGTGACTTCTGTCAACATCCCTATTGCTACATTCAAGTTTTATGCTATCCACGGAACAAAGTGTGTTTGGCTGCAACACCAGTTTGTCTGTTGATCCCTGTCGTGGCACCATAACCACTACAGTTTGCTGTAGTGCTTATGGTGTTTGGAGATGTCCTTTAACACATATAGATTTTCAGTGTCTTTCTCAATTGTCTAAATTCTAGAGAATTGACAGATCCCCTTTAGTTGCTGGATTGGAATGTCCTTTGGTTTGGCTCTGTGGCGTTGTTGACAAGTGGCGCGTTTTTTCTCTTTATATGTGATATGAGTTGGCCAAGAGGAAGCACATATTTATGTTAGGGGGCAGGCCAAACGAATGCTTTTTAAAAATGTTTAATTCGTTGCTGTCATAAGACAATATGCAGAGGAAGACTATGACAGGGACTCTTGGACCATAACTTATACATAGATTGTTAAAGGAACACTCTTAGCTGTAGTGGTTATGGTGCCAGTAATGACATGGTGTGTCCCTACTGTAAGTAATCAAACCATTTTAGAACAGTTTTACTTCTCACCTGGGTATCGATCAGTGCTGCTCCCTGCCTACACTACTTCTGACAAAGAGCTGCATGCCTTCAGTTTCTCCCAGAAGAGTCGGAAGCCTAGCAGTGCAGAGCTTAGTTCATTGGCTGAAAATGGATCAGCAGATGTTTAGCCAATGAGCTAGTGCCGTACTGCAGGTCTTAGCTCAGGAGAGCTAACAGAAGCTCCAAAGCTTCTACTCTGGAGCTTCCAGCTCTCCTCGGGGTAGTAGTAGACTCAGTGAGTGCAGCTAACCCCAGAAAAAAAGTCAAACTGTTGTAAAATAGTATAACTACTTACAATGGCGTGGGGTGCACAAACACTTGTGGCACCAGCATTCTGTAATGGTTATGGTGGTTGGAGTGTTCCTTTTAATGTGCATGTATTATCCATAGAAGTATGCTTGCTAAACATAACCAGATTTTATTTATTTATATGATAAAGGAAATCTGCCATCACGTAAATTATTTAAAATCAAATATTACCTGTATTACAGCCTCCTTATAAATACGCATTTTTATATCACACACTTAAATTAAGGTGGAACTGTCACTTCCCTGGAACAGCATGTAACATTTAAAAAAAAAACAAAAAAAAAAAACAAAGAATTGGGGAAAAAAATGGCAAAACCAATAGCTAATCTTAAGTTAGCTGTTATGTTTTGCTAAAATTAAGGAAAGTACAGTTCTTCTTTAAAGGAACACTATAGCGTTAGGACTACAAACCAGTTTTCTACATCCACCACAACTACCGTTGGACGAAGGGATAAAAAAAAAAAAAACATTTTTAACTTGCCTATTTCCAGTGCCGAGGCTCATTCGGCTTTGGTTAGGTCTTCTCCTCCTGTGACGTCACGTCGCTGGTGGGACCTAATGTGCAAGCGGGATGAGTACAGCACACTAGATTAGGCTTTCCCATAGGACATTATTGAATCAATGCTTTCCTACGGGAAAGATAAAAGAAAGCCAAGCACGAGGACGTCCGTCAATTAACGGAGTAAAACTCCACTCGGGACCCAGAAGTGGTGGCATGAATCCTGCAATCTCAGCAACTGCAATGTTTAACAGACAGGGGCACTACACCCATACCACTTCAATGAGATAAAGTGGTCTGGGTACCTATGGTTTCCCTTTAATGCCTCATTTCAGTGTGTATCCTGGTTTTCCATTGCTTTATGCAGGTGGTCATCTTTCAGAAGTACTTTTCTGCCCTTAGACCATGCTGGTAATAGAGGGATACAGGCTGTGCTCATGAATCCTGACATATGCCGAGGGCTTGTTTTCATACTCCTGTTCCTTTGCATTCCGTGCCCTTGTTTGAACTGGATTATGATGTAATTTGCTAAATCTTTCATATAAATTTTAAAAGAAATCAGATCTTCTCATGAAAACAAGAATAACACACGTTTTAGGTGATTTCCAATATTTTATTCAATAGCATAGCTCCCAAGTGTCCCTGTTTTAGGTTGGACAGTCCCTATTTTGAGCCCAAATCCATCTGTACTAATGATCCTCTTTTCTAACTCCTTATTGTTTGTGTGTCTGAGTGTATATCAGAACTCCACAGCAGTAATACTCTTAGTAATGTCCCTTTAACCCCTTAAGGACCAAACTTCTAGAATAAAATGGAATCATGACATGTCACACATGTCATGTGTCCTTAAGGGGTTATGCTACAATAAATGTGTTTAGAAATCACTCTGTGTAAATAAGAAACATTGTTCTTGTTCTAAAACAACATTTTAGTTGGACAAAATGTTATTAGTAAATCACATAAAATTTCTTAGGTGCAGCCCTGTCCCTTGTCACAACCACAGTCAAAAACCTAAAATGAAAGTGTCGCTGTTTTCCCATTTAAAATGTTGGGAGGTATGCAATAATGTAAAGTTTCCAGAGAATTTTTTCTTAAAATGATGACTGCTATATCATACCGTTTCACAGATTGATTCGTACTGATGAGGACACGAGCAATTTCATGTTTACACGTGACACTAGCACGTTTAATTTCTTACTCTGTGTAGTGACAATTGTATTCGACATAACTCATTCATTAAACTGGGCGTATTTATTAAGGCAAGAGCTGTGAAGAAGGCAATTGCAAAATAGTTTAGAAACATTTTGTAACACCTTTTATGGTATGTACGCATGCAGCTCTGTGGGGGTTAATCGATTTGGCACGATATGCGCTGCCTGTTTCTGGACCGACATCTGTAAAAATATAAGTTGAGATTTTAAATGCAGTGCAATGAGATTTTTTTTTTTTCACTTTTATATAAATAAAGCACAGCTGAATTTAATTTTATTTAGCTACTGGTTGTGCGAACATGTCATACGGGATAGTTATGCTTAATGATGGGTGTTTAGAAGGTTACTCCTAAATAGATATTAAATTTATGCGTGTTCTACATTGGCCTGAGACGTCTGCTGGGCGGATTTCGAAGTCACACATTAGTATGCAAGGAAGCTAGGTCACAGAACCCTCTGCGTGCATACAAAATTATCTGGACATTCGGTTGGATATAACCTTGCTTGCTTGGCGACATTTGCAACCGTAGTCCCTGGTAGAATCTTGTTTGCAATTTATACTATATACACATCCTAGGCTCTGTAACCCTAATCTGTCCAGAGCATTGCAGATTAAATGAGGTAACGCTTGCCATACAACAGGCCAGCGGGATGCTGTAATTTTAGCTTGGTAGAAATCTCTTTACCAGAAGTGCTTCAAATTGATTTGCCTTAAGGGTTTCTACGTTTACTGTTAAATAAAGCGTGAGGCTGTTCTGGTCCCGTGGATGCTGCAGATCTTTGCACGCAGAGGAATGTGCGGAAACTGGTTTTGGAGAGTGGCTGCGTGTCTGAACAGAACTTGCACACAAAATACAACTGATTCTACATTCTCCTCCTCTAGCCAAACACACTGGTGCTACATTCATCCAAACATTGCGTTTAACTGAAGGATTGAGAAATGCTTGGAGAATTTAAAAGGAGCCAAAGCACTTTTTTTTTTTTTTTTGAGCGGTGTCCTTTTCTTTAACTCTCTCTCTCTCTTTTTTTTTCCCCTTCCTATCTCGTTTTTATTCCATCCTCCCTCCCTACATGTACATGCTGTCCTAATTTATAAATTGCACTCTGCAAATAACGTCATCCCATATAACTGCAAATCTCTATTGCAATAATCTGTAGGTCTGGAGAATGTAGATTTGAAAGTTTATTTTCTTATTGAACGTCTTCCCATGATAAATGAAGATAGCGCTTACAGTTTACACGCAAATAATATCTTTGTAGGTTTTGATCTCACCCAACAGCTTTTGGTTGGCGTTGGTTGTTTTAGGGTTTTTTTTGTTTGGTTTTTTACCTCTTTCTCCCATATAGAAAATAAATTCCACTAATACTTTTAGACAAGTCTCTCAGTTTCCAGCCTCCACTAGTCAATGGCGAGTGAAAATCCCTGGCTCATAGAATATCACCTCTGGTGAGTGTGCCATTGACCCTCCAAGCTTGCAGTGGCGCGTAGATTTAAAGGGTCACTCCAGACCCCTAAGCAACTTTAGCTTGCTGAAAAGCTTTATCTGTGAAGAGTGGGTCCTCTCTTTTTTTCATTTTGAAAAAAGTACAGATTTCAATAGAAATTCTAACTTTTTTATAAACTAATCTGGTTACACCCCCTTGACTTTCAAGTACACAACAGGTAATGTTACTTCCTGGTTTCGCTAGCTCAATGCAGCTGACCTCAAGAGGCAGCAATTGCCCAGAGCAGCTGATTTACAAAGACTTCTCATTGAGCTGAAATGGGAAGTCTGTGATTGGACAGCCACAGAAAGTCTGGGCGGGGTTAGAAGGGGAGAGCTTGCAAAGGCAGCAGACGAGAGAGCTGCAGGTTTTGCAGATTATATATAACTCCAATAAAAAAAATACATAATTAAATGCATGCACGTTTTCAATTGGGTTATATCTACTAAGCCGTTTAAAAAAAAAAAAAAAAAATAATAATAATAATAATACATTTTTATTTGGACAGTGGAGTGTCGCTTTAAGGCCTGGCTAGACGCATAGGACTTGAAATTTTACTCCTGACTTTTAGTCACGGATTAATTTTCCATTTTATCATGAGCAATTATTCGGACTGTTTGGGTCATTAGCAGTCACTTATTGCTGTGTGCGGTAGCAGACAACCACAAGTTGTTTATTTTTAGGTTTAAGCCATCCTCGCCCCCTTTTACACAAAGTGAGTGCAATATGGGCCTACTGTGCTTCAACAGATGCAGCCTTTTTTACACAGACGAGGCCTATAGCAGGCTGAATCCTGTGTCTGCCATTTGTGGTGCCACTTGCGCATGGAGAATTGTTCACAATTTTGCTTAATAGCCCCCATTGACAGGATTAAACAGATCTGTGTGCAATAATCTATTTTTTTTATTGGCACAGACAAATGAACATTGTGTTTTAGGGAAAGAACATTTTTTAATAGCACGTCCTTTGTCACAGATCATACTCTGCTTTCTATTCATCTACAGTAAACTAGTCTCAAAACAAAGCAGAGAAGGGAAAGTTCATACAGAAATGTTTTAGAGCTGAATACATGGTCAGAGGTTTGGGCAACCTGACAAATCAAACACAGCACAAGAACTGAGGAAATACAAAATAAAATAATAAGTTTCAGTATGTGGCTTGTGGATGTGCAGTCCATGTAATATTGCGGTCACATGCCGCTTCATATTTTTAACATTGTATCACACTGCCCAAAATAAAGGGTCTCTTGCTGTATTTCAAAAGTGGTCAAAAATATTGGCGTAGAAGAAAAAATGCCATTCGGGACACATACAGAATGTGCAACAAAGTTGGATAAATTAAAATGGTTAGATATCCTGTTTGGGTACATGTTAGAAGTTTTGTGGCTTTTTTTCCCCCGGGAATGCATATTCCCAAAAATGCCACCAGAATCTAAAATGTCTGTGTGTGACATAAGGCATATATAGAGTGAATATAGTGTTACCAAGTATTGTAGACGACTATTGCCGTTAACAAAGAAATGTGCTTTGACGTCTCTACCTTCTAGATGCCCGGTAGTCTTCTAAAATGCAAAAATTAAGTTTGATCTACAAAGGTTTCTTCATATTGTAGGAGAGCGGGAGTTTGAGTTGAGTATATTTTTACATTACAGGATCTAATCTAAAATATTAATTTCAAGAGAATTTTCTTTTTTTTTTTACCAAAACTAAAGAGTGTTACAACCCAGAAAATGTACATAAAAATGTAAAGACAAAGAGAAAACATGAGAAAAGTAACAACAAAACTATAGAAATGTCGTCACGGCAAGTAAAAGTTGAAAAATAATTTGGAGGATTGGAGGGGGATTAAAATAAAAATATGAACTAATATTGTATATATATATATATATATTAACAAAAAGACAAGTCAGTAGGTTGTAGACTCTTGCTTACACATATTGTCTCAACTTCCTGGACTTAACACACTAAGGGAGGGAGGATAGGGTGTGCACCAAAACTCCAGAACCGGTGTTTTTGATGCTAATGAGTAAATACTCTACCAGTGTGATGGTATGTAATGGGTTATGGTGGCAGGAGTTCCCTGGCTTTCACTCAGGATAAGTAGTGAAACCGTATTCACCAACCATTTGACAACTTACCTGGGATAAGCCCTCTGCCGATCACCTCTTCCAAGAAAGCTGGAAGCTCTGCTCTGAGCTAGCCCAACAGTGCAGGGCATAGCTACATGGCTTTGAGTTCAGCCCTGAACTGCTGGCCTTTGCTCAGGGAAGCTAACAGAAGCTCCTTGCTTGTGCTTCTGGCTCTACTGGATGCTGTGATCAGTGTCTTGTGTTCCTCATGTAAGTTGTTTGCATACGGTGTGACTTTTTAACGTGAAAGGCCCCAATGGCACTCCTGGACTCCATAACGACTACAACGTGCTTTTGCAGTTATGGTGCTTGGAGTTTTTTGTTTTTTTTAAAGATCCCATCAGTATCAAAACATCACCAGGAATAGTCGGTCTGAAAGCACAATGATATCAAGGTTGGAGAGAGTCCTATACCAGCTGGACTGCAATTTAAGGGAATCCTTATTAATTCATGTATTAAGAACACATATATTTGTAATCTCAAAAATGCCAAGTATTTCTCTTGAGTGAGGGAGTGAGCTCACTAATCCTCCCTTGTAGATATGTAAGGTTGTAAGACTGCGTAACTGAGATAAATCTTCAAAATTGCCATTATAGCGGGCTTACCAAATATACACAAACATTAACAATTTGTGAGATACATAGTGAGTCAACGGCCATCCTTTAAAAATATTTGCCAGTAAGGGACCAGTTGGGACTGTCTGTCTTCACTAAGACCGTTGAAACTATTTCTTGTCTGTTGTAAGAGCATGTCTGAGTTAGTTGGCTTCCATGGATTATCACAGAGAAATCGGTGCATTTGGCCACCTAACCCAGGAGGGTGATCTCCACCAAGCATCTTCCCCATCACAAGGTCCACCTACAGGACAGCCCTAGTAGATTGGCATTAACAAGCTCAGCCACTGCTTAATCTCATTCTAAAGAATCTAGAAAACAATGTATGTGATAAGAGTTTCCTGGTAATAGTTTCCGAATAGCAAATGTGTGGAGGCTTCTTCATGTAAGCTGCGACCACGACCATGGCCCTCGGTTGGGTGACAAATATCTTTGGAATACTGATAGGAAGCATCTGAAAGGTAGAACAATTACTCTGCAATGCAAAATTAATGAGATAATGCTAAAGCTCTTTGTTAAGAGGGAAGGGAGGCAGATGGGATTGAATGGAATCCTTGTAGTATATCCATCGTGCTCAGACATCTTCCTCCATGACTGCAGAAAGGAACCATGAAGTTCTACTTACAAAGGTTTCTGCACATGGTTAAGGAAGGTGATTGCTGTTTACAGTCTCTCTGCATATAGCAGAGGGATAGAACCGACATTTGCTTAGTGCAGGTTGAAAGCCAGCATCAGATTGGAATGAATGTGTGGCTTTGTTATTATTATTATTATTATGATTATGATATTTATAGAGCGCCGTCAAATTCCACAGCGCTTTACAATGGGTGGACGAACAGACATGTAGTTGTAACCAGACAAGTTGGACACACAGGAACATAGGGGTTGAGGGCCCTGCTCAATGAGCTTACATGCTAAAGTGGGTGGGGTAAAATGACACAAAAAGATAAGGATAGTATTAGACTAGTGACAGTTGCAGAAGAGGAATCAATCAGGAGCTATTAACAGTTTAATTGACACGCTTTTATGAAGAAGTGGGTTTTTAACGATTTTTTTGAAGGAGCGGAGACTGGGTGAGCATCTAACAGAGGAGGGAAGCGAGTTCCACAGGAATGGTGCAGCCCTCGAGAAATCTTGAAGGCGAGCATCAGAGGTGGGAGTACGGACAGAAGATAGACGTAAGTCTTCAGCAGATCGTAAGGGCCTACTTGTGTATAAGGGAGGATAGATAGGTGGGAGCAGCATTATGTAGAGATTTGAAAGCAAGAACCAGAATTTTAAATTGAGCTCTATATTTTATAGGCAGCCAATGTAGGGACTGACAGAAGGGTGAGGCATGGGAGGTGCGGGCGGACAGGAAGATGAGCCTTGCTGCCGCATTCATTATGGACTGTAACGGCGCAAGTTGGGAGCACGTAAGACCACTGAGAAGCGGATTACAGTAGTCAAGGCGAGAAAGGACAGTGGAATAGACCAACACCTTAGTCACATCTGGCGTTAAGTAGGGGCGGATGTGCGCAATGTTTTTGGGATGGAAATGACAGGATTTGGCGATAGATTGAACATGAGGCTTGAAGGAGAGGTCGGAGTCAAAGAGAACACCTAGGCAGCGAGCCTGCGTGGTGGAGCTGATGGTAGCGCCGTTGACTTGGAGGGAGACAGACACAGGAGTAACAACACTTGAGGGAGGAAAGACCAGAATTTCAGTTTTGGTCAAGTTTAGTTTAAGGAAGTGGGCAGCCATCCAGTTAGAAACAGCAGAGAGGCAGTCAGAGACACTAGTCAAGAGGGACGGGGAGAGATCAGGAGAGGACAGGTAGATTTGCGTGTCATCTTCATAGAATTTATTGGAGCAATACGAAATAAGTTAGTTTGTGGAACACATGTTGTAAGGAAAGGGTTTAATGACAAATGTCAGTTAATATTTTGCAGAGTATGGAAACCTGACCCTATTCTTCGGCGCTAAATCCCTGTAGAATTCTGTAGAGTGACCCGCTTCCCTAGCGATGGGGCTACTTTGTGCACAGATTTCATCTATAATTTGTGCGTGCGTGTAAAATGTCAGCAATGTCTGTAGGAAGTGAAAGAACAAAAGGACACACAAATCTCATACAGTTTCCCAAAAAACAAAGACAGACATAAAAGAACAGTTTGTGTAAAGAATAAAACTTGAGAATAGCTGGAGTTAGAGGTTTATTGAAGGAAGAAAGGTCTCTGAGTGATCACACGCATCGTGTCAAATGGGGCAGGTTTTGTCCTGCGCTTCAAATGGATACAGTGAGTTGTTTATTTTTTTTTTTTTTACATGCAAGTTTGTATGCCAAAATACCATGCAGACATTTTACATGGAAGATTCACAGCGTCCAGTTTCATATTGTATCATACTATAAGAGGGCAGTTATAATACTGGCTTTCGTATACACAGCGTTTAAATAATAAAATATAAAGGGGGGGGGGGGGATAGAGTTTCCTACTGGGAATAAAACCTGTTTCTTCTATCCACAGAGCTGCTTGGATCTACGAAGAGGCTAAATGTAAATCACCAGGATGCTGATGGGTAAGTGTGTGTGTATTATAGGATGCATTGTGGTAAATTATGGGACAATAGAATCACAGGGACCTGGCCACATGAATAAACCAAGAGACCGATGGTGTCTGGGTGGATGTAGCCAGAACTATATTTTCTGTTTAGTAATATTTAGGAAAATAGTTTTTCAAATGTTTAATGTTATTAATGCAAAGCAGCTGGAGTGCCTGTGATAGCCTTTGCCCTAACATTCCAGATGGAATGTCGTGTTTGCCATACTCCCACTTCCCGTGCAGGACATGAACGCAGAGATTAGGTGGGAGAGCAGCCTATCCTCACCAGTTACGGGTCTCCTACCCTGTCTGAATAGAAAGTGAAACTTACCACCACCATACGATTTCCATATTGCGGATAGGAGCCACTCTCTATCTAACGTATTTCAGAATAAAGTACACTCTTGTTAAGTGAGGTTGGTCAGCAATTAACGAACTAAAAGAACCAATTATGTTTAAGTATTTTTTTATTTTTATTTTAAGGAAACCAAAGAAGTGTGATGCTACCCAAAGCCATAAAGACGTTTAATTTAAACTACATTAAACCGGCATCTAACATAAATAAAACATTGTGTGGGTCTCCTTCCCATAACACAGACATTATATATTGTATATGCGCGGACATAGCCGCACATCACATGGCAAGAGTAAACCATATTGAACCCATATTACATGACACCCATATCACGCTGTGTAATAAGACTTATAGGAACACTCTAAAGATAAAACTACATTTTTATTTGTAACATTAGTATTCCTTCATAGTTATTTTTTTTTTTTTATGTTTAAAAAAAAAACAAAAACAATCATTAGACTTACAAATGGATAGATGCCTCAATAGCTATGGCTGCATAGACAAAGTGATTTAACACCTAAATGGCAGAGAATTGAGCAGTGAGACTTGCAGGGGCATGTTCTGTACACCAAAACTACTTCATTAAGCTGAAGTTGTTTTGGTGCTTAGATGATCTTTTTAGTACAAATTGTAAATACTTGTAGCAGTTTGTTCTAAATCTCATATGATGGACATATTACATCAGTTCAGATAAGGTATATGGGTGAATCTCAAAATAAACCTGGTAAGGAAATATATATGTCCCATTGTCCTGAAGAGGCATTGATCGCCTGCATATTAGCCAGCACAAGTCCTCTGCTGTGGTACAAACTTTACAGATGACCCTGCTATCCTTCACATGGTGATTGACTGATTATATGTGTCCTTCCAAAAGGTTTTCGGCACTACATCATGCTGCTCTTAGCGGGAACTCGGAACTTCTCCACCTTCTCCTGGAAACCCAGCCAGCTGTAGACGTCAAAGATGGCAACGGTGAGAATTCCGCTGTGTTGAGAAAAACCAGCAGTGAAAGTTTAAAGTCAAGTTTATGTTTCATACATTTACTTTATAGTATTTTCCTTTTGACTTGGTAATTCCCTCTACCACCCTTCAAGGACCTGTACGAGTGTATATCTGTACTAACTGCTGTTTTATATACACCAAATGCTATCAGCACCTACCCCAAGAATTTTTATGTGAATTGTTTTTTTTTTTTTTTTTAATTCTTTATTTTTGTTGTGCAGTGTATACAAGCAGTCTAGTCATGCCACAACAGCAATGACAAGAATAACAAAAAGCATATCTTACAGGTGATAAGGCAGTTGGAGAGAACATGCACACATTTTTTAATTAGAGTGACAGGCTAGTAAACATGCTAAAGAAACAAATCTAGATCGGGCTTGTTAATGCAGTCTTGTAACATAGTAAAAACCTCTAGACAGTAAATAGATGCTGAGAGTACCAGGAAAGCTATTTAGGGCATAATATAACAGTAGGCATTAATATGTGCTTAGTGGGTGTGTTGCAGGTAAGTATGGGTATCAAACCACAGCAACTTCACTTTATGGGATTTTATAAGATTTCCTGGCCTACCCAGGTTGCCACATGTAATCTGTTTAAGGCTTAAAGGACCCAATTTGGTGATGCAAGTGGGGCATATGTAACGTCCTGCACATAACAGAATTAACTGTGAGCTATGCTACATAGGTAAAGGCTGGGCTGGGGGAATTATATCTGCAGCGTTCTCAACATGCCTGGTCCGCTTGAGTGCTGTTCAGCCGATCCCCCGGCTGGGCTCCTGTCCTTCAGGCATGTGCAGTCCAGGGTGAGCCCATGCGTGGGTGATGTGAGAGGACTCTGGTATGGAACCTCCTTGGGCCCGGGTAGATCGCGGAGCCATCATCTCTGTGCCGCAAACTCTGTATTTAATTGAGTCCAGCCTCTTCCCATCCTGGGAAATGCGGAAGATCCTGTCAGCTTTGCGTGGTGATTTCCGTCTTCTCCGCCGGCGTGGTTGGTGCCTGGCGGTTGGAACCCGGGTGGCTCCAGGCCCAGGTAGGCGTAATGCAGAGTTAACTGCTATCTTGTGTGTCAAGTTGCCTATGGAGTGCTCCGCAGGCCTCACCCCACGCAGCTTCCATTCCCCTGTCAGTGGGACGCGACTAGCGGTCTCCAGCCTCGTCCGTTCCTCCAGGGTAGCCCAGAATCGATTGAATATCTCCTCCAGTTTGTCCACGTTGCTGTGGGACCGATTAGCTTCATGAAGTACTTTGTCTTGTGGTGCTGGGTTACATGCGTCCGCCATTTTGTAAGCCGCCGCACGCCACTATCTTTAGTGCCTCTGGGTAGGCGTTTGTGGCTCGGTTGGCCCTGGTGTTTAGCTCAGCAGGGACCGGGATAACCCCCGCCGGTCTATAGGGGGGGGGAAAGCAGGAGCCCAACCACTTCTGCTTGTTTGATAGGCAGGAGATCGGCCGCGTCTCCCGCCCAAAATCAGAAAGTAGGCCAAAGGAAGCTTTAGCGCCTGTATGGTGCTTACAAACATCGAGTTTTCTCTCCAAGAGTGGTCCCTGTGTTCTCGGTCAATGGGTGCCGATATGGGCTCTGATTGAGAGGAATATCACCCTATTTGAGGCATATAAGTTTAGTAAGATCGAGGAGCTCTCTCAACCTGCGTCTGGCTCGTTCAGTGGTTAGGCCCCGCCCCCCATGTGAATTGGTTTTAATTGGCTAATACTGTTGATCACAAAGCCCACTCAAGCAAGCAAGCATCTATTATGAAAATAGTGGAACTTTATTTTCACAAATAGTCTTATCTTGTTAATAACCATGGCATGAAGGGGGGACGCCTAAATATTGTTAAAGTGGAGCTGGACACATTTCGCTGGCTGTTAAAGAAGTGTCTACTTAGGGCATGAAACACATCGAGGTCTTCTATGTAAGTTTTCTTGCTCTGTGCCATTTTAACATCAGTGTGAGGAAAATTTGTGATGTGAAAATAAAGTTGCACTATTTTTATAATAGAGTGTGGTTTGTGATTGACAGTATTTGCCAGTTAGAAGCTGCTAACTGCTGTTCAGCCCATACAAGTGCATCATTTTTAATTGTTGCGGTTGATGGACGACCACAGAGTTCCAATTACAGCCTTATTCGTTTATGACACAGGAATGCGCCCCTTACATTATGCCGCATGGCAGGGACGTCCGGAGCCCGTGCGCCTTCTGCTTCGTGCTTCGGCAAGTGTCAATGCTGCATCTCAAGATGGACAGACTCCCTTACATCTGGCCGCTCAGTATGGCCACTACGAGGTGGTAAGTGTTCGGAATCTCTCCTCATCTTGTATGTTAGCGGTAAGAATTATTTCAGTTGTTTGATTTCACTATTTCATTAGACATATATTTTGAATCCCTTTGTGGCCTCACTGCACGTTATCATGTATAGAGGTTTCTGTTTTTTACTCTGTGTATACCTAACCAATTCTTATTCTCCTTAAAGTCTGAAACTCTACTTCAGCACCAAGCAAATCCCTGTCACGTCAGCAAAGCCAGGAAAACCCCATTGGACTTGGCCTGTGAATTTGGTAGAGTGAAGGTACAGATGGGATTGGGAGTTATCTTTCTTTCCGACCTTTTCTTGTTCAATGATCTTGCCTCTTCTGCACATTCTGTCGCACTCTAGTTTAACTCTACTGCCTATGCAATATATCCTACTTCCTCTCACTGTGCACTATGTTTCTAGCCCATCTTCGGTTTATGTCCTTCTCGTCGTTCCCCTACCATTTTCATTTTCTTCATTTTTATCAATATCTTTCAACAGGTAGTACAATTGTTGCTGAACAGTCACCTATGTGTCTCCCTCTTGGAAGGAATTTCAAAGGATCCTACAGACCCTAATTTCACGACACCTCTGCATTTGGCAGCAAAAAATGGGCACAGAGAGGTCATCCGGTGAGTTTCTTTGAAGTTGCACTGTGTTTAATCATGATCAGGGTCAAGAGGCTTGCAGCAGTATAAAGAGGGACTTTATCAAGGTAAAACAGGTCCTTTTGCCTTTGTGGATGCGTATTGCTAAATGCCAAGAGACCACTTGTTTCTATGCTGATTGTTTGTTTTTTATTTAGCATCTGCATTTACCTTTTGTAAATCTCGCCCTTAATATCTATTTATTTATTTGTATTTTTTTTTTTTAACGCAGGTTGCTTCTGAAATCTGGCATTGAAATTAACCAGGTGACTAAGATGGGCACTGCTCTGCACGAAGCATCCCTGTGTGGAAAGACAGAGGTGGTTAAGCTGCTTATAGAGGTGAGGTTAAGAACAGCGCCATAGTGGGAGTGCTATTTATCATGTTTTCCCGGTGGCAATGAGAGTTTGGTGTAACTTCATGTTCGTACCAGCTGCAAGTAGAATGGGAGTCTGCTTCGATAAAGGTTTGATTTTTTTTTTTTTTTTTTTATCTGACCTTAACTTTACAGAATGGGATAGACGTGAATATTCGGAACACGTACAACCAAACGGCACTCGATATCGTCAACCAATTCACCACCACCCATGCTAGCACTGACATCAAACAGCTGCTTAGAGGTAACCATTACCTACTAACGGGGGGGGAGGAGGGAAACTGCACTGAAGACAAGAGAACTAAAATATTTTTCTATCATCGCAGAAGCCTCTGGAATCCTTAAAGTTCGTGCCTTGAAAGATTCCTGGAATTCCCACGATCCCACTGCTCTAAATATCCGAGCTGGAGATCTGATTACGGTGATTGGGGATTTTGTAATTCTTAATTTTAAGTTGTGCTATTACTGTTAACTTGCTTTCCTTGTATGTGTATACTTTGATTTTTACGCATTTTTTTTCTGATATGTCTACCTTGACCATAGGTGTTGGAGCAGCATCCGGATGGCCGGTGGAAGGGACACATTCATGATGCTCAGAGGGGTACTGATAGAGTAGGATTTTTCTCCCCATCCATTGTGGAGGTCATCAGCAAGAGACTGGGTGAGTGGGTTCTTTAGACGTTGTGTTGGCTCAGTGGGTATTTGCTCGTTCAAGGAACGGTGTTGTGAGCAGTGAGTGCTCATGTGCATGTTCTGAGAAAGGCTACTGCTCTGTGAGTGGACCTATGTTAGTTCAGAGAGTGGTATTTGTGTTAGGTGAGTGTGAGTACCAGAAAGTGGTTGTGTTAGATGAGTGAACTCTTGTGCCTTTTCTGGGAAGGGGTTATGTTGGATGACTCATATTGTGCCTTTCCTGGAAAAAGATCACGAACATCCTTTCTGTTAAAATATCTTTTCTGCAGGCTCCACACTCTCCCGAAATGTCATTGTGCCTTCTCATCAGCGGCTCGCAAAGACGTCTCTTCCTCTGACCAATCAGCACATTCCTGTAACTGGGACACAACTCGGCAATAACCTTGAGAACGTAGGAGGTGAGACTTATATAGACAGGGTTTCATTATTGAGCTGTGCGATGTTGGTAAATATATGTTTACATAAGTAACAGGCGCAGATGAGAACAGTCATCACCGAATGTAACTTTCTATTCAATTCAGCCGGCGACCGTCACAGTGTTGGCAGCGAGGGCAGTGTGCGCAGTGCGGGAAGTGGGCAAAGTTGCGAGGGCAATGGTCACAGCACTGCCATCATCGAAAACTCTCAGGTAGCTACATCTGAAGATCTGACATTGCATTTTCATGTCTCTGGGGAACATGCAATATGCAAAGGTTAATTGTGATATAATTTACGAGTGAATTTAGCAGTAATTTGTGCATTTTTGTAAAAACACTTTTTTTTTCTGCAGACCCAAAACCTTGGCTTCAGTGATGTGCAGGGCTCAAGGATATTCACAGGTGAGGAATCCTCTGCAGATGAATTCAACCTCATTTTGTGTTTGTGATTACTTAGAAGTATAGAATTGTGTGCCTTGCCTTGATGTTATAACTTTTATTTTTCCCAGGTTCTGCTCCTGGTAACTTTCTGCACACTGTTTCTGGGGTGGAAAGGGATCCAGAGATCTATCTACAGGGAAAGGTACTGCTTCCCATGGTTTATGTGCAGTGGATTTCTCTAAACATCCCGCTTGGCTTTTAAATTTAGATTTTTACAAAAAAATTTTTATATATTGATCCTTTCATCAAGTTTTGAAAATACACTGAACAAAATTATAAACACAACACTTTTGTTTTTGCCCCCATTTTTCATGAGCTGAACTCAAAGATCTAAGACTTTTTCTATGTACACAAAAGGCCTATTTCTCTCAAATATTATTCACAAATCTGTCTAAATCTGTGTTAGTGAGCACTTCTCCTTTGCTGAGATAATCCATCCACCTCACAGGTGTGGCATATCAAGATGCTGATTAGACAGCATGATTATTGCACAGATGTGCCTTAGGCTGGCCATTTAGGCTCTAAAATGTGTAGTTTTCCTGTATTGACGCATCCAAAAACCAGTCCCTATCAGGTGTGACCACCATTTGCCTTATGCAGTGCAACTCATCTCCTTCGCATCGAGTTGATCAGGTTGTTGATTGTGGCCTGTGGAATGTTGGTCCACTCCTCTTCAATGGCTGTACGAAGTTGCTGGATATTGGCAGGACCTGGTACACGCTGTCGTATGCACCGATCCAGAGCATCCCTCAAAAGTGTTGCTTTATAATTTTGTTCAGTGTAGATTCTGTGTTAAAGGGACACTATAGTCACAGCTTATTGAATTTGTTCTGGTGAGTAGAATCATAACCTTCAGCCTTTTTGCTGTAAACACTGTCTTTTCAGAGAAAATGCAGTGTTTACATTACAGCCCAGTGATAACTTCACTGGCCACTCCTCAGATGGCCGTTAGTGATCCTTCCTGGGTCATGGCTGCAGACACTGAACTTTCCTCATAGAGATGCATTGATTCAATTAATCTCTATGAGGAGATGCTGATTGGCCAGGGCTGTGTTTGAATTGTGCTGGCTCTGCCCCTGATCTGCCTCTTGGTCAGTCTCAGACAATCCTATGGGGAAGCATTGTGATTGGATCAGGCTACCACCTTTGATGATGTCAGCAGATTGCTTGTAAGATGGTGCTATATTTAGGGAGTTATGAGGGGGCCAGGGGGGTTAGATGGTGGTTTAGGAATACATGTTTGTGTTCCTGACCCTATAGTGATCCTTTAAATGAACTATATGTAAAAATAATAATTGTAAAAGTCATCCCTTCCTTTAGTATATGACAGCATCCTTCAGTCATACACATACACCTTGGGTCAGACAGTGTTTAAAAACATTTATATATTCTCTATGATCTTCCCAGCTTCATTCCCTGTACAGCGCAGTGACATGATCAGAATGATTAAATGCCAAGTTCAAACTCTGTCTGACCAAAGGGGTGTGTGTGTGTGTATATGACCGTAGGATTCTGACATATACTAAAGGTAGTGATAAGTTTTTCAAATTTTTTCACATATACATCATTTAACAAAGAATCTACCTCCTTGCAAAACGTGATGAAAGGTTCAATTTATTAAAAGATAGTGTTGAGGAGATATTTCTTCTTTAACTTAATAGAAGGATTGGCTGCAACCGCTTTATATAGATATTTTTGTGGATTCGGTATTATGCTTACTACATGTGCCAGAGGGCCAGAAATAAATCTCCTTCCTAAAACATCACTATCTGCAAGAATAGAATCTAGTCCTAACTGTATTCCTAAAACTCTTTGACTGCTACAGTAACCTTTCAATAAACCTCAATCTATGATTTACTTCGATGTTTTGAATTAAAATCTATCCACTACACCAAGCATGTCAAACGCAAAGTCTGGCATGGGCAACATAAACAAGGTTTAAGTTTATGTGGGCCGCAAAAAAAAATACCTTACATTTTCATAGAAACGTAGGTCCCCACTCCCCCTTGTCTAAACCACAGCACCCCCCTCTACCACCCTGTGCCAAATCTGATCCTCCCGCTGACACACACATATTCACTGACAGACAGAAACACACATACTCACTGACAGACAGAAACACACACACACATACTCACAGACAGACACACTGACATACTCACTGACACACACACACATATATTCACTGACAGACACACTCACAGACAGACACACTCACAGACAGACACACACATATTCACTCACAGACAGACACACACACATTCACTGACAGACAGAAACACAAACACACACACTGACAGACACACACTTACATTCTTTTCTTTATTGCTCTTTACCTTTTGGAGCCGATCTGGGGCATCTCCCTGGGGCCCTTCTATCTGCTCCTTACTGCTCCCTTGCGCGGTTTAGTGGTGCCGGAATATGACGTCATATTCCGGCGCCCGGCTTCATTACAGACGGTGCGCGCGAGGGAGCAGTGAGGAGCAAGAACACTGAGCTCCCTCACTGCTTCCATCGTCCCTTCCTTCCCGGCCGGGTAAGTGTTAGCAGCATAGGCACCTGCAATGTGGGCCGCGAGTTTGACATGCTTGCACTACACCCTTATTAAGATTTTTATTTTTTTTGTAGTTTCCCTGACTGTTTTCCCCCTGTCCAGCAGGATGCAGAACTCATTTTTTGCTGGCTTCGTGGCTTCCAGTTAGAAATGTATGTGGCAAACTTTCTGTCTGCTGGCTATGACCTTCCAACAATCAGTCGTATGACCCCAGAGGTGAGGCTATCACTATGCATACCAAATATTAACTCTGTACCCTCACACGGTAATAAATTCCACATTCTCCTGTCCTCCATCAGGACTTAACGGCAATCGGAGTAACAAAGCCTGGACATCGCAAGAAGATCTCAACAGAGATCAGCAAGTTGTGTGTGGAAGATGGCCTTCCCTTGCATACTCCGGTAAGTGGTAAGGGCGGTCATTCCATCATTAATGGTCTACTGAGCTGGTCATATTACCATCCCACATGAGACTAGCCCTTATTCAATTGGCAGGGTTTGTCAATAGTGTGCATTGCTGGGAATTTCAATGTGAATTTTTAATTGTAGGCCAAAACTGTAAACATCGTCACTTGACTTTTGAATTTTTCAAATTCGTCTATCTTGACCTTAAATTTCAAATTACAATTCCAGACAATTCACATTTCAGTCAATAGCACTTTGTTTGTTAACTTCCCATATATTCTCTTTACTCTCACATACAGGTAGACATCTGGGAGTGGTTATCTTTGCTGGGGCTGCCCGAGTATCACAAACAGCTGTCCGAGAATGGATATGAATCTCTGAGCACTGTTACTGAGCTGACGTGGGAAGGGTTACAGGAAATTGGGATCCACCGGCTTGGTAAGTAGTGACCGAAGGGATAGGTGGTCATTTTTTCCTTCAGAACGAAGAGGTCAGATGGAGTCTCATTTTTAGGAGAGCAAAACCCCCTCCTTACCCCTGTATGCACAGGAGTAGCGTAAATCTGTATACACTGGGCTGGCTTAGTATAGAAGAGTTCTGAAAATCTACGGATGACTTTCCGGTAGGAGTACATTTTATCTATATATTGTGTCACAGAAATTGCCAGTAAATTTATAGATTAAGGAGCTTTTCCGAAGATCACATTTGCTTCCCCCGTGATCTAATCATGTGGCAGCTGAATGTGTAGTAATCCAATTATTGATAATGTGCAAAGTTTAGGCACAGGCTAAAATATCAGCTTGTACTTTAATGAGATATGTGGTCGAGGGTAACACAGTGAAGGAGTTTAAGCATGCGTGGGATAGGCATAACTACAAGTCCTAACTACAAGATAAGGCTAGGAACTAATGAAAGTATTTAAAAAATTGGGCAGACTAGATGGGGCCGAATGGTTCTTATCTGCCGTCACATTCTATGTTTCTATTTTTCATAATGACTCTTCTAAGATGAGTCTAGTAATTCATTAAATGTGTGCGGAATTATAGTATCACTTTACGCATCTGCACTCCCGAACATAACAGCAGTTTACTTACAAAGTACAATAATCCATCCCTCCAATAATAAACAAATAAAGAAATATTATTTAATAAATGTATATGCTTTTAATTTGTTGGTGTTCCAGAGCTTTATTAAGTTTAATAATCGTGGTGTGGGCATTAATATTAATATCTTAATGTGCACATGGAGAATGTGTTTTTCAGTGTGTGTGTTTGTTTAAACCTTTGTTACTTTCCATAGGTCACCAGAAGAAGTTGTTGCTTGGTGTGAAGCGTCTGTTAGACCTACAGAGGGGGCACCCTGTGGGGGGTACCCTAAGACGCAGAATACATGCTTCCCAAGACACAGTTACTGTTATGGATTCTACGGAAAATGGAGAACCACCAATCACCCCCAAACTGAGGACCTTTCAGGGATTAGAGATGAGCAAGGAACTACAGAGTGCGCTCACACGAGGGGGTGAAACGTTCTGTGCAGGAAGACGCTCTTTCAGCCAAGAGAGTATTAGTTCTCGTTCCCAAGGCTCTGGTAACTCACAGGACTCTGCCACTTCTCGCCCACCATTGGCCCTTAAGCCTCAGGGACTAAATTTGAGCCTTCCAGAGAGGAACCTTCCTGAGGGGACAGAACAAATACAATCAATGCAAGGTGTTCCAAATGGTTGTCAAATTAGGGCAGATCCACCTGTACCACCTCCAAAACCCTCTTTGAAAAAACGTTCACTCAGTGTGTGCAGGTATGCGCTGTCAGATGGTGAGCCAGAAGAGGAGGAGGAGAGAGGAACTAAATCAGGAACTGGAACACTTGGTTCCTATGCCACACTAACCAAGCGTCCTGGACGTTCTTCTTTGACCAATGGACAGTTAGAGAAGAAGGTCCAAAGAAGCCAGTCATTTGCTGTGCGCGCACGAAAAAAGGGACCTCCTCCACCACCGCCTAAAAGACTTAGCTCCATGTCTAGTGTGGACACATCACCCTCTGAGGGACAATGTTCAGTTAAAAGCATTGCGGCAAGGTTGGAAGAACTAGGGGTAGCATCAGAATTTAGACCTAGTGTGGTACCTCACATAGAAAACAGGGAGGGCTCTGGGGTTCGCAGGCGGACAGTGAGTGAGTCCGCAGCAGGACTTGGAGGAAGACTGACTGTGCCACAAACTGTGAGAAGGGAAGAGGAGGAAGAGCGTAAAGAAGAACCAATATCTTCTCAGCACAGCTCAAGTGAGAGCATCCCTTTTGCAGAAGAAGGCAATCTAACTATCAAACAGAGACCCAAACCACCAGGAGCTAAGCCTGAACAATGTGGAATTTTGGAAACGGGACCAGCAATTGAACCTGAAGTCAGTCTTTTGACCCGAAAAGAGCAACCAGCAAATACTGGTGTTCAGCCTGTTACAGAACCAAAGGCACTGCCACAGATTGGTTCCAAGCCAAACCTAGAGACTAAGCCACCCCAAGTAACTTCTGGACCCAAGAATACTATTGAACCTGATTTCAATCTTACAGAATCAGACACAGTAAAACGGAGGCCAAAGGCAAAAGAAAAAGAGAATGCAGTTCCGCAGGAAGGAATGCAGGACTTCCCAATGACGCACTGGGCAACATCAACTGTCCTGGCCAAAGGACCGTCCGCACATGAAACCGTAGTGACAAAAATTGGTGATATAGAAAGAAGCCTTTTGAGCTTGGAGAGGGGAGGAGATCAAGTGACGTTTCTAGACAGAAACACTGGAAGCACAGGTACAACTTGCAAATGAAAAATGTGATAAGATAACCAGGTAGACTGCTAAAATGACTAGATAGATTCACAGGTCCTACTGGTTTCTGTACCAAAGATTTGAGAGGCTGGGTCTCCTCCTCCGTAAACAGGAGGAGTCAATCAAATGCTTCCTGTTCCCTGTTAGGAACACCTATAAATTTAGCCTGTTGAAGAAATGGAATGCGGAGAATACTTTCTTCTGCTACGCTTTTGCTGGATGCAAAAATGGCGTGAAATGCAGTAGACCCTCATTTTGTCATTTGCTTTCCGATGTTACTTTCAGTCAACAAATGGCAGAATAACGTGAAAGGACCATTCTGTTACTTCCTTTGAGGTAACTTCATTTTTCAGTGTCCCCGATGTGATTTGTCCATATGTAACCCAGTGGATGGTATGGAATCTTGCATTGTTTCGTTTCTAAGTTTTGGAGATCTAGATATTTGAAAGAGACCTCAAGTAAAGCTTGAAGGCACCGGATAGAACATTAAAATCATAAGAAATTCTATCCACGTGAATTTGCAGATCTAACCCAAACTTTAAATGTGTCCCAAAAAGCACCTGGCATATCCCATTTTTTGTATAACTTGGACACCTATTTTAAATTATAAAAAGATATATAATGTGTTTGTATATGTATATACACATCCTTTTTCTCTTCCCTTTTATTTAGGGCCTTTGGTTTCTCAGTCTCATTTAGTGATTTCTGGACCCCAGCTAGTTTTACAGAAGCCTTTATGGGGAGCAACTGGTCCACCACCTCCTGCTGATTCAATAATATGGGGAAACGATTCTGGGTCTCACAGTGCAAAATGGAATGGCATAACTACGCAAACTATAACACAGCAGTCCGAGGAGGCACGAGGGTCTAGAAAAGAAAATACCAGGTAAGAGATAAAAGGGTGGTAATAGCAAAAATGTGCATGTTTGCATTGGGTGGGTTCTGCAGTCATGACGGTACAATGGCGAACAAGGGATGAGATAATAGATTGTGTGCTGGAAGGCCAAGTGACAACATGCAGCTTCTGTACCGAGTTTTGCAATATGAACCAAATTAGCAAATGTTGAAAATAGTTTTTCTTTTGGCAGTGATTCGGTGCCCTTGACCAAGAATATCCTAGATGACATCAGCACAATGTTTGATGACCTTGCAGAGCAGCTGGATGCCATGTTGGACTGATGAATCCTTACTTGTAGAACACAGGACTGCACAATTCCATTAACCCTAGATCAGACACTGATTGACTTTTAAAGAGCATTTTTATGAAGCATACCAGGGAGTCTTCACGTGAGGCACACAGCTTGCTTCCAGGAGAGAGACTTGTGTTTATATATATATATACATATATACAGCTAGAGTCTAAACTAGGTTCCCTTTACCAATTTCAGTTTTAAAATTTGCACCCAAATGGAAAAATACTTGTCCGATATTAAAGCGCTATGATTATCACTTCGGCACTCTTACGAATTTACGTTTAACCCATTCACTGCTGCTGAGTTACGAAACAACGAGCAAGATCTGCTCGGTTAAAGATGCTTTTTTCCCCCCCTCTATGGAGGGTTCTGCTGACTGTATAGGTATAAACACATACAGAACTAAGGTTGAATTACAGCTGTTACTACCTTGCTTGTATTTTTGTATAGTGTCTTGTTCCCCAGTTAAAATTACTATGTATTTTATGACTTTACCACCCCAATGAAATTTGTAAATGTTTGATTTTTTTTTTCGTTTTCCAGAAAAGTCTATTTTAAAGTAATTTTTTTATATATACACGTCTATAAATATATTTACTAACCAGAATTTGCATCCTATTTTTTTTTTTTTGTGTGTGATTTTCCCCCCCTCTAAGTTTGTCCCTATAAATACCTAAATGGCCCAGTTTCTATGAACTTGGTTTGGTGCAGGCTAGTAATATAAAGAAACCAGATCAAATCGGTTTACAAAAATTCCAAAAGAGAAGAAAAAAAAGCACACATTATTTTAGATATTAATACAGAAAACAAATAAATTGCAATATTAGATTAAAGGAACACTCCAGGCCCCAAAACCATTTTAGCTTGCTGAAAAGCTTTGTGTTAAGAGTGTGTCTTTTATTTTTTGTTTTCATTTTGCAAAACGTATGGATTTCAATAGAAATTGACACTTTCTTTCCTGGTAATACCCCTTGGCTTTCAAGCAGATGTCTGCAGGGGCATACCTGGAGCATTTGGCACCCAGGGCCAATCCTATATTTGGCGCTTCCCTCCCACCTTTAAAAATGTTAAAAACACTCGCAATTTTTTTTTTATGTATTTAGCACAGGGCAGTGTTTGTGCTGGCAAAGCATCATGGGAGGTGTAGTCCAAAACATCTGGAGTGCCGAAGGTTGCCTATGCCTGGCCTAGGGATACCTTCACTGGCCACTCCTCACATGGCTGCTAGAGGTGATTCCTGGGGTAGTGCTACAGAGTGTGCAGCATTGCCATTCAGTGCCTCCACCCTGTGCATGGAGACACTGAACTTTCCTCATAGAGATAATTCATCTCTATGAGGAGATGCGGATTGGCCAGGGCTGTGTTTGGCTTGTGCTGTCTCTGACACCCTGATCTGCCTCCTTGACAGTCTCAGCCAATCCTATGGGAAAGCATTGTGATTGACTTTTGTTCAGCACTTCTGATGTCAGCCAAACAGGTAGATCAGGGGCAGAGTCAACAGCAGCAGATTGGAATACTATATTTAGGGAGGCAAGTGGAGACCGTGGGGGGGGGGGTGGTTTTAACACTATAGATGAACACCATAAAGAGATGAATAAAAAAGGGGGTACTTAAATGCTGACAGGAAAAGAAAATTATGGTAAGAATTGATACATTTTCCTTATTCCTGGCTAATCATGGAAGCATTTAACAAATGGTCTTGTCTTTACCCAAGCAGTAAATAAAGAGAGTGAAAGTAAATGCCAAAGGAGAAAAACAAAACTTTTATTACATGCAAGAAGCACAATAATTCAAAACAGAAAAGCCAAACTAAGAATCAAAGACTGATGGAAAATCCTTCAAGTCTATAATGATGGAAAAATGTCCTCAGAGAAGACCAATTAACGGCTTTAGAAATGCTCTCTGCCGGAACACCAGCCTTTGCAGCTCCTGAGGTAAAGCTGGACCCAGTGGAGTGAGCACTGATGCCTTCAGGAACAGGAACAACCTTAACTTTATAGGCTCTAGAAACTGCAGTGACCGTCCACGAGAGGCAACAGCATCTGCTTTTCCCTTGCAAGATACCCAAGGAATGTTGGTTTGATTTTTCTCTACAGTGTAGACTGTTGAATATAAGCAGAGAGACATTGCTTAAGATCCAACTTGTGACACCTCTCTTATGGTTAAGACATCTTCATCATAAGAAAAATATAATGTTAGAACTGCTATGTTTACAGCAGGCAGGGTTAGCCCTACATGGACCTGGCACCCAGACCACTTCATTGAGCTGAAGTGGTCTGGGTGCCTATAGTGGTCCTTTAATGTCTGTTGTGACAGAGCAGAGAGAGAAATCTTCTCTAAAGGCTCAAATGGAGCATCAGGCAAAGCATCCAAAGGGAGATCCTGGGGGACTTAGCATGCACACAAGGGAGGTCTAATCCTCATGACTGCCTTTAAAAAAAAAAAATTTACCATAAGGTCTTCAGCTCACTTAATACCTGAGAAGACTGAAATAGCTGATCAGTGGATCTTGAGTGTACTTAGACAAAGACCTCTGTTACGGTTGCCCCAGGCTAGCAGAGGGTTGGACTGTAGAAAGGATGCTCTAGCGCTCACCAAGGACCATCAGCACCGTAGACACCATAAGTACCGCTGACCCCACGAAACGCCGCAGCTTGGTTGGGGTCTCACCGTCTTCTACCCACCCTGGACCTACGACAAGGCTCCAGGTTCCAGTGGGGGAACCTCTCTTCCTCCCAGAGAGCGAAGCAGGATCAGGAACAAGAGCTCTTACAAGAGCTCAATGAAGCTAAGGGAATATGCAGAGCATAGCAATCCCTGTAGTGATTATAACTGTCCCCTCCAAACACGAGTCAATGCTGCGAGTTGAGAGTCAAGTAGAACTCGTTTAATGAGCACAAATAACTTTCTTTTATACACATTTTCCCACAAGGCTACCACCCACGTGGACCTTGTGGTACACAGGACACAAAGTTACAACAGCCAATCAACACAGTACAGCACAGACAGACACTCCCTAAGGCACACAAACCCTCCCTTCTGCCTGTGATATATTTACTGAACACAATGGGCTAACTTAATTATCACGGGCAAAAAATATACAGTTTTACACAATATTCATAACTTCAAAACTATACATGCAATTTCCATAAAAGTTATATTTTCTGAATCAGCATAATCAGTGAACAAATATATATAAAAAATCATACGAATTTGCCCAGTGGTTTGGAAAATAATCATATTTGACCGGCCGCAAGCATGGCTTTCCTGCCCAAAAGAGTTCTATAGATTTAGGCTGTGCGGTCGGTCTATCTTCACCTTCAAATACAGTACAATTTGCACGAACAGATCAGTTCGTGCATAGCTTCATTGTATTCAGCATGTTCGACAGTTTATTCCCTGAAATTAGCGCCCCGTTCGTATGAATTTAGACGAACGCACGAAAGGTAGAAGTCTCAGCGGTGTTCGTGAAACTGGTAGCTGAAAACAGTTCCAGGAGTTCGACAACCAAACACCGATGAGCGTTTTCGGATAAACAAAATGGCCGCCGTTGCGTGTTCGTTCATACGAACGCAGGCCACCCAGGCATTCGTCAAGTAAGCTGCGGTTAACCGCAGCTTATGGGTGGCTAATAGGCAGCACACTCCACAGACAGGGTGGTCGGCCGTTCGGCTGTTTGTTCGTCTGTACGAACAGCATTATCCTGGCTGTAATAGAGTTAGAACAGCACGAACCAATATATGAATCCACAGGGAAATGTTCAAAATGTTCAAGTAAGACAAAAGATGCAATCCAGGGGCAGAGGATTCTGTCCCAACTGCGTTAAACCTCAGAAAGTTACAAGGGCCATAGTTATAGGGTAGGAGGCTGGCAATCAGGCTCCTCCAAAAGCCAGTGGCAAAGGGCAGTTTGTCACAACCTCAATGCAGGCCGGATTGCCCAGGATCTGTGAAATAGACAAGATTTGTGGACTGCATGTTGGTGTTTGACCGCATGGCGAAACTTCCCCATATCTTGTGGTAAGTACTGGGAGGAGAGATCTTACAGGAATGCAAAAATGTAGACATGGCAGTTTCTGGTAAACACTTGGAAATCAGAGCCTGCCTCTCAAGAGCCATGCCTTCAATCTGAGCTTGTGAGGACCTGGTTTAAGAAGTGGATCCTGTAATGGCAGAATGTCTAAGACCAGAATGGTCTATCATCAGTTTCTTCAGACGGGGAAACCATGGAAGGGAATGATGGCTTTGACCTTGCATAACTTCCTAGAGATCTTCCTCAGCCCTCATGGATGTAAGTCAGGTGGAATGGCCAATCCACTGATAGAGCATCCTGGACTAGACCCTTTGGATAGAATCTGCATGATATGAAGCATTGAACTTTGGCATTCTGAGCTGTGGCCATGAGATTCAGCTGGGGAAGACCCCACTTCTGGACTAAAAGGTTGAACACCTGTTTGGAAAGCTACCATTCCATTACTTACACGTGGTGTCTGCTGAGAAAATCAGCAGTTGTATTCTCTTTCCATGGAATATAAATGACACATAAGCCTGCTACATTCCTTTGTGGCCAGGTCATGATAGGATACATTTATTTTATTAGTGAGTTATACATATATTGATATAGGCTGTAGCGGCTTTGTTGTCCAGGCTCAATTTGTTCTGAAGAAGGGTTTGGAAATAAAGGGGCTAGAAAGGCTGCTCATAACACCCTTTGAAGGGAGGTGACAAGTATGTGGGGGTTATTGGGTTTGCATAAAGAGTTTGCCAAAGAGGGATCCCCAGCAAAGAAAGCTCTTTAAGAGGGTAACCTCTGGAGAGATTGTGACTTGGAGCCACCAAAGAAGATTTTTTTTTTTTTTTTTTTAAGAGTCCTGGAATGTGAAAAGTCTGATCCCATTCTTGGATGCTGTTATTTCTGAGGAGTTATGTCTGCAGAGGACGAAAACACCACTGGCCCCATCTGACGAGGCCTATTGTGGATAAAAGGGTATCTATCGGCCTCATGAAATACCACGCTGGGCCGAAGTCCTGGATCGTAACTTCCTTAGACAATCTAAAAAGAGGAGTTTCCTTTCTTGAGCAAAAGTAACCATAGCTGTAGTGGTATTGAAATTGGCTCCAAGGAAGATCAATTTTCTGGAAGGCTGTAACTGACTTCTCATGGTAGATCACCCACATAAAGTGAGACAGTGTCTGAAGGACCAGGGATCAGTGTTGAAGCATCATTTTTTTTCATCTCGAGTAACCACTAGGATATTGTCCAGGTAGTGAGAAATGGCCACACCGTCTTCCCTGATAAGGTTATTATGGTGACAAGTACCTGAAGATGTGCTGATCCCAAAAGGGTAGAGCTTGAAACTGGAAATGATGATTGCATAGACAAAACCTGAGGAACCTTTCTGATGTGGAAATATGTGTCCTTGAGATCCACTGAGATTAGCCAGACTCCCTGATGTACTACAGGCACAATAGAACAAAATTATTCCATGCAAAATATATTAAATATATATCTGTTATTCAGAGAGGAAGATTGAGCTGATGGGAGGTCATTTCCCCAGGTTTTCTGACTAAAACTAGAGGGGAGTAAAACCCTTAAAATCTTTAGTTTCTTGGAACCGGTGTGATGACCACTTGCTAAAGAAGAAGAGAATCAGTATATAGAATCAGCTTCTCTCTTTTGATGGTTTAGAGAAACTCATCTTGATAGAACATGAAGGAGGGGAGCCTCCTCAAACTCCAGGGTGTAACATGTTAAAACAGCTAACCCATATGTCTGGCATTTCTGTCCAGGTCTTCTGAAAATTAAGTAATCTGGCACCTACCACAGGTGCCTGGGCTAAGCCACATTCAGAACTGCTTGTGGGTCAAAAGGAAGAGGAAGGGGGGGCAGAGCCTGACCATCAAGCTGGTAAGACATGCAGAGTCTGAGCTCCTCCGACTTCGGCAGATTTTGGGGCATAACTCCCAGCTATTGAACTCAAACGCTACCCAACAAGCTTTATCTGGGTCAGGGTCCCCTGGGCAAGCAGATCGATACCTCACTTAACAACTTTTGTAGCTGAATGCCCAGACGGGCCTACTGCGGCCTACTGGAAGTGGAGCTGGGGAGAGGTGGCCGATCTTCTCGCTCCACAACTCACAGCGGGGCCCTGCAGTTCACTCCCTCCCCCGCCCCAGACCGGTGGGGGTAATGCCGGTCCCCACTGGGTAAGCCTGTCTCCACAGCACATGCCTTCAGTGGCCAGCATGAAACCAAGCGACGTACCCAAAATGGCTGCCGCAGCAGTGCCTCCACACTCACAAGCAGATCTGGAGAGCCAGGAATGGAGCACCCTCTTCAGGGCCAGATTTGATGCCATATGTGAGCAATTCTGGAACAGAATAGCTAGCCAACCTGCACGACTTCCGACACCAGCACCTCCCACACCAACAGTGCCGAGTGCACATCTGCCCGTTAAGAAGATTGTTAGGTGCACAGCCCCGAAGCATTGCCCGCGCAGATGGAGACCACGCTGCCACCTGCAACGGCAGTCAGGCAAGACGCTCCACTACCCTCCAAAAGGGAAAACCCAAAGCACCATGGCTAATGGCACCCAGGGGCAGCCCATAGTACACACCGGGAGCTGGAGGGCTACCTTACCTCGCTTTGCAAGTGGTACAAACGCCATATACGCCAGATTCTCGGTGATCCAACGGAAGAAACAAGTGAAGCGCCCGAGCGGTGCGAAGCACTCGAGCCATCTCTCACCTCGCTCAGCTTCCCCAACCATGAAAGGACCTGTCCGGGGGCAAGTTTATTCCAACACGCTGCCACCTATACGGAGCTCTGGCATGCTGACACCCAGGGACATGCTTGGGCAATCCCCAACAGCACCTCCTAGCACATGGAAGGAATGGGCCTTGAGAGGAGGCATCGGCTGAGTAACTTGCCTTTTTTTTTCTCTTTTCCCCATCCCTCACTCGGACAGCACTTTCTAGGACTACCACCCCTAACGTCCCCGACCAACAACCTGCCGATGGACTCTCCTACTGTGCGAAGGTGTTTAATAGCCAGCGTACAGCTCCAGATTGATATGCCTTATTAACACGTGTTTCATCTTAGCTTGTGTTTTTTATTTTATTTTACTTTGTAAGCATTTAATATGTGCCGCACAGTCACTGTCCTCAAACATAGAAATTCCTATGCACATTAACGTTGCTCATATTGCCTCAGCCTCCCACCCCCAGACATTGCCTAAGCAGTCTTGGGAATAACCCACGGTTCTCCTACAACAAGGTGTGCTTTATTTAGCTAATAGGTTGGCAATAATATTTTGTGAAGCACTGCCCAGTGGAGACTATCCCCTTTTCTTTTCTTGTATGATCTGATGTTCTCAGATTCTACTGCGCGGACCAGTGGTTACTATTTCTTGTAAATCTTGTTAAACTTCGATGTTATTGCTCTACTATATTAACAAAAAAGGTGCTGACAACTCAATATATATCGTTTATCTCGTATGCTACTCTTGGAAATGTCAAAATGTCGATACTTGCATGTTGTTCCCTTAATGCACCACTAAAATAAAGAATTGAGAAAAAAAAAAAAAAAGGAAGAAGAAGGAACCTTATTCCTGGATGACTTACTGGGTTGTCCACGCCTCTAAATAGAATATCTGGTGAATTTACGGCCAGTTCTGTAAGACTTTGTCTTTATAGGAAGGCTGATCTCTGAATGATAATCCTGCAAAAGGTCTCCTGGATTTCTTACCTTGAGGAAGCAGGACTTGTCTGACATCCGCTATCTTTTTAATAGCGTCTTCTCGGGCCTTAACGAAGAGGATTTCTCCCATAACAGGAAGAGAACAGAGATCGAGTTTGGATTAAATATCTGCTTCCCACGATCTTTACCAAAGGCCTCTTCTTGCATCCCTCAAGTTTGGCATCCCTCAAGTTTGACATCCCTCAAGGATTCTGCAATATGACAGCTTCTAACACATTTGTTTGTCATCTTCCATATCTAGAATCCAAGACTTCAAGGCTCTAGTCATGACCGAAATGGAGACTGCTGGATGGCAGCCTAACCCTGCAGCCACAAAGATTTAGATAGGTCAGCATCAATCTTCTTATTCACAGAGTCTCTGAGGGACAAATTAGTCAACAGGGAGAGTGGAACACCTGGCAACCTGACTAGTTGATGACTAGTGCACCAACATTAGGGGTAAAGGTCCACAATCTTGAATCCACCTCTCTAATCGCATACAGCTTGTATAACCTACCCTGTAGGGAAATTTCCTTTCAGGATGATTCCATTCTGCAAGTATGATAGATATATGGACTGGAAAGGAAGGCTTACTTCTGCTTAGATCCCCAAAGTTCTTGTCTGAAGCTGAAGCTTCTGGGAAAGCTTCAAGAATCTCTAAGATTCTTCTTACCAAGGCAATTATATACTCGATAGCTTTTGAATCTAAAGTACATGGATTAGTGGACAAATCTTCCTCACTGAAATAGATGGGTTCTAAAATGTAAGGAACCAGAATCTCTTCAAAGTTCTTCTTTGGAATAATCTAAATCCAAATGCAAGGCCTCATATCTAGGTCTCTTACCTCTGGAGAACTCTGCAATTACTTACACCACAGCCTGCTTAGTCCATGATGCACTATCCTGAGGAGTGGAGATCTGTCGTACCCGACGTTGATCCGTACCTCCTGCAGCCAAGGCTGAACATTTTCTACAAAGGCTTTTCCATTCTCCTAGCTAGAGATCTAGAGCATGCCGGTCCTGAGAGCTGCAAAATACAGAAGTCATGACGGATAGTACCCCTCAAATGCACTCTTTATATAAGACTTTTAGGAAAAGATAAATGCTCACGTATTGCCTACTATAGCAGAGGTGGGACATGGCTCAATTAATAACCAGATGGGCTAATGCAAAGGAAAAAAAAAACCTGTAAATATGATTTTTTAAAAAGAATAAAGAAACCCCTTAGGATAAAAACCCTGCCTGCAAAGCTGTAACTAAGCGCACAGAGAGAAAATCGCCAGCAGATAAGTAGGTTTGAATTTTGTGCTAAGCGTCTTTAAATCCATGCACCTGTGTAGATAGGAAGTGGGTGCCCTAACCGCCACATTGGCAAATTGCAAAGTTAGGGCTTCTTGCGAGCCGCGCACAGGCTTCCAGAGTTGCAGAGGGGAAAGACGGCGCTTAGATTAGCAAAGTGGTACCAGCCATAAAGCACCTACAGGAGAGGAGTCCCTTGTGAGCTGCAACCAATGGTGGGTATACCCTGTGGTCTCCAAGGGTGCCCAAAATACAAAGGGGTGGGGGTTGCGTGTGTCTGGAGCTTAATGGAAATGAAAGCTGACCTTTCACAGCAGAAGTCCACTAAGGAATGGTCAGAAGAGCAAAAAAATAAAAAACAAAGTTTAAAAATTAATTTATTAATCTATTCGAAGGCTGAGAGGACATGAAATGGACTGGGGAAGAGGGGATCCAATTATACCTAATTGTTTTATTTGATGTTCCTGTCCTAACTGTCTGGAGAGAGGAGCTAACCTCTGATCATTTCTTTTCCTTCTATTCCTAATTTTTTTCAATGTCTTTCTATCCAACTCAAATTGCATGTGTCTTTTATCTCCAGTTCTGCTTCTTTATCACTCTGTACAAAAGTGCAACCTAAAACAACAAAAAAATTGTAGTGGGGTGAAGGGGGGAATAAGATGTCTGGCATGCTGGCCTCTACCCTTTACAAAGGTTATAATCACTGCCTGTGCTGTGGGTGGAGCTTGTGGTCTGCACCTTCCGCAGGTGCAGATCTCTTTAAGAACTTCTTCCCGTCTGGTGCTCTGTGAATAAATTAATGTTGCCATGGTAATCCAGTAGCAGAGCTCTGATTTATTGAGAAATGTTGGACCGTGAAGAAACGGACTGTGATATACAGAGCAGGATTAACATAGGGGCTGATGGAGCTGCAGCTCCAGGCCCATTGTTTATAAAAAATAAAAATGTACTACTCTTCACATACTCTTGCTTACATATGGAAACTTAAGAGGGATGTAGGGGAACACAACTTGTGTGGACTGGCTGACAATGAAATTAGTTAAGGTAAAGCTGACTTTGTGCATAATACAAATGCTCTTGCTGCTTCAGTCTAACACTGGCATGTTCCCTTTTTTCTACACTCATTACATACACCTTTCATCTGTCCCAGTCTGTATAACAGAAGCTTATGCCTGCTGGTAAGAAGAGGACACGTGAGTGTTAGGGGGACAGTCCTTAGAAAGCGTAGAGCTAGTGTATCAGGCACATTTATGCCAAGCTCAGGTCTGCATGGTATGCCCTTTGTTGGCCAGCATGCATGATTGGCAGGCAGCCTGTCATGCATTTACACCAGGCTGACCCAATTCTTTGGGCAGACACGCCTCCTGTTTTGGGCATGTTTGCCCCTCTGGGAGGTCAGTGGCCCACCCTTTTACCCCACCCACTGACATTCTGCTCCACCAGACCTGCTCTCAGGGGATATGAATTTAGTTGAAAGATGAATGCAAGAGATTAGCATAGGGTATGTGTTTTCTTATAGCTATATCCTGTGAGTTTCCCTCCTGCACAACCTCCGCCAGATACAGGACACGTGGGAGGTATGACTTTTAGTGTTTTCTGTCGATAAGATTCTGTAATTAGGTCCATCATAATTGTCAGCACCAGGCCCAATGGGATCTTAGTTTGGCCCTGGTGATATCAACCAGGCAGATGCAAACCACAAGCTCCCTCACTGTAGTGAGGTGGTGTTTGGCTTGGCAGCTCCCTCCATGTACCTCTTGCCCACAGTGAGTTTAAGGGTTCCTTTAGTGCCAGGAAAACAAAGCTGTTTTCCTGACACTATAGGTTTAATAGGTCCCCCCCCTCCCTCGAGGCTGAACGGGTTAAAAACCCCTTCAGCCCTTACATGAATCTAGTGCCAATATCCCTTGGTCAGGCTCCGCCCACGCTCCTCCCACGCTCCTCCCCCGACCGATAGGGGAGACCTAATGCGCAATGGCCGTGTGCGCATTAGACCTTCCCATATGAAAAGCATTATTCAATGCTTTCCTATGGGGAAAATCTGACGCTGGAGGTCATCATGCAGAGCGTGAGGACGTCCAGCGTCAGATAACAGACCAAAAGTCTGTTTCAGATTCCTTATAGACAGCCACTGAGGGCAGACTTAGAGCTGTAATGTTTTACATTCCAGCACTAAGTGCAATAGGGACACAGCACCCAGACTGTGTGCCTTGGTCTGGGTGCCTACAGTGTCACTTTATTCCCTTGGGACTAAATGCAATATGTGAGGGTAGCGTTAGATTTTTATTTTTTTCTTCTTCGTTTAAAACAGTGATAAAAGAATGTCTGTTACATTTGACAAGACCACCAATAAATCTAAATATACAGCCCGCCTCATTCGTTTTGATGAAGTGGTTCATGAAAGAAAATAAAACTTGGAAGCTATTGGCATAGATTTTATTCACAGCTTTTTCAATAAAAATGCTAAGTCTCTTGAGCTTACTTTAGAAAATATACATCATTTAAAAAACAAAAAATAAGTGTCCCATTCCTATTGCACGTATTGTTTGGTGATGCAGTGTGCGGAGCACTCCAGTGGTTTAAAGCGCATAGCAGAGCATCTAATATGCATTGAGCCATGCATGGGAGCTTTGCTCCTGAAGGAAACATGCATTGGGTCAGACGAAGGATGAAGGAGAACCCTCACATTCGTCACTCATCAGATCAGTGCGGAGGGAAAGACTCAGGAAGTTGTGGCAGCTCCGACTGCAAATTGTAAACAGGCACAGGAGGTAGGGAGGAGGCACTGGTGGTGACAGCTGGTTTAAGGATGATATGAATAGCTGTGTTAACAGTGTCCTTCCAAATGGGATTCTCGAGGTCAAACAGTTCCCTGCCTCTCCCTTGTCTGAAGCTGAGGCAAGACAAAAGACATCTAGCTCAACAACACTACCAATATCCCCTACAGCAAAGTGATGGGAGGTGATCAGAATGGTGAGTTCATGCCAAGCTTGGTTTCAAATTGAAGCTTTTGCCTCTTCTGATAACGGACTCGGACTCTGGAAGAAAAAGCAAAGATAACAAAACACTAGTCCGAGAACAAGAATACATACCAGAGATGAACAAGAACAAGAACAAAATTAAACGAGCATCAAAAGGAAGTTGTTATGATATCAGGAGGTCCCTGGCGCTGACTTACCTTAAATGGTTAAACAGTTCATACCTTTTTCAAGCAGTTTTTATGAATGGGGAGATACTAGTTGGCTTAGAGTGTCAGCTGACGCTCTAAACCAAACAGTGGTGCCCCGGCCCGGCGGCTCTTCCAGGCTTCCATTTTAAAGATTTTGACAAGGCGGATGTGGAAGGTGGGCAGAGAGAAACGGAGGAGACTTTGGGGTTAAACCTTTCATAAACGGTTTAACCCCTAAAAATAAGCCAGCGCCAAAGATCTTTTGGAACCATAACTTCATTTGAAGTTGAATGAAGTTGTTATGGTGCCCAAACCGTTCCTTGAATTAAAAGAAGCAGAATTAGTTTAGAGAAGCAATATGTTAAACACCTTACCACCCTTCGTACCTTATTTCGTGCAGCTTAACTAATTCATTGATTACAAGGACTATTATGAGGGAGATTGTCCCCAACAACCAAGATATGAGAGGGATGTCCTTGGGGTGAAAGGTCAGAGGTGAGGCAGAGTTTGTCCAGAGTTTCAAGTCAATAGCCGTCTGTAAACCCTGCGCCAGGAACCTGGAAAGGTAAGATTGTCAGAGCTGAGAAGGCAGGAATCACACTACAGCAACTCCGGTTCCGCAAATCAATACTTACAATATGGGCAATGTTAGACTCCACCACCTATTACGGAAAGGACTTCGCTTCCACAGAGCTTTGGAGCGGTGAACGTGACTGATTGATATAATCACTGAAAGGTTGAATAGTTTGGTAAGTGTTTCAATATTTGACCTCGCTCAATCAAACATTCTGAGCTTTACCCACCTGTGTGCAAAACAATAAGGCAGACAGATAGCTTCTGGGCCAGTAACAGAGCTCCGGAAAAGGAACCAAACCAATCTGGAGCACCAAGAGAATCACTACAAAATAAACACAAATATGGCAATATAAAGTGTGAGGTTTCTCTTTGATCCACGTTTTTTCCATATGTGAAATCTTCTTGATCTTAAGTTCAGCTGTCCGTCATCCCAGCTCCTACCTATAAACTGTGATCCCAGTGCAGTTGGTGGTATTGCTGTAAGACGAGATATCACAGAACTTCTCAAGGGAGAACCAGAAGCAGAGGATACAACAAGAGCAGGACGGGATAAACTTCACCAGGAAGCAAACCAGGAAATAATGTTGCGTCTGCAGATAGGAAGCAAAAAAAACACATCAAACCAAGCTTTCTTGGAGTGACAAGGACATTGAAGCGGACACTGTGCAGGAGATCATTTTCCATTAATTCAAATTCTTTTGTTTACAAGTTTCCCACTGGCAACCAAAAAAACATGGTAGGTGCACGTGTTGTGGTGTCGCATTCATCACACAATAGCACCCAGGAAACAAACTTCAGGTTAGTATTGCATTTAACCTATACTCATTATAGTGATATGTATAGATTACACTCTAATACCTTCCAAAGCAGAATATTTTATGGATTAGGCCACTTTAATTATAGAGTACCAGTCATAAAATCTGATTGTCATTACGTTAAACATATCACGGGTACTAGAATGGTCTTTTAAAGCAGTGGTTCCAAACCCAGTCCTCAAGTACCCCCTAACAGTCCAGGATTTTGGGATTACCCAGTTGTGTGTAAGGTGTTTTTAGATGACAAAAATTAAATAAAATCCTGGACTAGTAGGGGGTTCTTGAGGACAGGGGTGGGAGCATTTCTAAGGTATTTACTTACCAAAACGGACAAGGGAAGTGGCAAACATTTGCCTGAAAAAAAAAATATATATATATATATTTTTTTTTTTTTAATTGTTTTACCTTTTTTGGGATGGAGTGGAGGTTTTTTCCTGTAGCTACAGTCATTATGGAATTATCCGGGGGCTTTCCAAGCAGAGATACACTGCGGCAAAAAACAAACAAAATAAATAAACGGGATAACAATTGTAACGCTATGGTGTGTATGCATTATACAGTGGGCAATGCGGATTTGAAAGCAGATAAGTAAGAAACACTCCCTAACTACATTGAATGGGGGGGGGATCCCATGTTTCACGACAACGTTGGTCTATATAGCTTGCTAGGTACACAGCCAAAGAGACAGGTATTTAGAGACATAGGTTTGATAGACGGATATCATTTATTTGATGCAGCAGTTTTATAAAGGGCATTTAAAACAGATGGTAAGTTACAAAATAATGTCGACAGACCCACGAGGTGAAAAGGGTACTGTTATGGGTTAGAGCAGGGATGCCCAAAAGGTAGATCTCCAGGTGTTCTAGAACTACAACTCCCATGATGCCTTTAGAATAACAAAGCTGCAGCTTTTAAACATCTGGGAATCTGCCTTTTGGACAGCCCTAGACTAGAGACAGATATAGAACAAATAGAATGATAATACACTCACCTGAGCAATGGATAAACGAAGCAGGATAGCCACAGAATATCTGTAGTGCTCAGAAGTGGTGGAAGTTGAAATAAACAAGCCATAAACTGGAAGACAGAATCAGAGAAATGGAAGATTTTTTTTATTCACCTCGGACAGTAGGTTCATTTGAAGTTTTTTTCTGTTATTTAGCAAACACAGACAGTTCCACTTGAGCCTTGGGACATCTGTCCTTTTATTATGATTCCAGACAGGATGTCTTTCTTTTCTGGTCATTTTTGGGGCCTTGGGGACTCACCTGCACAATTACGAGTGTCAGCTGGCACTGCAGGAGAAACAGGAAGCATTTCCTGATGCCGTATGTTGAATGACGAGCCTGAGAAGTGAGAAACTGTGTAAGAACTGAAGAACAGCAAGCTCAGTAGTAATCGTGATGCTCAACAACATGTTTTTTTCCACTAAACACTGAAGTGTAGTTAACTGAAAAGCGATTACGGTGAAACAAAAATCTTTAAATATGCTATAGTCACAGCCTGGCTATTTTGTCCATTTAATGAATATGCTCCCTTACAACACAAAGCTCACAGGTGAAGTTCTAAAGAGTCGATAAGATCCACTGAAGACACAAAAAGAGGCTAATAACCAAATAGTCAGAAATATGATGAGAGAATGGTGTAATCAGAGAAAATGGAATTCAAGAAATACTAAAACTACAAATAGGTCTTTGAGGACAAATATAGAGTCTTCAAGTCATAATCTAGGTCAGGGGTGCCCAAAGAGTAGAAGTACAACTCTCATGATGCTTTTAGCATGACAAAGCATCATGGGAGTTGTAGTTTTAAAACATCTGGGGATCTACCTTTTAGGCACACCTTATCTAGATATATTGCTTGCCATTTTTCTTTTCATTTCGTACTTATTCACCTATGATTGCACGACCATGTTATCTGTGTTTGTGACTGTATCCTAAATAACAATTTATGTTTGCATCGATTATTAGTATCATTAGTTTCCTCCCTTTCTACCTGTGCCATATACTGATAGATGGACTGCTTTCTGTCTTTTAAAGGGACACTATAGTCACCAGAACAACTACAGCTTTTTGTATTTGTTTTTGTGAGTAGAATCATTACCTTCAGGCTTTTTGATGTAAACACAGTTTGTTTCAGAGAAAATGCAGTGTTTACATTACAGCCTAGGCATAACTACACTGGACACTCCTCAGATGGCTACTAGAGGTGCTTCCTTGGGCAGTGATGCACAGTGTGACTGCCATACAGTGTCTCCTCCCTCTGCTTAAAGACACTGAACTTTCGTCATAGAGATGCATTCATTCAATGCATCTCTATAAGAAGATGCTGATTGGCCAGGGCTGTGTTTGGCTTGTGCTGGCTTTGTCCCGATCTGCCTCGTTGACAAGCTCAGCCAATCCATTGCTTTACTTCTGATGATGTCAGCCAATAAGGCAGTTCAGGGGAAAAGCCAGCAGCAGCAGACTGAAACAAAGGTAAGATTTTACTATATTTAGGGAGGGTAAGGTGAGAGGGGGGTGGGGGCAGGGGGATGGATGGTGGTTTTAACACTATAGGGTCAGGAATACATGTTTGTGTTCCTGACCATATAGTGTTCCTTTAATATTTATTGTGTTCCTCTGTCAGTTGGCCGGTGCCATCTCTGTACACTCACTTTACCTTTTTACGTTATTATACTTACAAGCAGTTCTGCAGTTGATTATATTTTAGTTATGAATGGCAGCGATTCACAAAAGAGATCACAAACGGTTACCGTGTTTTGGACTCAAAATTATCAGTGTGTATCACAGCACCAACCTGCTCAATGAGACGGATGAGGCCTACACACTCCTCTTGTCTGAATGACATCGAGCAAGGCAGGCTGTTAAGAGCCGAGGAGAGTTGAAGAGGCGCCAGTTTCTCAGTAGCTGTGGTTCGTAAAGTTCCACTCACATAACCAAACATTTCCCAGGAGCAGCGAGACGGGTATAGTGGATCCAGAGAGATGCTGCAGGGGTGAGAATACAATGAATGATGGAGACTGGAAATCATATATTCAATCACACTGTGCGTTGGTTGTTCATATATTTAGGCATTCAATCTCTTCTTGGCCATTGGGAGTAATGTTAGTGTGACTGCATGTCCCTAGGTGACGTTATTGTGGGGCAAATTATTAACAGAGAGCTATTCACTAAAGTCTAAATGCACTTGTACCGAATGGGGCAAAACCATCCAGTTGCGTGTGGGGCAATTTTGACTGTGAATGATTCAGAATTGCGTAAAGATTTCAGCCTGTCCAAACGCCACTAGATGACTGAAATTCAGCCCAAATATTTCCAGTGACCTAACCGTCCAGATTTCAATATATTCACTTGCAAAAGTGAGTTAAGTTATTTTATTTGTTTTGCCTGTCTCTGAGTAAATAGGCAAATTCTACATATTATGTAGTATTTACATTATGGAGGATTTGCATGTGAAAATAGTGGATTTAAACCAGACACCAAATGAATCCAACTGAATGGTAATGACCAAATTTCAGTCAGATTTACCTTTAGTAACGATGAGAACTGCAAAATCTGGTGATTTTCACAGACTTTTGTCCAACAGGGCAACATTTGGTATTTAGTGAATCCACATGGAGATTTAATGCTCCTAAAAATGCCAACGTAATTCTAATTTTAATAACATGTACTCTATGGCTACAAATGGTATGATTCGGTCTGCATTTTTGGGGGGCGGGGGGGAGAATAAATGTTTGCGTAACCTTTATGGTAACTACATTTGGAGTTTTCTTTACTTCTATGCCAACAGGATAGAGACAAGACAAAACAGAAAGCTATAAATACATTTTAATCTACACATTTGCAAGCAATTTGTCTAGCACAATGTGCTATGATCTAATGTTGATATCACATTGCCCGTTGTGTGTGTGATTTCTTGTAAGTTCTGTCTATGAAAGATAATTTGATCCCATGAAACAGGTTTGCCTATTTAAGCGACAGCCATTCTCCGTCACAAGGCAGGTAGTAATGAAAAGGTTATATACCCAAATGCAATCCGCACCCCCTAGACTCCTCCCCTCAACCCTATAAAGGGAAACACCACAGCCTTTAGCTCCCCATGTTAGCCTGTTCTCAGAACAGACAGGTCAGGTAGCATTGTTTTCTCATTTTTATTACAGACGGACTAAAAAGACGGTAGCCAGGGAAAGCACAGGTTATTTTCTTTGGGCTTGATGGTAACAGGACTGCTGTTATGCACTTTAGGCTTACTTATCCAATGAGATAGGGAAGAGCAAGTACCAATCTGTTAGGACTGCAGTATGGAAAATTACATTTCTTTTTTTTTTTCTTACACGCATTATCTCAATAATTTGGCAAAAGGCCAGAGCCTAGAAGCACGAACTGAAGGACACACAGCAAGAAGGACAAGTGAGGTAATACAAAAGGAAGTGTCCATAGACAGGAAGTGAGATTGTGTCCTGGATCGGAAGTACAATAAGATAAGTAGAGGTGAGGATAAGTGGCAAACGCAAAGCCTGGGAAGACAAAGAACAAAGCTAAAACTGAGACGTGGAGAATACTGACCTGATATCACTCTGTAAGTACAGGCCGCTGTTCCGGATGTTTGCAGAGCTTCCCAGACAACAGGTTACTTCTCCATACTCCTGCATTATCTGAATCATTTCACACATAGCTGGGGAAAGACAAAATAATTTAAATTAATATAAATAATTGTTTTAGTGGATCGATCAGCCACAAAAATATACAAAAAAAAACAAAACAAAACAGTCATCGTCGGGTAGGTTTACATTTAATCAATATCTTGTATTGTCAAAAAATTGCACGTCATTATCTCCTATGGGATGGCAGGTGTAAATGGATGGGTTGACTGTCTGTGCAGCCAGCCCCAAATGACACTGTAGTGTTCTACTGCAATATTTGGGAAGCCGATGCTATAAAGGCCCCACCAGCATGCAAAAGTTCTTTGATTTTGTTTCTTTATTTTTTTTGGTAAAGAATAAAAGATAAATCGAATAGAAGATAAATAATAGAAGAACCCCCCCCAAAAAAACCACCAAAACTAAAAAGACATATGCATGTGGTAGGCCGATGGTTCCCAACCCAGTCCTCAAGTACCCCCTAGCAGTCCAGGATTTAAGGATTACTCAATTGTGTCTAAGGTGTTTTTGGGAAAAAAAACACTTTAGACACAACAGGGTAATCCCTAAATCCTGGACTGATAGGGGGTACTTGAGGAACCCCTGTGCTAGGCCAACGCAGAGGTTTCATCTTATTTTCTATAAAGTGCTGCCATTGTCGGCCATATTTGAGTTTTTCCATGCAGGTGCAATTTAATCTGTTATCATTAACTTACTTTCTGGTGTGCAGTCAGTGAAAAGAGGGACGAGCAGGGGAACATTATCGATGTTCTGCAGGTGAGGTCTAACTTGGTGGATACCACGGGGAAGCTTGGCCTGGTGACAAAGAGTGAAGAAAAAATATTTATAAGTATTGCATTTTTAAGTCTTTGCTGTTTTTCCATAGCTGGTATTGTGTGTGCAGGCAAGAACCCTCTTCTCCCCTATCCGTGTAAGACATTATTGTTACCCGGTTTGAGTCTTCCAAGAAGCTGGGAACATCACTGTCCGTAGGCTGGAAGCTAATCATATCTGAGGGTCCTTCATCTTCCATAAGAAGCATCCCTTCTGCATCCTCCCGAGAGGCTAACAGACATACAAAGAAAAAACGACAGTATATAGTTGTGTTTTTTCAGATATTGCCAAGTGCAACGACTTATAGAAATATACTAATGAGGTTTCATCTTGGTCTTGGATGGACACAACAAAAGGACTTGGTAGCTGTCCAGAAAACATGGAACGGATTATCAAAATTATACAATTGAGTGATCCAGTTCCAGATTTTAAAAATAGTTCAAAACACAACCATGTCCAAAGTTAAATAAATACTGTCAAGGTGTTTTTAATAAAGTGAGAATTCAAATTAAATGTAAAATTTTACACCGGAGTAGTAAAAACAGACAGCATAGCTCACTCAGAGAATTTTTCCATATTGGCTATTAGGATCTTAAATCTGAAATATATTTTGACTGCTCAGTTTAGTGAATAACCTTGTGAGGGAGGTCAGAGTCCAGAAAAATGTTCATGGATACAAAGACCAATGCAGGACAAGCAGATGCAATGTTTAAGTACAAAATGTAGCAAGGTGTAATATTAGCAGGAAGCAAACTATCAAAAATGGACTTTAGGTGGGAACTCTATAAGTACATGCTGGTGATTACAGGTCATATAGACAAAAGAAAGAAAAAAAGACTGCAAAGAAAATATCCTGAGTGTCATAGCAGAATCATACAACTGACAGAGAAGTCCAATATTAAAATCCTCTTATATCCTGAAAACAGTTAAAGTTAGCTACAACGGAATATTAGGAGTTATTTATGGAGCAGCTGTTACGGGACAAGCGTTACTAGGACTTTCCTGTATTACCACTCACCCTGGTGGAGATCATCACGCATGGAGCCAGCATGGCTGGGACTGCAGGGTGGAACCTCGCACTCTGGTTCTTCCCCGTTTGGTGTCAGGGAAATGTGACAGTTCCATCCAGTTTCCAAACCCATCTTTTCTGCAAATACCTAAGTTAAGGGTAGAAAATGGACTATGACTATGAACCAGGAACTATCAGCAACGTAACCTTTAGCACAACCTAATATCTAAATAAAAGTTAGAGATTAGTTGTGCTTTTTTTTTTTTTAAATCTTTATTGATTTTTTACATTTCATTTACATGCTTTACCAGTTAAAGGATGTACATGCGTTAACTCTTGCAATGCCATATTCACTACTGGAGAAAATGCTAATCACACCCTGATGCATCATGGGACAGCAAAACCCCACAAAGAGGAAGTGAAGTGGAGGCATGGAAGGTTTTTTTTTTTTATTATTATTTACATTCCTCAGCTTATTATTCACCATGATAAATGCTGCAATAGAGTTTATTGGGATTAAAAAAATAAGGAACTATCACTTGTCGGGTAGTGGCACTTCCTTTTTTTTTTTTTTTTTACACTAAAGTAAAGGACAAACTTCAAGGACCACTAAATACACCAAAACCACTTCACCATGGTCTGGGTGTAGTGCCCCTGTCACTTTAACCATGCAATGTCAAACTTTGCAGTGTTGTAGAAACTGCAATGCTAACATTACAAAGTTAAACACATCTCTAGTGACGGTCTTCCAAAAACGAATCCACAAGTAAGACACTATATAGCGTTAGGAATACAAGATTGTATTTCTAATGCAATAGTGTTCCTTTAAAGATAGGAATCATATTTAGAGTCTATGCAAAGACTTCTCAATGAGCTGCATTGGGAAGTCTGTGATTGCACAGCAACAGAAAATTTGGGCGGGATTAGAAAGGGAGAGCTTGCACAGGCTGCAGACAGATCTGTAGGTTTGGTAAATTCCTTTTAGATATACCCCAATGGGGAAAGCATACATCAGTGCAAGCTTTCATTGGGGATATATTTACTCAACATTGAATTTATTATTATATTTTTTTTCTTGAATTTGGGCAGTGGATTATCTCTTTAAGCAATATTGATTGGTTGGTGCAATAACATATATCCTTTAATTATATTGATAACACTGTTAAATGATTAGTATGCTCATGCGTTCTTTTAGTGTATTATAAACAGAATGCTGTGATTTTAAGGAGAAAATGTCATTCCATATGTAAATGAGAACATGTACAAATTGCAGTGTGTGTTGGTGGATGTGATGTCAGGCTGAATTTCATTCACTGGACAGCCACCAGTGGAATTACATAAAAATAAGGATATAGTACTTTTAAAGACAAAGGTATTTGTTGATGAAAACTTGTTAGTTGTAGCTCTCTGTTTGACAGATTTAAACTAAGGATGGCCTCCAAAGGATAATCGGTGATACAAATGTTTACAAGGCATACCTCCAGTGGATCTAGCTTGTTTGGTTTTATTTACATCTTTATTTAAAAGGGACTTAATGTAATGATTCTGGAACAAAGTCTGTCCCTGCAGGCTGAGCGGTGTAAGCTCTGCCTTTTCTAAGAAAATTAAGTGTTTACAATGCTGCCTAACACCACCTCTGGTGGCTGTCACTCGAACAACCACTAGAAGGACTTACTGGGTTTGGTCCTCCAAAGATTGCAGGACCTAAAGTCAGATTATCCACAGTCTGCATCGAAACACTGAATACCCCACATACAGATGCCCTGAGTCAATGCAACTCTAAGATTAAATACTTATTGGCGCAGTGTGGCGACTTGTCACACCTGCGCATTAGCCAAGTCCTTCTATAGTTTTTATAGTTGAAGATTAGGACTCATCCAGACTAGGCACCTATATCCATCCATTCTCAAAGCTGAAGACCAGAATTCACCCCGTATCTGAACACCCTTATGGCTCTCTAACAAGTGAGTTGTAATTCACAGAGTTTTAACAGACATCATACTTTATATATATATTTACGCCATATTATGTGGTTTTGTTTAGAGTTTGGAATCCAAAAGTTCTATGTAATTATTCAGGTATTACTTTATTTTATTTTATTTTTATAGAAATTTGTGTTAAAGATAAGAACATTGCTGCTCACCTTGCTTCGAAGCTCATCTTCCATGGAGAAGTACACAAATCGAATACAAGCATTCACTAAACCGTCTATTAGCCTAACAATGTCCAAGCGAGCCTGATATTGTGATGAGACCATGCCCATAAAGATTTGACCACTGAGAGCCTGAGCCATATCCTCAACCACCTCTCCAATGCCTTCTGTGTGTATGGGGGGGAACACAAGATAAACCAGAGGGAAGAAAAGTGAAAGTAAAGGTAAAAATGCTGACTGGTAGAACTGTTTACATTAATACATACAATTTGTAGAATAAAGATCAATTGATCATAAAAGAAGCAATGTTTTAAATAGAGATCACCTCAATGAATGACTCACCGTCAGAGCTCCAGCTGTCATGCCGTCCAGAAATCTTCAGAGGAGTAGATCCAGGGTCACAGGAAGCAGCCAGAGAGCCTTGGCCGGGAGCATGCAGCAACTCTATGCACTTCCCATGGAGATGGGATGACAGGGAATAGTGCATTGGTTTGTAGGAGAAGGCAGAGCAATAACCAGACAGACAGGCTCGTTGATAAAAATCCAACACCTTTTTCCTAAGAGACAAGAAAGAAGTAATGGGAGATAAAATACATAAATAGATAAATATATATGAAGAAAAATAAATACCCTGAATGACCAGGAGCGGAAACAAAAACATTAATAAAAAAGAGAGGATGATTAAAGGAACACTATAGAGTTAGGAACTCATGTATTCCTAATGCTATAGTTATCCCTTTCCTATCTAGGTATCCCCCCAACCCCCACCGTACAGGGTTTTAGAAGACAAGTTTTACTTACCTTAACATCCTGCAGCATGCTGCTCTCCTCTCTGCCTCTCTGGCTGAGATCATCATTTACTGATACCCATAGGGAAACACTGGGAGGCTAGTGTGCATGTGAGGCAAAATGCAGCTCTACACCAATCAAACGCTCTTAACGAGAGTAATTAGAGCTATAACCGAGTTATAGCTCATTGGCAGCTACGGATCCACCTCTAGTGATCGTCTTCCAGACAGCCACTAGAGGCGTCTTAACCCTGCAATGAAAACATTACGTTTCTGCAAAATGGCAATGTTTTCAGGTACAGAGTTAAATGATAAGGACATGGTACCCAGACCCCTTCCATTAAATGAAGTGGTCTGGATGCTTATAGATTCTAAGACAATATAAGGCCAGAGGGAAACATGCGACCACTGGAACAGACAGACAGCATAAATACATTCGATTGGACGACAAACGGCAGGCACGTAAGGGGTAAAAGGATAAGAAGGACTCAAAACCAATAGGCATGATTAGAGAGCACAGTACCTGTCGGATCCAGACAGAGGGTAGATGTCGGCTCCATCCCAGAAATCTGTGCAAGCTTCAAGGATTATGTCAGCTGTTCCATGGGACAGCATCTGCTCTGTGTCTGAGAGCATCACCATGCGGAGAGACAGAGACCAGGGATAAAAGAGGAGAAAGTGGTAATCTGAGTGATGGTATACATACGATACGGAACAGAACAAGGTCAGGCTGTGTGAGAAAGATGCATGCTTTTATAAACACAGGAAACGTTCCTATATACCTAAATCTACAAGAACTAAACTGTAGAGTCAGAGGGAGAAACGAGCATGGTAACAATATGCAGACTTACTGGTTGTAACATCCCTGACGAACAGGCTGATCATGTGACTGAGCAGAGGTCGGTGTTTGGTAGCTGCTGGGAACTTTGTGAGCATTGTCTCTTTCGCAGTCTCATCACTGGGGTGGTGGTAAAGAGCTACATGATTCTGCAGCTTGAACAGGTCTTTAGCTCCAGGGGTGAATCCTGAAAATCAAGAATGGAATGAAAATGGACGTGAGACATGGGAAAGACAGAACGAGGAAGACTGTAAAAAAGGAACGACTCACAGAAGAACCACTCGTGAATGAAACACTTGTAAGCTCACAAAGTAGATCAAAGACAGCCTTATTTTACCCGGGACCCGAGGGTTGCATGGGTACACGTGTAGGACTGATAGAGAATTTAGTCCTTCGATTTGAAGACTTACCAATCAACCTTGAAAAGTCACAGAGACCCCACGGGATGTGCCCTGGGAGCACAGAGCAGTGTGTTTCTTGTAAAGCAATGTGACGCAAATGGTCAGAGAAACGGCACAGTGTGGTGGTCACTCCTGGGTTACACAGGTTTAGCAGCACATTGAGTCCTATGGGTTTTAGAGAACTTAGGTGGAACTGCCAGTTGGACTCATCAAATTGGATACTCTGCGGGTTCTGTTGATCCTGGGACAGACGGAGCATCTCAAGGTGGCAGTCACACACGTAATCGTCCACTTCGCTGTTCAGCTGTAAGCAGAAAACAGACAGTGAAAAGAACTGGCCCATCGAGTCATTTTGAAATCTCATACGGATTTCACTTACGGCATTCAAGATAGTCTTACGCACATTCTAAACATTCTTGAACTCCTTTACTTAGCTTTGACTACTTCCACTGGACGTCAACGCCAGATAGCTAGTGCCCTCTCTGTATTTTCTCACATTACTTCTCAGTGTCTTCCGCCTATGTCAAACCATGCAGTACTGCTCTAGTAATTATCCTCTTAAAATAGGCCCTGTAAGATATTTCAAGGTTGCAATCACATCTTCTCTGTTTACATGCAATGGTGCTGAATTTTGTTAAAATAACTATATACTTTAAAATGGTGTTCATGGTTCAAAAGAAAAAAAAAGTTGAAGGGCATACCATGTACGTAGTTCATATAGCACCATACCCCATAGCTCACAGCTACTTGCAGCATAATTAAGGATTAAAATGCTCAATGGCTTGCATACACTAAATCACCTTTTGCATAAAACGCCAGCATTGCATGATGCTCTTTGTCCAACAAGTTTCCCTCGAGATTTTTCAAATGAAAGTTGTGCCAAAGCTGCTGCAGACCACTACAAAGATGGTCCACATGACAGCTAGTGACATCAAATGATCACGTGTTACCTTTCTCTCCTCCACGGCTAATTGCCGGTTTACCATGCCCATGCAAGTATGTTCTAATTATTATTATTGGCGTTTATATAGCGCCAACAGATTTTGTAGCGCTTAACAATATTATAAGAGGGGGGATTTAACTATAAATAGGACAATTACAAAAAAAAAAAAAACTTACAGGAATGATAGGTTGAAGAGGAACCTGCTCAAACGAGGTTGGAGTCTATGGGAGGTGGGGTATAAAACACAATAGGACAGGCGATAGCAATCAAAAAAGGATGGGAGTGAAGCAGAGCTGAAGGAGAGTAGAGTGCTGCCCTTTAGGAGAGAGCAAGAGACAGGTATGTGAGGTAGAGAATACTCTGGGAGGCCATAAGCTTTCCTAAAGAGATGGGTTTTTAAGCAGCCCACGAGAAGTCCTGCAAGTGTGAGTTGTCCGTACGTGTGCGAGCAGCGGACAGGAGAAGGTCATGGGCAGAGCGGAGTATGTGCCTCCACACAAACGTACTGATGCTTCTGGCCCTTCTTGGGTATCTGGCAACTGGCGTTCCACATCTGTCTTCCCTCTGTCTGCCTTATCATCCTTCAAACTCATTGTTCAGTGATCTTCTGTCCTCCATGGTGTCCTCCTCTTTCTGCTATCTTCTCTCCCTCTGCTCTCCTGTACCCACACCACTCACACTCAGTCTTTCTAAACTCAATTGTGGCCAATCCACTCTGGAAACATATCCTTCAGTTACAAAACCAATATATAAATTGCAAATCACTAACTTTCTACATCTCTCTAAAGATCTCTGCTCACTCCTAACCTCACTGTAACTCTACCTATGTATTCTAACTCTCAGAACTTGTAAAACAGGCACATTATGATGGTTTCTCTGGATTTATATATTGTATTTTATTAATTTATGATTTGCATGTAATTTATGCTGGAAAGTGTCAAGTGATATGTATTTGCAACACTTCAACTTCAGCACTTTTTGTTAACGCATGCATGAATGTGCTCGATACAGCCATGTGTAGCACTATTGCATAGCTAAAAAAAAAAGTTAAAGTTTACTTATGGCTGAAACTCAAACATTTACAGGTTAATGCTGCTTACTAAATAAAACTCATAGGGAGAACATTAGAGATGCAAAGTAGCAATGCCAGTCTTGATCCACTGCCTCAGCACTCTTACCTGTCCTCCAGCATCTTGGCTGAAGCTCACATTAGATCCAGAAGCATGTTTGTGTCGAATGTGTTCTTTGCGCTGAGTTTCGGGAAGCTTATTGGGATCTCCAGGCCGCTCAGCTATTTCCTGCTCATTAACCAGTTGTAATATTTCTGTGTTCGCTAATAGCGCCACCATCTCCTGTGGCTGTATGGACAAAGAATGACCAAAGCATGGTAAGGCAGGTATATGGTACAATAAAGTTAGAGGAGAGTAATGTTAGGTGGGCATAACAATAAATAGGTAATACGTGTAGACAATACCTCATCATCAAGCTCAGCCTGGCAGTAGGATCGCAAGGACATCTGATCAGTGCAGTCCTCGTGTCTGTCTGTGGCATGATCTGCCCGTCCACTAAAAAAGAGAACGGTTTCTGGACTGGGATTTGGCCATGAGAGGACACCCTGTTTATCCACACAGCATAGTACCTGGAAGAGAAGAGTGTTCTATGACCAAAAACCTGATGCCCCATGTCACACTTCTACTTCAAGCTTAGCACTTAATGACTTACAGTAACAGATCCGAGGCCATGCAGCAAACTTGAGGTGTACGGAAGAGTATCGGATCTACCCACCAGGACACGCATGAAATGGGAACACATACAGCGCAGCATTTCCTGTTAAACACAAATTATGTTGCATGTAAAGTCAAAGGACAGGTAATGGCAGGAATCACTTGGCATTATTTTTCTGTCACTAGAACCGACCTGTGCAGAAACTGTCTCCGTATAGCTGCTGAGAGTATCCTCGGAAAACTTAGCAATCTGGGAAAAGAAAGGACATGGCAAGGATCACCGTCGCTCGTTCTCGATAATTCCAGTAAACAATCAATTAAACCTGTGAAGCTTAGATACAGGATTCAAATACAAATTTAAAGTTTGCTGTTTTTTCAATTTGAAAATCACCACATATATTTACCATATTAAAATAAAAAAATAAAACACCTTGGAAAGGCTGAGCAATAATTGTTAGCTTGAAAGACTGTAAGCGTTTCTTTAGTAGATGTTTGATAAATGTCATAAGGACTGGAGGAATTAGATGCACATTTATTATGCTGGTTCATTCAAATTAAAGGACCACTATCGTGCCAGGAAAACAAACTCGTTTTCCTGGCACTATGTAGTCCTTAGGTCCCCCTCACCCTCATGGCCCCCCTCCCGCTGGGCTGAAGGGGTTAAAACCCCTTCAGCCACTTACCTTCCTCCAGCGCCGGGGAACTTTCCTCCTCCTGCCGACGTCAGTACCGAATGCGCATGCGCGGCAAGAGTCGCGCACGCATTAAAACCGCCCATAGGAAAGCATTACTCAATGCTTTCCTATGGACGTCAGCGTCTTCTCACTGTGATTTTCAGACAGCCACTAGAGGCTGGATTAACCCTCCGTGTAAACATAGCAGTTTCTCTAAAACTGCTATGTTTTCAGCTGCAGGGTTAAAACTAGAAGGACCTGGTACCTAGACCACTTCATTGAGCTGAAGTGGTCTAGGTGCCTATAGTGGTCCTTTAAAGTAATTCAAAACATTTTACATAGTAACCAACTACATGATAGCTGGAGAGTGAATAATCCAATGGGCTGAGATTGTACCTTTTTTTTCTCAAATGCACCAAACATATTTTCTTAAGATCTAATTTATTGAACTATGTAACAAATACTAAAATAGGCTCAATAAAGTGGTCTGATCACGCCCCTATTTTTGTTTCTCTCAAGAATAACACGGCATATAAGGTCAGGAATAACTGGCGGCTTAATGAGAGTCTGCTATGTAAGAGTGAAAACATTCTGTCTCTTTTATCCCACATTCAAGACTTTTCGAAAACAAAATGACAGGGACGAGGTTTCTGATATGACCTTGTGGTGCACTTTGAAGTGTTATATAAGAAGTATACTCATAAAAATAGGCACTCAAACAAAAACAGAAAACGTGGAGAATCACTGAGCATTTTATATATTAATTTAGCAAAATTAGAAAGACGCCATAAGGCCGCCTTGGATCCCTCCACCTTTTTAGAGATCAACAGCATAAGAAAGGAAATCACAGAGCAGGCACTTTTAAAAATCAATAAAGCCATTTTTATTTTAAAACAAAAATGGTACCATGCTGCCAATCGATCTAGTAAAATGTTAACAAGTAAGTTAAAGAATAAACGAAGAGCTGATATATTTAAAAAAATTGTTGTTAAGGGAAAACAACTCTTAACCCCCAGACAGATCAGTCAGGCCTTTGGGGACTATTACAGATCTTTATATAATCTAGAACAGGCATAGGCAACCTTCGGCACTGCAGATATTTTGGACTACACCCCCCTTGATGCTCTGCCAGCATTATGGGTGTAAGAGCATTATGAGGGATGTAATCCACAACATCTGGAGTGCTGAAGGTTGCCTATTCCTGATCTAGAAGATCATGTATTTTCTAAGGTCGAAATATCTAAATTTCTTAATAATCTTAAACTTCCAAAAATTTTGGTCTCCAAATTAGACTTTTTAAATAAACCTAAATTGGACAGAAAAAAAATTGCATTAAGTCACAAAAAACAAACAAATCACCAAGGCCAGACGGGTACTCCCACGGGTTTTTTCAGACATTTTAAAATTTACTTTCACCATTATTATTAAGAATATATCATCAATTAATGACGAGTGATATCATTCCATCTGAATGTTACAAGCAACAATCACTCCAATACCTAAGGTTAATAAGGATTCCACCTCTATTTCAAACTATCGCCCAATATCTCTATTAATCTGGATATTAAAATGTATTCTAAAATTTTGGCCGAAAGATTGAAAGAAGTTCTTCCTGATTTGATTCATTTAGACCAATGCGGGTTTATAAAGGGCAGGCGCACGAATGATAACACTAGAAAAGTGATAAATATTATATATCATATAAACCAACAAGAGGGGGAGTCTAGCATGATGGCTCTCGATGCAGAAAAAGCTTTCGACCGGGTGAATAGGCGTTTTTTTAGATGAGGTCTTGGGAGCCTTCGGCATCGAGGGTGCATTTAGGAATAGTGTTATGCTTTTGTACACTTGCCCCACAGATAGGATTGCGGTATATATGCTGTTGTCAGAGTGGTCCAAAATTAGAAATGGAACGAGGCAGGGTTGTCCTCTCGCTCCTCTCTTGTATGTCATGACGATGAAACCGTTAGCTAACCAGATTAGACAAGATAAAGAAATTAAGGGTATTACTATCGGAACATTGGAATGTAAACCTTTCTTGTATGATGTCCTTTTAACTCTAGCCAATCCAAAATTCTCTATCCCCAAAGACATCCATTTGATTGAAGAATATGGCTGTTTTTCAAATTTTAAACTAAACTTTAATAAAACTCAAATACTATTGAATAATGTATCTTTTGCGGATATTGAGTACATTGAATCAAGATTATTTGGGGATTAAACTATATTTGGATTTAGACTATATCAGAAAAGAAAATTATAATCTTAAACTTTGCAATTTTAGAAATACTTTAGCAAATTGGAAAGGGCTGGAACTATCTTGGATGGGAAGAGCGGAAGTGATAAAATCTGATTTGCTCCCTAAAATTTTATATTTGTTTAAAAACATACCTCTCAGAATAATTTAATACTTAAGGAAATCCAACTAATGATTAATACATTTGGCAAGAAAAGAAATCTAGAATTTCCTCAAATACTTTATATAGGGATTTTAAAATGGGTGGGGGGGCTATCATTTCTCAACATATTCTCTTTGTATAAAAACAATATTTTTGCGCATGCCATCGCCTGGGACAATAGGTCAACCTCCAGACCCATTTGGCTGGAGATCGAAAAACAGGATTTAGGGAAAAGAGAACCTCTCTGTCTACTTTGGTCCAATATAGACCTTAAAAAGAAAGGAAGTAGAACGTTTTCTATTTGTAACCCGATAACTGGAGCTATTTACACAACCTTTTATAATTTAAAGATTACAGAGCTGGGTTTACGAAATTCCCTCTGGCATAATATGCCATAAGAAAATGTTAAACTAGATATAGGTGACATTAGAGCTGTCAAAGCTGTAAAAGATCTAGCACCAGAGGGGTTCTGGTTACCTTTTGATTTGCTCCAGACGAGTTTTGATTTATCGTCCAGAGAAGTTTTCAGTGATCTTAGACTGAAAAATTCCATTAAATAAAAAAACCATTGTAACGGATAACCCTGTAATCGATTTTTTTGATAAACACCATAAACATAAGATAACCTTAAGGGTTTCCAATTTTTTCACCCTGTTACAGCACACACAAAAAAAAAAAATGTCTCCATGGATTAAATGGGAAAAGGAGATGAATGTTGAACTGCAATATGGAGAATGGTTGAAGGGTTTGATCATTGTTCGGAACAATGTTTACAGCATGACTAATAGAAACTTAGTACAAAATAACTTTATGCTGGTATCTAGTCCCAGTTAGACTGCACAAATTTTACTCCAATAATTCACAAATGTGTTGGAGATGCGAATCAAACGTGGGTTCCTTCTTACATATCTGGTGGGGTTGTACGGAGTTAAAAAAAAAAACAAAAAAAAAAAACTATAAAGCCCTTACAGAATTTTCTCAAGTCTCTACTGGGAATTAACTTTGTTCTAACTCCTCAGATCTTCCTTTTTAATATAGTGTTACCTGGAAATCATACCCAGAACTGTCTAATTGTCCACATAATGTTAGCAGTTCAAATTTGTATTGCACGAAAATGGAAATCTAAGGGTGGTTTAGGTTGGACAGAAATACTGCAACAAATAGATTACCAACATAGCATGGAGGCCTCTTTTAATTTAGACCAATCTCAATACGTCAAATATTTGAAGCTTTGGGCTCCCTGGAAACAAATCAAGGAGAACAAGGCGAGCTTATTCTAGACGGGAAAATTATGTCATTGCCTCCCCCTACTCCCCCTCGATAAGGACCTTGGGTGAATGCTGAATGTATGTAATTTTAATGTAGCATTGTTTTTTTACAAATGTAACTATTTTCTTGTACTTTGTTAATTATAAAGAAACATTAACTTGTAAAAAGAAAAGAAATAAGAGAAAAGGATAAAAAGAAAGAAAAAAATAATAAAGGGGGATACTACTTATATGTTTATTGCCTTATATTACCTTTTTCAAGTTGTTACTTCCATGCAAGATGTTTAAAGCCTACTCGAAAAGTACTATATTGTTAAGGTATATGTACTGTATGCCTCCTTTGCTTGACTCATTAAAAAATAAATATATAAAAAAATTAAAAATAAATTATTAATCTCATGCTCTGTTAATGGCATTATAGAGCCTGCAGGAGCCTCCTGTATGGGATTACATATTAATATACAGAGTAAACAATAAGGTAAGTTAAGATCTGATAGAGAATTAAACAATTTTTTCCCATGCAGGCGGTGTCAGTCACAGCCAGGGGAGGTGTGGATAGGACAGCATAAACTGAAATAAAAGTGATTAAACTCCTAAATGGCAGAGAATTGAGTAGTCAGACTGCAGGAGCAAGATCTATACACTAAGACTACTTTATTAAGCAAAGGTTGCTTTGATGCCTGTAATTTCCCTTTAATCATTTAAAAAAAAAAAAAAAAAAAGGAATAAGAGTACAGCAATTTGTCTTTTTTCCTGGTCAGAATCAACTTGCATTCTTATTTGATTAATAGATTTTCTCCTACATAATTGAGATTTGATTCCAGATTTAATGTAGTTCAAATCACATGAGCAGGACCCTATCTTATACTGACAGCTCCTTACCAGGGCACTTGGGGAAGTCTTGCTCATTTGAGCCAGCACACGGGCCTCTCCAAGAGCCATTACCAAGATCCACATAACAGGGAAGAGAAGGGGAAGCACTGGCAACACCGCATTCACCTGCAAAAATAAGAGACAAAATCTGTCGGAACAATGCAGGGAGATAAAATCCAAACAAACATGAACATAACATTGATGCAAGTAGACATCTGTATAATAGATTGAAGTGTAATCAGATGTAATCACTGTACCTGTAGCTGTAACACTGCATAGAGAGCAGGAGGGATGCCCGGTGTATGGAAGAGAAGTCGCAAAACATTAACAACAAGAAAGGTAATCTGCAAAGTTAAAACAGACAATCAGAGATCAGAGAAATTCATGGTGATGGAGGCACGACAGAATACTTGTATTCTTTATTGCCATATGACTCACCGCAATGCTGGGTACAGCATAAATCAACATCACTGACTGAACCGTGAACCTCTCATTATCGAGGGCAGTTACTGGGTGAGTGAGGGCCTGATCCAGCCAGTTCCTTAGAGTAGGAGGGAGAATGCATGTAAGTGTACTTGATCCAGTCAGTTCCTTAGAAAGTAAGCGTGTGAAAGACAGTTCAGAAAACTGGAGAAATGTGAGCGTAATAGAAAACTGATCGAGTCAGTTTCCGAGTTTACGGTGCTCAGTCAGAACATCAAAGAACAGAAGAGACAGGTTGTAGACTTTCAGAATATGTGACAACAAGAAACAAGGAATACAACAACTACTCGGAGTCTTGTATGTTTAGCATTAAGGTAGCGGTGGTTATCCTTGCGCTAGACTACATTTCCCACAATGCTCAGTCAGCACATCTCAGTGACAAGGTCTGATATTAACGTTTCCTAAGGGCTAGAGAATGAAAGTGCTTCTAATGCTATTGTTCCCTGGAATGGATAACAGTAACCTTGCACATCAAATTAATTCTGATTTAAATGTTAAATTCTCTAATTTACCAACTACTTAGAGATCCAAGTGAAGTCAAGGGTTATCGTTAATATTATATTTATATATAGAGAGAGGGAGATTTATTTATTTTTCTACTGAGCTAATCAAACCAGGAAGTAACAGGACATGTTGTCTGACTGACAGCCTGTGGGGGTGTAACAAGGTCAATTTATTAAAGTGCTAATTTCTATTAAAATCTTTTTGCAAAAAAGGTAAGGGAAAAAAAAAGGGGGACACACAATATTCACACACAGAGATTTTCAATAAGCTGAAGTGCTTTAACGGTTTAAAGTTTACCCTTAAACCTAAAGATCCAAAATATATAAAAAAAATAAAAAAATAATTACATCGGAAAATATTTGCTTATGCACTTATTTTGGTTTACGCTCTGTAACGGAGATATATATTTGAAATCCATAGGCATATTCCCAAGGTATAAGGCTTAAAGTGAGAATAAAAGCAGCCTTAGAAATGTTTTCAATTACACTAGTACTACATGTATACATGTGTATACACATACACCACAAAACAAACACGAACACACACTTATTATGCACAAAATAAATGTAAATAGCATTTAATGATGCACACTAGGGTACGACCGATTTAATTTTTTCCGGAGCCAACACCAATACAGACTCTCGGTCACCTTTAAGGCCGATTACCGGTGCTGATTTTCAGTACATCTAAAAAGGTGTTGAAGAAGTAAGGCGATTTCTACACAAATCTGGTATTAACTGAACATGTTGTCAGCAATCACACAACTATCAATCTCAGGCAGCCAGTACATGCTGGGATCAGTTACTTGCCGACAGCAATCACAGTCCTATCACTCTCAGTAAGACAGACTAGTACATTGCAGTAGATTATTCATGGTGGCACCTCCCTGACTTCAGAGGGGCTTTGCGTGAGAGGACTTATGGGGAGGGGTGACATGAGGGTCGCTGCTGGATGGAGTTTCTAGGAGAGGTGAGCAAGTTATTTGCTGTAATATTGGTACTTTACAAGATCGATGCCGATTATTAGAAATATGCAGAATATCGTCTCTAATAATTGGTGGAACCGATAATCTTTCTATCCATAATGCTTGCAGGCTTTATTAGGGTGACTTTAGGGAAAAGGGACACAAAACATGTTGCTTACTGTAAAGGTATGTATTCATTATAGGGTGTTTAATTATACTGCGCTACAAAGATTAAAAAACACACAAAAAAAAAAAAAAAAAGGGTACAGTACACCAGACAATTATTTACATTCAGTGTTACCCATACACATACACTCATTGATACATGCAGACTGCAAATACACATCTGAGCTCTTCATTAACAGCCACCCAGGACTTTCACAGGGAATGATGAAGAGCAGCGATTTGAGTGGCTAGTTGCTCCCCTTCTTGCGTCAGTTACTTGCACGGGTCAATACTGCTGGTGTGTGACATTAGGTTTCCCAGCAGCATCGCAAGGTAACATCTGGGAGCATCTGCTCACCAGCCATCTCACTGGGAGCGCCTGCTCACCAGCCATCTCACTGGGAGTGCCTGCTCACCAGCCATCTCATTGGGAGCGCCTGCCTACTAGCCATCTCACTGGGAGCGTCTGCTCACTAGCCATCTCACTGGGAGCGTCTGCTCACTAGCCATCTCAGTGGGAGCGTCTGCTCACTAGCCATCTCAGTGGGAGCGTCTGCTCACTAGCCATCTCAGTGGGAGCGTCTGCTCACTAGCCATCTCAGTGGGAGCGTCTGCTCACTAGCCATCTCAGTGGGAGCGTCTGCTCACTAGCCATCTCAGTGGGAGCGTCTGCTCACTAGCCATCTCACTGGTAGTGTCTGCTCACTAGCCACCTTACTGGGAGCGTCTGCTCACTAGCCATCTCGCTCGCTCACTCAGAGAAGTCCCCAGCCCCTCTCTGCTCCCCTACTCCTATACAATTTTTTTTTTGTTTATGAAACCAGTTTCTCAGACAGCCTGGCTCCAAGAAAGAATGGTCAAAATAAGTCATCAGTGCCCAGGTATGTGTGCATGGGAGCCTGAATCAAATTAACCTGGGTGAAACAGTGACAATGCATGTATTCATTTCATACATGGGGAAACTTGTAGATTCTAAGTTTGTTAGAAAGTAAAACACGGGGAATCCTCTCATTAGTATTACATTACAAACCATCATAGAGATATCAGTGAAGTCTTTACCTGACATTGTCCATTACAGGTGTTTTCAGGATGCGAAACAAGTGATGTTGCTGTGGGTCATGGGGGACCTTCTTACCCTCAGCATGGGGAGAAGGAGGAGGGGAAAAAGGAGGAAAGAGGTCCCCTGGTTCCAGCACTATGTGCTCATCATCCTACAGTAGAGACAAGGAAGAGATCACATGTCTTCACCTATCACAGTAACATGTAATAAACTGTGAATAGTTAGTGAGTGATGCATTCTACTGTTTGAATTAGACAGCATACTACATGCAAAGCAGAAATGATAACTGAATTCATGCTCGTGCATCAAGCATATAACCATTTTTCTTTTTACCAACTCACTGGAAACCGTCATCAGAGAGTTTGGTACTTTTCCTAGAATGCCTTCTGAAAGGGTGATGCAATCATAGAATATAGCATAACGGTTGGTAAAAAGCACCTGCTGTTTGCAATTGAAAGATTTGCACTATTCAGGGAAATTGTGAGTGAATTCACACTTTCCCCACTCCGCAGTAAGCATGATCACACAGTTCTATGTCTGTCTATAGACTATTTTGCACATGTTCTTGTGGAAATATAATTAGATTTGATTGAATGAAGAATGCTAGACGGCTTTCTACATTACTTTTTCTTTCTTTTTTTGCATGCACACCAGTAAGATTGTTTTCTTATAAACTGCTGGATTCAAATGCAAATATACCCAGAGAAAACCTACAATGCAAGGGTTCCTTCATGTATTTACATCACCACCTATTGGGGGACACATTTTTTTTTTAGTTTACTGCACAGTACCGGTTTGGTCCTAAACGATTGGTTACCTTCATTCCTCGCAAAGAGGCAAATGATTCCTGTCCCGGTCGCAGAGCTATGACATCACCATCAACGAGCAAGCTGACGGGCAGGTTCACAAGTCGGCCATCTCGATATGCCCAGTGAAGAGACCATGAGTGTGCAGTTGGCATATACAAGTCGGGATACAAGGAATCTTCCCAAATCGGTTCGTAAACGCTGGACAGAACATCTGTATCGAAATATCCAAAGCAGCTTAGAATCTATTGCTCTACAAACCATCAATAATTTGGTTTTGTTTTTATTTATAGCAATAGAGCTTGAAAACAAATGACTCAATTCCGATAACTTATATTGATATTATTCCTTTCAGATTGGAGCAAAAAAAAAAAAAAAAAAAGGAAATATAAATTTTTTAAATACCATTTAAAAAGACAGCTGCATTAATCATGGTGACCTGTCAAGGCTTCTTCAACTGTGATTTATTCAAACCATTCAATTTGTTAAAATAAAAACATTTTCATTAATATTGGAATACTCCAACCCTATACATGTTTGGTAAAATAAACAGATTTGGTTACGGTTATTAATGCTGGTTGGGTTTTTCTAAATTTATTTTCTCTAATAGTAACCAGTTTTGCTCCAAAACAACACGTTTTCTGCTCCTTTTTTTTCCCATCCTGCAATGAGTCCTATTTTATTCCCTCTGAAAATACTGCTATAGATTATGTTAGGACAGGTTTCTGAGAATTCTGCAGAGCAGTCATTCCGTTACCATCAATTCCGGCGATGATCCTCATAAGTCTGCCCTCCACCTCGTTTTCCTTAAGCATTTCTAGTCTTCTCATTAGGAACAAGTCGAGGAAAATCAGAAGAAAGAGAGCACAGGCATTGCCTATCTCGGAGCCCTGACTGCAGGAAAAACAGTAAAAAAAAATATTTCAACAATGAGTCAGGAACAAACACACATACTCCTGAATAAAAATGTAAATACAAAAAGGACACTCCAGACAATAATTACAGTCCTGCTTTCCTCTAAACAAGGAGTGTCCCAAAGGTAGATCCCCAGATGTTTTAAAACTACAGCTATCATGATGCTGTGTCATTCTAAAGGCATGCAAAGCATCATGGGCGCTGTAGTCCTACAACCTACCGCACCCGTGCTCTAAACTGACATCAAGCAGTCCTGCGGGAAAAGACTGGAAGCAATAGATGCAGCACAGGTGTGAAGATCAGTTGTCAAACTGTACTAAAAAACATCTTACAGTGGAACGTTCTCCAGGAACTCCTGACACATTAACCAATACGGCGAGGTGGTGTTCCTTTAAAATCAGTAATTCTCACATGCACAGGATATACAAAATGTCCGATTTGTATATTTCAATGGCGTTAACGCTTTCTCCCCAGTGGTGAACTTTCAAATTGGTACAAATTACAGCTTTTTGTAGGCGTAGACAGAAATGACAGCGGATTGTTTGTAAATTCAATTTCTGAATTTCCATCAGTTCCACCAATCGGATTCAGATTTCACTAATTCGGTGGCATCCAGAGAGGCTGTACTGGGATGGCTGCTAACATCTTATAAAGCAATTCCATTCCTACAAGAAAAGAGGACTGGTGGATGGAGGAAATGCTATTTATCTTGTAAAAATCTGCAGAAAAATAAGCTTTGGATAAGATCAGATCCATAGAGCAAGATGAAAGACTCTTGATTGGAGGAGCCTCTGCTGCTGACAGTGTGTGTGTGTGTGTGTGTGTGTGTGTGTGTGTGTGTGTGTGTGTGTGTGTGTGTGTGTGTGTGTGTGTGTGTGTGTGTGTGTGTGTGTGTGTGTGTGTGTGTGTGTGTGTGTGTGTGTGTGTGTGTGTGTGTGTGTGTGTGTGTGTGTGTGTGTGTGTGTGTGTGTGTGTGTGTGTGTGTGTGTGTGTGTGTGTGTGTGTGTGTGTGTATGTATGTATGGGGCCGGGATGTGGAATTTGTATTGCCCAACAGCTCGGACATGAAGTGTCTGCCCAGAAAACCTGGAAGCTAATACAGTGTGATATGCTGAATATAAGAGTGAGAGACAAGTCCAGTGCAGGGAGTTCCTACAAGTGCAGACCAAAGTAATCACTCCCTTGCGCTCACTAACGAGTCAGAGTGCAGCAACCAGGATTCCCAACCTGCACTTTGACTCACCGGGTGCTGGGACTGCGAGGAAGCACCAGTCAGAGTTGCTGGCCTCACATCCGCCCCCACTGGACCACAAGGGATCCAGGGAAAAAAACAATGGAAAAGCTTATCGAATTGTGCTTTTTAAAAAATAAATAACATTTTTTTAAAAGGACCACGCACTACATAAACCAAGCACATACCACAAACATTACATCCATCCATCATAGACCCCACACAATACATACAGCCAGTACACACACATTATACAGCAAACAAACATGTTACGTGCAGCACACACTATAAGGAAGGACGGAGGGATACTAAACTCCATATTAAACTCCATATGAATTCTGCATGGCATAAGTGAAGTAAAAATAGCCAATTGTGACTATGGCTGACTTGGAGTAATTTCAGATAATCTATTTTTGATTCAATTGTTCCCCATTCACATTTAATTTGGGAAAATCCAGAGTTTGAGAATAACCCTCAATGTACAGGTCCCAAACTTCCCAAATTAAAATATTCTGTGTCAAGACACTGTAATGACTGACAAGTAGATTGTGTCACCACTTTAGTCCGTGGACAAGTAGATTTCAAAAGAATACGTTCCTGCGTATTACACACCTTTTACATTTATAACAACAGGGCTGAGTCCAATTCTAGATAGCAGAAATATATATATTTTTGTCTCATTCAATAGCAGCCAAATATACAGAACCAGTATTAAATGGAAAGATCGTGCCAGAGCAGAATTCAGCTCACCTTCCTTCTGGCTGGCTACCATGACAGCACAGCAGCAATAATGTGGCAAGCAGCATGAGGGCAGCACCAGGCCAGTGGAAGCACGATGATCGGTTGGCATGGTACAGGAAGCTCCGCCTCCATCCCTGCACAAATAGAACCACATCATTACATTTTTAATTTTCAGAGTGAATGTCTCAGAGCATATTTTGTAGACTATGCATTTAAGAAAATTACACCCTGGAAACAAATTATACGTAATTACACCTTTATAAAAGTAGTCTTTAAAAAACAAGTATCTTGCTTTTCTAACTGAACAAGAGAAACGCCAGTCTAGGTACCAATATCTTTTTAAAAGAAATTTTTTTTTGAAAAAGTTTTTTTAATTCATTTTTTTTTTATTTATTTTTTTTACAGACATTCCGTCTGTCTCTAGATTCCATACATCCCACATTGAGAAGTGTGGAATACTGTATGTATCTTCCTATCTGTTTATATATTTCTATATGCTATCTCTGTATGTACCTCCATGTCTCGATCTATGGCCTCGATTTATTATTGTTGGGTAAGCTTCCCAAATGATATAAAAAAAATTGTAAACTTTTTTAAATAATTGTTTCAACGTATTAAAAAGAACACTTTGGGCATCTAAACAACTTAAAAATGAACAGCTTGACCCCAAAGGCTGCCTCCAGTGCCGAATCTCCAGTCTCCCAGAGACAATGGCTTCTGAAAATGGAGTTTCAGGAAGCGCGGAGTGCAGTGGGGCAGGGGCACCTTGTTGATTGGCTAGTTGTCCGCTTATACTCTAATCAATCAGTAGCTCCTCATTAAGAAAAAAAAAAAAAAAAAAAGTATGTTGTCAAATGGACACTATATTCACCACAACCACTACAGCTTAATGTAGTGGGTCTGGTGTCTATAGCAAAGGCAGTGTTTACATTGGTGCCTAGTAACACCTCTAGTGGCTGTCACTCCGATGGCCACTAGAAATGCTTCCGAGTCCAGAGTTGCACAGAGTGCAGCACCTACGTAATGCTCATCCATGCTCTGCAAGGAGATGCTGAAGATTCTCCATAGAAATCCATTGATTTCATGTGTTGTTATGATAAGATGCTGATTGGCCCAGGGCTGCGTTTTGCCACGCATTCACATTATCCTACCAATGGTTAACCCTGGTTTATTCAGTGTCCCCCCCTTTTTTCCGGTTCTCTGAAATGGTTCCATTGGAAACACTGGATAGCTATTATTGCTATTGGATAGCTATTATTTTTGGAGATTTATTCTGAATGCTTTGTTCTTTATGGTGACTTTTGTATGTTCCTTTTTGCCACATTTTATAATTCACAGGGAAATTCTCAATAAAAATGACACCGCAAATGCTATAGTACATTACCTCTACAGGCTACGGCTAAGCTTTGGGAAGAAGGGCCTTGCCTTACATAAATATCTGGTGAGCTTGTGACCCTCTCTGATCACTTTCGAAACTGGCTTTTGAACAACGTAGCTGGAATTTATAGACCCAATTGCATCCAGACCATCTGAACACCTCATTCAAACCTGACTACCAAGCCACCCAGTTAACCTGACTTTGTAACAAATTTGAGTGGCATTACTTATAAGTATAATCAAACAATGACTTCCATAGCGCAACAGCAGATTGTATCTAAAGTGTGGTTATTAAATATATAATAATAAAAATACATAAATAAATCAACATGGCAGTGTTGGTTTGTTTATACTTGCGTTGTAACACATAACGTTCATTAACCTTTTGGAGAGATCTATTTTAACAATATTGGTCAATATTTTCTAATTGTAGGTAACAGAAAGCCAAACTGCACCTTTTAGGCATAAATGGCTGATCGAGAAACAAAAAAACAAAAACAAATCTCGGCCAATTGTCACAGCATTTTTTTTGTCAATAGGCAAACATTCCAGCTGTTGGCAGGTATTTGTAACCTGTGGTGAGGTGTCTTCATGGGCAAAACTGGGTAAAAAAAACAAAACAAAACCCCAAACAACAATTACGTTATCAGCAGTGTCCCTTCCCAAACACACACAGGAGCACCAAATGTCCCTGTAGGACAGCAAATTACATAACTGAAATAAAATGTTATTTCAGGATAATACGAATGAAATCTCAGTCCAGCTGTATAAACGGTGTTTTGACCTATCAAAGTAGAGTATCCCCAAAGACACAAAGGCCACTTAACATGCGCATGTATACTGATTAGCAAAATCTCACCTTCCACAAACCTACACTCTTCTTCTGTTGCTGGTGAGCAGCCAGGGCTGACGACAATTGTTCTTTCAAGCGTGATAAAGCCTGTCGAGTGGAGAGACCCAGGCACTGCCTTGGACCGTCCTGTTAGCAAAGGAAATCAATGTAAAACTATATATCTGTCGTTAAATAAACACATTACACATCTGTTCACAGTACAAATCTGTTCCGCTACCTGGCTTTTCTCATTTGGCTCCATAATGCCCTGCTCTTGCAGACCGTCATGTACAGGCTGATGTGCTACTTTTTCTTTAACACCACCTACGAAGCAGAGAGGTACAGTAAGAGCGGAAGCGACAATGTTGCTTTAACAGGAAAACTTCCTCTGTATCAGAGATTAACATAGTTCATATATGAAGAAATGTAGCCAACAACGACATTATTAATTTTCCACATTTATCACTAGAAAAAGATGAAAACTAATCACAATATCTATAGTGGCAAAAAATGGAAGATGCAGTCACGAGTAAGGAGAATATAGGGGAATGATCAGGCAACAAAAATGGATTGCAAAGAGATTGTGGACATACAGGACATGGGCCTTGAAAATCAACTGGTGAAAATTGGAAATTTGAAAACTGAGCAGTATGTAATTTTACCTTTTGGCTCTCAAAAATCTGGTATTTAGAAGTCTACATGTGGGGCATTGCCGTACTGGGAGGTGGAGAACAAGCAAAGTACAAAATTGGGGTTTTTACAAAAATTGACACATTATCTGTGAGATGTGTGTAAAAACCACAAGCAATTCAACATATAATCAGTAGATTTGGCAATTGTTGGTGATACAAAAAAAAGTGATGACGTGATGTGATTACATGCAAAGTGTACAGACTGATCAGCGCTTAAAAAGTTAAATAAAGGCAGCACACCTAAAGGATAGGGCTCCCACACAGGCCCTATAGGTATATAGTTATAAGGAAGTAGAAAAAGGTCATGTGATTATGTTTTCTCTTTATAAGATTCCATTAAAGAAAAAGTACTCTTGACATTTTAGTAATTAAGGTGTGCGCAAAGAAATAAAATACCCCCTCCTTGAAAAAAAAAAAAAAGACTATTGGAAATTGCTGACAATATGAATGGATATTGTAAAAAGATATACTTTGTAAAAATGCTGAATGCAGATGTAGCTTGCTCGCCCTGTACAATTATTTGCAATTACCTGTGCATTCATATTTTATCGAGTGTTAAAGGGACACTCCAGGCACCCAGACTACTTCGGCCCATTGGAGTGGTATGGGTGCCAACTCCCACTACCCTTAACCCTGCAACTGTAATTATTGCAGTTTTCATAAACTGCAATCTTTACCTTGCAGGGTTAAGTCCTCCTCTAGTGGCTGTCCACTTGAGGACACTTCCGTGTTCATAGAACATGCAAAGCGTGTTATAACATCGCTAGACGTCCTCACGCTATGTGAGGACCTCCAGCGTTGCTGAAATCCCCATAGGAAAACATTGAAAGCATTTTTCAATGCTTTCCTATGGGGAGGTCTAATGCGTGTGAGCGGCATCGCCGCGCATGTGCATTAGGTCTCCCCCGCCGGATGATGTCGGCAGGGGAGGAGCGTGGGCAGACCATGACCCAGCGCCGAGGGACATCGGCGCTGGATACAGATAAGTCACTGAAGGGGTTTTAACACCCTCAGCAACCTGGGATGGGGGGTGGGAGGGAGAGGGGACCTGCAGTGCCAGAAAACTGTTTGTCCCAAAAGATAATAAAGGCCATTATATACCAATAATGGCAAATTAGAAACTAAAATGGATGTGGTGTAATACATGGATAGACATACGTACACTAAAAGTATCTATGAGGTAGTTATAAAATGATAGGAAATTATAACACCAGCTCTATAAATAATTTGGAAACCACCGCAAAAATAAACCACAAAACCTATTTTTTAGGTAAGCTTTCAACCAAAACTGATTTCGAGCATGTGACTTATTTAAATGTTTCTCTCTTTTTTAATCTATATGCAAATGTCCTCATTTATTTTTGTGCTTATTTTTTTCCCTTTGTCTGCTGGTATTCTTTAGTGATTAGTCACACAATTCTTTATGTTATTGAGAACATCTGGTGTTTACAGTAATGTTCTTTAGCATGGCTGCACACAGACAGTAAAAAAAAAAAAAATAAAAAAAAAATCAGTGATCAATTATTGAGCACTTTACCTATTCAAATAAGATTCAAAATTAAGGGCTTTAAAACTGGAATTGCACGGGGTTATGGTGCTCAGAGTGTACTGGTGCTTCCTCACTCAACAGTCAATCTTTATTCCTGACTCCCAATGGCTTTTGATTTTTTTCAATGGGAGTTACTAGTGCACAATTTACACTCTTTAATTCCCTTTACACTGTTTCCCACTGAAGAACCGCCTGACTGGCGTAACGCGCGTCGGGGCTCTGTTTTTTTCTGCTTGGAATGATGTATGGATTTTATTTTACAACTTTTACTTATCAGTATGACTTTATAAATAAGCAAGTCACAGTCCGTTCATTAGTTCTTGCTAGCTAGCTAGACATTCAGCCAATGTTTGATAGTTCAGGTGCCCTTTAAGGCACAGTTTAGTTATAGGTGCTATTTACCTTCACCTTGTTTCTAATGTAAAATGTGACTGTTCAATGTTAACCTTATAACTAACTGATTCTTTTAGGATGTCTTCCTGACACTGTAGTACCGGGTGGCAATAAAGCTCCCTATAGTGCCCCCCTTCCTCTGGATACAGAAGGGGTGAAAAACCTCTTCTGTGACTTACCTAAGTCCAGAACTGATGTCCTACCTGACATCGGCGGGGGAGACCAAACGCACATGGCTCACATTTGTATTTCCCCCAGAAATTTCCCTTAGAACGCTTTCCTAAGGGGTTTTACATCGCACTGAAAGTCCTCGTGCATAGCGTAAGGATGTCCAGCGTCAGTTAGGCGACCAAAAGTTGCTTAATAATCTGGAAATCTCTAGTGATTTTTTGGTAGATAGCCACTAGAGGTGGAGTTAACCCTCAAAAGGTTTTATAGCAGTTTGTTAAAAACTGCAATAATTACCTTTGCAGGGTTAAGGGACCTAGGACTATGCACCCATACCACTTCAATGAGCTGAAGCGGTCTGGGTGGCTATGTATCCCTTTAAGGATATAACAAGCACTAAGCTAGCATATATGTTTTAGCAGATCAGTAGCCGCTAACATTTTTTCAGACATTTGTTCTTGACCTGCTTAGGGTTTAAACACCTGGCATAACATTGTTTAGTGAATAATTCCGTATACATTTTTGAAGCAACTCTGTTTCTTTACTATTAGTTGATTGTACCCTCAAGGGATTACTGTGAACTATTGTGGTAGAAACACTGTTGCTTAATCACGCCATGGATACTACTTTCTGTGTTTAACAGCCAAATTTACTGTTCTTGGCTGTAAATCTGTAGTATAAGTTTGATCACAATCGCTACATATACCTATAGATACTATAGTGATTTAGTGGTTTTATATATTCATACACATGTGTATTCATACATATATATTTTTTTTTTTATAAATTCTTTATTTTGTTGGTGTTTTTGTACTTTATGGGGAGAGGGTTACAGAAAGAAGAGATTGGGATGAAACGTTAGTTTAACATATAACAGTTTATAACAATATTAACAAGTCAGGTATTGGCTTATGCATTGCGTTGTTGTGCCTAATTTGTATCAGTTTTCCTGGCATATATTTGTATTACTCCTTTCGGGAGGAGCTTGAGGTGTCAGGGGAGATGGAAACGGGAAGCAGAGCGAGGGGGGGTATCAAGTGGGTGTAGAGGTTTATTTGTTGCGTGTGATGACCTTTCATCGTGCGGGTCCTCGGCGCTCTATATGTCTGTTCCTTCTGGGTTTGTTGGTGTGTTATTGATGTCGTATGTCGCCTTTTATAGGGTCTTCGTGCGGGTCCTTGATTGGGTTGCTACTTAATTGAGAGCATTTTGGTTAAGACATTGCTGGGTTGTTTGTGTTCCTTGTGTTGTGGGTAGTGATCTGCCAGTTTTGTCTCCGTTGTGGGTGGGATGTGGCTCCCTAGTTCTAGAGTCGCTGCCCGTGTTAAAGATGTTGTTTGTTTGGGTCTCGTTTGTTATACCCCTATTTTGCAGGTTCTGCGGTAGGTGTGCCCTGGTCCCTGTGTGGTATAATGGTCTAGATTGTGTCAGCTTAGGTTAAGTCGTGGGAACGTGTTGTTTGAGTTCCTTGTGTGTCTCTGTGTGATTGGTGCCTTTGGTCTTTAGTTGTAGAGTTGGTGTGTCCTGTGGAGGTCACTGTTTCCATTTCGGCGGGGGGGGATTTTTTTTTTTAAACTTTATTTTTGCAGATTTGTGTGCCTGATTTATTTTATGTTAAAGTTTTATCTTGGAACTACCAATTAATCTTGAAATGTATATAGTGAAGTGAGTGCAACAACACCTTTTCTCCTCGTTATCAGATCTTTAACTCCACCTTTTGCATTTTTTTTGAAATATGTTTTATTACAGAATTGAGAAGAGTTATTCCCTAAACCAGGAGATTGTAGTTCAAAATCCAAATTTGAAAAAAAAAAAAATTGTAGAATTATTCAAATCTGGTTACCGGTATATTGGCTAAAAATTAATTTTCAATTTCCTGATTAATTCCTCACAATTTAGTGAATAACCTTGTGCATGAAATGTTTTTATTACAGAAAATAATTGATATTCCATCAAATTATTCTGATCAATTTAAAAAAAAAAAAAAAAGTATAAATTGTATTATTTATATGTAGCCTCACCTTTATGCTTCATATAGGTGTTGATCTGCATACAACGCTACGTTCTGCATTACTGAAATACGATAACCCATCTTCCAGATTTTACAGTCCCAATGTCCCAGTCCCAAAGTCTATTCAGTGTCACTTCACCTGATACTGAAAGGAAATAGACCGTTACAAATCTGTACCTGCAAAAATTAAATACAACAAAAATATGTAATCCTAAAAATTTTGCATTAAACCAGCTGCTGTGTTTACAGACATATGACTTCTGTTACCTTCCTTTGCATTATTTTAGAATAGTGTAAAGGAAATCCTACGGGTATATGGAATAATCTACTTAAGTCTGTCCCGGATGAGACTCCATTGTCACCTGTCAAGGTGAAGGATAACTGAAAAGGCAGCATTGCTTTCCAGTGGATTAAAGGGACACTATAGGCACCAAAACAACTTTAGCTTAATTAAGCAGTTTTGGTGTATAGATCATGCCCCTATAGTATCACTGCCCAATTCTCTGCCATTTATGAATTAAACCACTTTCTTTATGAAGCCCTCCCTTCATGTGACTTACATAGTCTTCCTAAACACTTCCTGTAAAGAGTAATCTAATGTTTACACTTCCTTTATTGCAAATCCCAATAATAAAAAAATGTCATACCTCCTATTCTGTTAAAAACTTTCGAGCCCCTGCAGGAGCCCCTGTATGTAATTCAAGTTTAATTTACAGAGCAGAAGATACAAACTTTTAAAGATACAAACTTTTAAACATCTGATTGAAAATGAAACCATTTTTGTTTCCATACAGGTTGTGTCAGTCACAGACAAGGGAGGTGTAACTAGGGCTGCATAAAAAGAAACAAAAGTGATTTAACTCTTAAATGGCAGAGGATTGAACAGTGAAACTTCAGAGTCATGATCTATACAGCACAACTGCTTCATGAAGCGAAAGTTGCTTGGTTGAGTAAAGTGTCCCTTTAAGTCATTCAAACACATAGAAACTCTGACCAATAGATTGCAACAGTAGAAGTAAAATTTTTGTGCAGTAAACCAATGGTTATTTACTATAGTTACAATTGTAGGTAAATCAAATGGAATTTCACTTTTAAAGCGATAACAGCCGCGTTGAGAATATTCTCCATGCCGTCTATGCTTGCAGCTCAGCTATTTTGGTGAAATTCAAACTGCATACTGACTATTCTCACATTAGTAAATAGCCCTTCGTGAATTGTGAAGACTTAACAGAGAAATTTCAAATTTAAGACCAAAATGCTTAGATTAGAAAAAATATTCGACTCAGATAACAGTCAAGGTAATCTAAACCAGGGGTGCCCATACAGTAGATCCCCAGATGTTATAGAACTATAACTACCATGATGATATGCATGCATTTAGAATGGCAAAGCTTCATGGAAGAGTTAGTTCTAAAACAGGGGTGCCCAAAAGGTAGATCCCCAGATGCTGTAGAACTATAACACCCATGATGCTTTGCGTGCCTTGAGAATGACAAAGTATCATGGAAGCTATCGTTTTAAACTATCTGGGGACTTACCTTATGGGCACTCTGTTCTAAAACATCTGGGGGTCTACCTTTTGGGCACCGCTGCTCTAAACCATACAATGTCCTTGACAGTTCTCTACAATGCCAACTACATCTACGGTATTCAATATATTTAGACAATCTGTACTGTGAAAAATGAACGCAATAACTAAAGTGCATAAAGGGGAGAGTTTGTAGAGACTATTATTTTTTTCCAATCTAACTTTTCAAAAGGAGTGCTCATAGAAAATGTATCTTGCAAGACTGCACGAACAAAACAAAATCACTGCGATGCACAAAAAAAAAAAAAGATAAATTGGGTCAGGTTTGAGAAGAATATGCCCAAGACTCTGCACACTAATTTCTTATTATACACTCTCCACACACAAAACTAGACATGTTTTAAATATATATAAAGCTACACCCATTACTGTCTCTGACATAAAGTGGGAGGATCTGTTCTGCTAAATTTCTAACCATGATTAAACACAATAAATTGTGACATTGTTTGATCAATAATCCTCCAATACCAATTAATCACATTATGGTAGCAAGGCAAGAAACCATGAGCCTGCCATATATATATGAACTAAGATTGTGTAGTATTTCCTGGTCAAGATCTAATAATAATAATAATAATAATACATGCGTTTCTATGGGAGGGCCACAATTAAAGTCCTAAATAGCCCTTTAACCAGCAGCAGTGACTGTGCAGTGGGTGGAGATATTAATATTAATAGGAGGTTATTTATAATACAGTGAGATATTAATAGGAGGTTATTTATAATACAGTGAGATATTAATAGCGGGTTATTTATAATACAGTGAGATATTAATAGGGGGTTATTAAAATACAGTAAGATATTAATAAGGGGTTATTTATAATACAGTGAGATATTAATAGGGGGTTATTATAATACAGTAAGATATTAATAAGGGGTTATTTATAATATAGTGAGATATTAATAGGAGGTTATTATAATACAGTGAGATATTAATAGGGGTTATAATACAGTGAGATATTAATAGGAGGTTATTTATAATACAGTGAGATATTAATAGGGGGTTATTATAATACAGTGAGATATTAATAGGGGTTATTCATAATACAGTGAGATATTAATAGGAGGTTATTATAATACAGTGAGATATTAATAGGAGGTTATTTATAACACAGTGAGATATTAATAGGGGGTTATTATAATACAGTGAGATATTAATAGGTGGTTATTATAATACAGTGAGATATTAATAGGAGGTTATTTATAATACAGTGAGATATTAATAGGGGGTTATTATAATACAGTGAGATATTAATAGGGGGTTATTTATAATACAGTGAGATATTAATAGGAGGTTATTATAATACAGTGAGATATTAATAGCGGGTTATTTATAATACAGTGAGATATTAATAGGAGGTTATTATAATACAGTGAGATATTAATAGGGGGTTATTATAATACAGTGAGATATTAATAGGAGGGTTATTAATATAATAACAGTGAGATATTAATAGGAGGTTATTTATAACACAGTGAGATATTAATAGGGGGTTATTATAATACAGTGAGATATTAATAGGTGGTTATTATAATACAGTGAGATAATAATAGGGGTTATTTATAATACAGTGAGATATTAATAGGGGGTTATTATAATACAGTGAGATATTAATAGGGGGTTATTATAAAACAGTGAGATATTAATAGGAGGTTATTTATAATACAGTGAGATATTAATAGGAGGTTATTTATAATACAGTGAGATATTAATAGGGGGTTATTTATAATACAGTGAGATATTAATAGGAGGTTATTATAATACAGTGAGATATTAATAGGGGGTTATTATAATACAGTGAGATATTAATAGGGGGTTATTTATAATACAGTGAGATATTAATAGGAGGTTATTATAATACAGTGAGATATTAATAGGGGGTTATTATAATACAGTGAGATATTAATAGGGGGTTATTATAATACAGTGAGATATTAATAGCGGGTTATTTATAATACAGTGAGATATTAATAGGAGGTTATTTATAATACAGTGAGATATTAATAGGGGGTTATTATAATACAGTGAGATATTAATAGGGGTTATTATAATACAGTGAGATATTAATAGGAGGTTATTATAATACAGTGAGATATTAATAGCGGGTTATTTATAATACAGTGAGATATTAATAGGAGGTTATTATAATACAGTGAGATATTAATAGGTGGTTATTATCAGTGAGATATTAATAGGGGGTTATTATAATACAGTGAGATATTAATAGGTGGTTATTATAATACAGTGAGATAATAATAGGGGTTATTTATAATACAGTGAGATATTAATAGGAGGTTATTTATAATACAGTGAGATATTAATAGGTGGTTATTATAATACAGTGAGATAATAATAGGGGTTATTTATAATACAGTGAGATATTAATAGGAGGTTATTTATAATACAGTGAGATATTAATAGGAGGTTATTTATAATACAGTGAGATATTAATAGGAGGTTATTATAATACAGTGAGATATTAATAGGGGGTTATTATAATACAGTGAGATATTAATAGGTGGTTATTATAATACAGTGAGATAATAATAGGGGTTATTTATAATACAGTGAGATATTAATAGGGGGTTATTATAATATAGTGAGATATTAATAGGGGGTTATTTATAATACAGTGAGATATTAATAGGAGGTTATTTATAATACAGTGAGATATTAATAGGGGGTTATTTATAATACAGTGAGATATTAATAGGAGGTTATTATAATACAGTGAGATATTACTAGGGGGTTATTATAATACAGTGAGATATTAATAGGGGGTTATTTATAATACAGTGAGATATTAATAGGAGGTTATTTATAATACAGTGAGATATTAATAGGGGTTATTATAATACAGTGAGATATTAATAGGAGGTTATTTATAATACAGTGAGATATTAATAGGAGGTTATTATAATACAGTGAGATATTAATAGGGGGTTATAATACAGTGAGATATTAATAGGAGGTTATTTATAATACAGTGAGATATTAATAGGAGGTTATTTATAATACAGTGAGATATTAATAGCGGGTTATTTATAATACAGTGAGATATTACTAGGGGGTTATTATAATACAGTGAGATATTAATAGGAGGTTATTATAATACAGTGAGATATTAATAGGGGGTTATTTATAATACAGTGAGATATTAATAGGGGGTTATTTATAATACAGTGAGATATTAATAGGGGGTTATTTATAATACAGTGAGATATTAATAGGGGGTTATTTATAATACAGTGAGATATTAATAGGGGGTTATTATAATACAGTGAGATATTAATAGGGGGTTATTTATAATACAGTGAGATATTAATAGGGGTTATAATACAGTGAGATATTAATAGGGGGTTATTATAATACAGTGAGATATAGAGCGCTCTGTGAGCTCAGTATAGAGGCCAGGCTGGGTATTTAGGAGCTATATATCTCTCTCCCAGCACTCGGCGCTCGCTGGGTTTCTCGCAGTTTAGTAAATCCCCCCGGTGGTTATATAAAGCAGTGCGGCATGCAGTAACGGACAGACAGGGGGGGGGGGGTTAGTGATAGAATGATATATTATAGTATAGCCCCCCTCCTCCCCCCCGGGATGTTATAGGGCGGGCGGGCCGGCCGCTGGCTGTGACCCGGGGTTGCCCGGGGACTCCCACCTCTCCCACCATCTTTCCAAGATGAGCCTCAGGCCGCCATGTTAGTGACGTCACGGCGCAGCTGGAGCCCGATTGGTCAGGCAGAGTGTGAAGGGGCGGGGCTCGAGGTCCTGGGAGAATTGGCCAGGGAGGGGGTGAGGGGCGTGGCCTTCATGGGAAATGGCCTGCTGTGTCAAACTGTCAGACTCACTGCAGCCATTTATTGCCACAGGGAGCAGGGAGCCCAGAAAGGCAGATCCCCCCCTGATGTTTTTTGTTTTGTTTTTTAAACTACAGCTTCCATGATGCTTTGTCAGTTTAAAGGCATGCAGAGCATCATGGGAGTTGTAGTTTTACAACTTCTGGAGGAAGTCTACCTTTTGGGCATCCCTGGGGTAGACAGCCTTTGGCACTCCAGATATTGTGGACTACATCTCCCCCAGTGCTCTTACAGCTCTTAATGCTGGCAATCATGGTCGGTGTAGTCCATTGGTCCCCAAACTCTGGCCCCCCAGATGTTGCTGAACTACAACTCCCATGATTCTCTGGCTATATATGTAATTCAAAGAATTATAGGGGTTGTAGTTCAGCAACATATGGGGTATGAGGACCCATGGTGTAGTCCAAAACACCTGGAGTGCTGAAGGTTTGCCTGTCCTTACTCTGGGCTTTGGTTTGGATTGGATTCTATGCAGTCCTGGTGGCTTTCAGACTAGGGTTGGCACCCACAGCCTGAGCGTTCTGAGAAATGTAGTTTAGGGCCATGAGTAGCCTTCACTGAGTGCTGCCCAGTTAGCCAGTCATGGCTGCTAATCCTGCACTGCAGATGTGTGAAGCTCAGCCTGCAAATGACCAAAAAACATGTGGAGTTATAAAGAGAGACCCCCCAGAGGGTCAGGGCAGGGTGTTCCCCATAATATATATATGTGTGTGTGTGTATATGTAGGGCAGGGTTACTGCCAGGCAGCTTTGTGCAAAATGCTTGTTGTATGTTACTATTTGTATTCCCTTGCATTCCTGTGATTGTTGGTAAAAAATTTTTTTCCCAAATCCAAGATGGCGCCGCTGGCTTCACCGGTCATCAAACGCTTCCTACTGGGCGGGCGGATGGGAATGGGAGTTTCAGTGACGTAAGGGCGAAGTGCGTGCCATGCGCACGCGGGATCTGACGTTTTCCCCCGGAAGTCTCGCGGGAGGATCTGCCCCGGGGCGGAGCGGAAGCGGCCAGAAAGAGAGAGAGGAGAGGCAGCTCCACCGAGGAGAGGGTGAGACCGGGATACCGGAGGGCGGGGGGGCTCGCTGGGTGTCATGGATACTGGGGGGCAGAGCGGGGGGGCAGGAAGAGGACCTGGGGGGATGACGGCTCCCAGCAATGTGTCAGAGGAGCTATTCTGGGAATGGGCAGTATGGGAGGGTAATGCATGGATCAGGGGGGACAGACAGCTGTCTGACATCCCAGGGGGGTGGGCAATGCCAGCATCTCAATCCAAGGAGGGGCAATATCCAGGGGGTGGGTAATGCCAGCATCTCAATCCAAGGAGGGGCAATATCCAGGGGGTGGGTAATGCCAGCATCTCAATCCAAGGAGGGGCAATATCCAGGGGGCAAATGCTAGCATCTCAATCCAAAGGAGGGGCAGCATAGAGAGGCAAGTAAATGCCAGCATCCCCAATCCAAGGAGGCAAGGTCCAGGGGCAACACAGCATCCCAATCCAAGGAGGGCAATATCCAGGGGCAATGCCAGCATCTCAATCCAAGGAGGGGCAGCATACTGGGAGCAATGCCAGCATCCTCAATCCAAGGAGGGGCACATCCAGGGCAATGCCAGCATCCTCAATCCAAGGAGGGCAATATCCAGGGGTACGCCAGCATCTCAATCCAAGGAGGGGCAACATACAGGGGGGGCAATGCCAGCATCTCAATCCAAGGAGGGGCAGCATACAGGGGGGGCAATGCCAGCATCTCAATCCAAGGAGGGGCAACATACAGGGGGGGCAATGCCAGCATCTCAATCCAAGGAGGGGCAGCATACAGGGGGAGCAATGCCAGCATCTCAATCCAAGGAGGGGCAACATACAGGGGCATGCCAGCATCTCAATCCAAGGAGGGGCAGCATACAGGGGGGCAATGCCAGCATCTCATTCCAGGGGGGGGCACATTGTCCTGTGTGCTGGACCCCCATGGCAGACATTAATGGGGGGGGTGGGAACATTTTAAGCTCAATGAGACCAGCTGTAATGTGAATAAACAAGATTTATCTCTTATTTAATGTTTTGTTGTGTAAGTCATAATATTGGGGGGGGGGGGAATGTAAGCATTCAAGGCTAAATGAACAGACCCAACGAATAAGATGGGCCCCCGGCTGAGTATAAGGAATATTATTCTTCTCCGCTTTGCTAATATGTTGAAAATGTAGTTCTTCTCGTTTGTGTAAACCGGTAACTGGTTGACAAACTCTCTCTACATGCAAATTTCTAAAGGAAAAATAGAATAAGCTATTAGTGTCCTGCTTGTTGTTGAGATCCTTTTGTTTCTTTTTCTTCTCAATGAGGAAATTCTGAGGAAGAATGGGGGAAACTATAGCGAGACGCTGATGCACGCTAGGTCATGGGGTAGGCAACTGTTGGCACACCAGGTGTTGTGGACTACAGCTCTCTTGATGCTTTGACAGTATTATAGCTGTAAGATCATTATGGGATATGTAGTCCACAATGTTTGGGGTGCCGACGGTTGCTTCCGCTCTGCTCTAGGTGGTGCAGATGCTGTGAAGAATGTAGGTCCACCTTGCGTCCTGTAGAGAATTGAAAAAGAATCTAAGATGGTATGCATTGCCAAAAATATGAGCTGCAAGTCTAGCTTTAGTGATTAAAGAATTAGATTAAAAGAGATTGACCCCTGTATCGGGGGAAGCACTCAGTTTGGAACATGCAATCCCTTTTGTGATGTTACCAATCCACTCGAGAGAGGGCTATTCCTGTTATGTGGTAGAAGATTTCGAAAGGCTGACTAATATTGTGGATCGAGGTGAAGAATCAGCCTAAGGAAACCAGGACCAATGGTAGAAACAAACCCAGCTGTTGTGATTTGAAGAATTAGATTGGGGAACATTGACCACCTTTGTGCAGTGTATATTTGAGAAACTGATTACAATGATTGTCTGGAGAATCGGATTGGGAGCTGCCAACCCCTTTATTACAGGCTGGAGAAAAAAAAAATCTACTGTGTTTGTGGGCTGGAGAATTGGTTTTGGAGAACAACCGACCATCCCTTGTATTGTGGGATGGGGAATCAGATTGGTAGAAACCAACCTCCCCACCAATTGTGGGTTGGAGAATAATATTGTAGAAGCTGACTACTTCCACATTTTGTGGGTTGGGGAATCAGACTGAAAACCCCATCCTCTCCCCTAACCTCTCTTTGGATGAAACATTGGGAAGGGAATGTTTGAGAATCTGAGATGTAAAGGTTAGCTCGGGAATGGATAATATGATAGAATAAGTATAAAAACTGTTCTCCAATTGAGAACTTCTTTTAGTCCGTGACCTTTCTGGTGGGACTGGAAACTTGATTGGAAGACTCCAACTGCTGTGGTGTGATTGAGTTTTTGACAGAGGTGTTGATCAGGAAATGCCAACCTCCATGGTGGAATCAATATTTTTATAGTGAGTGGCAAACTTGTGTAGTTAAATGGACATTTTGATAGTGAGAGGCTGGACTTTGTCGTTTGAAAATTTAGATAGTCAGAGACTAACCTTGTTGGGATGGAATAATACAATCCGCATGTGCCAAACTCTAGGGTGAGATGAAGCATGTTAAAGGTAAAAGCAAATTGCAGTGATAAGCAGATAATTTTCAAGGGACACTAAACAACTCATCCAGACCACGTCAGTGCAGTAGCCCTGTCATTTTAACTGTGCAATGTAAGTAAGACATTGCAGTTAGTCTCACCTGCCTGAACCTTTCTTACATTTGTCCACTAAGTTAGGGGTATTTCTTGGAGCTCCCTCCTTAATCACATTGGGCATATTTTGTGTTAATTTTGCATTATAATTTTTTTGTTTTGCACATGTTGTATAGGCCACAGAGTGAACACAAAGCTCCTATATCATTCAATTGGAAATTAATGTGTTATTAAAGGGACACTGTAGTCACCAGAGCAACTATAGCTTATTGTATTTGTCTAATGAGCATAATAAGTCCCTTCAGGACTGCCCTTTCAGAGAAAATCCTGTGTTTACATTACAGCCTAGGGATAACTCCATTGGCCACTCTTCAGACAGCTATTAGAGATGCTTCCTGTGGCAGCGCTGCACGGTGTGCAACACTGCCATTTAGTGTCTCCACCCTCTCCATGGAGACACTGAATTTTCCTGATAGTTTAATTAATTTAATGCATCTCTATGAGGAGATGCTGATTGGCCAGGAATGTGTTTGGCTTGTGCTGGCTCTGGCCTGATCTGCCTCCTGGACAGTCTCAGCCAATCCTTTTGGAAAGCATTGTGATTGGCTTAGAGAATCACGTCTGATGTCAGTCAAGCTGGCATATCAGTGGCAGAGCCAGCAGCTGCAGGCTTGAACAAAAGTAAGATTGTACAATATTTAGGAGGGCAGTGGGACTAATGCTGGTTTTAACACTATAGGGTCACGAATACATGTTTGTGTTCCTGACCCTATAGTGTTACTTTAATGTAAAATGGGCGCATTCTCTGGATATTTGTTCATTTAATGCATTTGACTGCTATTTAATCTTCTCATATTTGCAATGCTTTGCATCACCTGCAAAAATACAAAATATAATAAATTGCCATTTTTTTGGAGGGGGTGGGAGGTTGTGTGTATTTAAAAGGATAATATTTACATTACAGGGCTAAATCCTGTTCCACTCATCCTTCCCGACGTCATCATGGACAATGCATGTTCAATCCAATGCTCCTCATCAGTGGGTACTAGGTGTGTGCAGTGAGTGTCTTTAAACACTTCTCAAAAGAAATCATTGAATTAATGCAGTAGTTGCTGTGTAAGCACCTGAGGTGTCTGCCTGGAAGACATCCAGTAGAGAAAGATGTGTTTAACTCAACAGTGTAAACAATGCAGTTTCTACAAAATTGCAGGTTTAAAACTACAAGACCACTGCACTCAAACCACTTAATTGAGATGAAGTGGTATGGGTGCATTTTTTGGCCCTTTTAAAGGGACACTATAGTCACCAGAACAACTACAGCTTATTGAATTTGTTCTGGTGAGTAAAATCATTACTTTCAGGCTTTTTGCTGTAAACACTGTCTTTTCAGAGAAAATGCAGTGTTTACATTACAGCCTAGTGATAACTTCACTGGCCACTCCTCAGATAGCTGTTAGAGATCCTTTCTGGGTCATGGCTACCTAAACTGCATCCAAACATTCAGTGTCTCCTCCCTCTGCATGCAGACACTGAACTTTCCTCATAGAGATTCATTGATTCAATTCATCTCTATGATGAGATGCTGATTGGCCAGGGCTGTGTTTGAATCATGCTGACTCTGCCCCTGATCTGCCTCCTTGTCAGTCTCAGCCAATCCTATGGGAAAGCATTGTGATTGGATCAGGCCACCACTTCTGATGATGTCAGGGGAAGTTCACAGGCAGAGGCAACAGCTTCAGACTTGAATACAAGTAAGATTTTACTATCTTTAGGGAGGCAAGGGGGCTAGATAGTAGTTTTAACACTATAGGGTCAGGAATACATGTTTGTGTTCCTGACCCTATAGTGCTCTTTCAAGGACTTAGATAGTGTGTGGGTATTCGGAGATGGAGGTAGTTTCCGATTTATCTGGATAACATGCAAAAGCTTTGCTGAAAGAGTTACTCCAACCCTTTCTCAGAGGCTTTTTTAATGACATTTTTTAATTTATAATGCCCTGTTGAGCAGTAGTCACGTTATCCTCCCTGCCCCTAATTTTAATTTAAAAGCCTGTAAAATAAGCATTAACGTACCAGGAATCCAGAACCAGGTGAAGTTCTCCTCGATGGTTGCCCTGTCCATCGACATTCTACGTCACTGTTTCCCTCTCTGAGTTCCAGTCCACTGCTTCTCATAGAGAACCATTTGATTTGACCATACACTCTGAGCAGAGATAGAGGGAGTGGTGGGCAAGGAGTAAAGATTTAAAGAACAGGGGGAGGGAAGAAACGCTAGGCAATGTAGCGACGCAGAAAAGAAATGGGTCGTAGATTAGAAGCTGATATATCTGTTGCAGATGCGCGTTGATGACAGACATCTTCTTTGCACATTAGGACACATTAGGCAGCCCAGAACAGAGATGCAGGCTGTCATTCACTTGTGCTAGGCATTTAACCAGACTCCGAGCAAAAGTGAAGATTGCGCTGTATGTACAGCAGTTCAAGCTGAAATGCTTTATATTCAGATTGCTTACTCTGTGTTCCACCTCTAAAAGCAGAAGTTGTGAAAAAGGTTGGAATAACTCTTTAAGTTTAAATGATCAATTGAAATTTCATAGCTGGCCTGTCTTCACTAAAGAGAGGCAGACTGGGAAATGGAATGCTTGCATTCAGAATGTCATTTGGTGTAGCTGTGCCGAATTGTCTGTTGTATTGCATTAATCTGAGAATTATTATTAGAGCAACAACAGATTTTGTGTATGGAAAAGAAAAGGGCTGAGGAAGTAGTGTAAAATTCTGATTACGAAAGAGTGTGAAGGCATTGAGAGAGGAACTACTCATTGTGGATGAATGAGACTGATTAATTGGAAATTTAGAAATTACTGCTGGGGGTGAGGAAGTATGCAAGTGTTTTGTTTTTGTAACCCCTTAAGGACCAAACTTCTGGAATAACAGGGAATCATGACATGTCACCCATGTCATGTGTCCTTAAGGGGTTAAACTAGTCATCTTCATTTGAGAGACTTGGCAATTTGGGAGAGAATATTGCTTGTCGTTTGAAAACAAAATGCTGTGAAATCTGTGGCACAGAGTTGTTTTGCAAACTCTAGTCCTCAAGTCTACCATTTTTATATATTTTTGATACCAACTGGCCTATCCAAAATCACTGCTTAACTTATGATTAAAAGTACATTTTTAATACAATTGTGAAACTACAGTTTATTGAATTTGTTCTGGTGAGTAGAATCATTACCTTCATTCTTTTTGCTGTAAACACTGTCTTTTCAGAGAAAATGCAGTGTTTACATTACAGTCTAGTGATAACTTCACTGGCCACTCCTTAGATGGCTGTTAGAGATCCTTCCTGGGTCATGGCTGCCTAAAATGCATCCAAGCATTCAGTATCTCCTCCCTCTGCATGCAGACACTGAACTTTCCTCATAGAGATTCATTGATTCAATTCATCTCTATGAGGAGATGCTGATTGGCCAGGGCTGTGTTTGAATTGTGCTGGCTCTGCCCCTGATCTGCCTCTTTGACAGGCTCAGCCAATCCTATGGGGAAGCATTATGATTGGATCAGGCTACCACCTGTGCTCATGTCAACAGGCAGTGGGCAGGTCAAAAGGAAACCGGGACAAAGCCTGCAGCTTCAGGCTTGAATACAAGTAAGATTTTACTATTAAGAGAGAAGCATGAGAGGGACCAGGGGGCTAGATGTTGGTTTAAACCCTTTAGGGTCAGGAGTACATGTTTGTTCCTGACCCTATAGTGCTCCTTTAAAACATAACATGTTTAATGCTGAAGGAAATGACTGTACCATGGGACTCCAGACACCATAACCAGTTTAAAGAGAAGCAGCAGACACAGTGTCCCTTTGAATTTTCCCGTTACTGAATAGCCCTGCTAGTCATATGCTGATTTCTAAGCAACACCAGGGTGGTGGAAGACCTTTGTGTTTCTGTTAAGCCATTCTTCATTGCTTTGACTAGCATGGGAGGGCGCCAAGACACTTCTGGCACCATAAGCACTACAGTGGGCTGTGGTGGTTATAGTGCTTGGTGTGTTCCTTTAAAATTCTGCACTCAGAAAACAAGTTCGTTCCCAAAATACCTATTTAGATAAAAAAAGGAATGTTATATTGTTTCCACTTTTATCTTTAGACATTATTGCGCTTGTTAATTGGTAAACTGATCAGTGAATAGTAGAATAGAAAGTATTAAAGTAAAACTCAGCCACATAAATAAATGTAAGGTTATGAGACTGAAATTAACCATTGTCTCTTGGGAGGCTTTATTTAGCGTGTGCAATGACAAAGTATAACCTTGCAAACATACATATATAATGTTAGCATGCACACACATGCAGAGGAAATGAATGCACAGTAAAAGGTAATGTGTGCACATACACCAAAACCAAATGTTTGAATCCGCAAACATAGCGGAGGTTGCGAAAACATCGGATGGATACAATGACCATCAGTAATAAAACCAATCGATCATGAGACCTGGACCTTCAACTATCTCTGCTACAAATACACAGAAACACAAGGCCCCTTAGAGTAAATGTTGCAGAACGCTATATCCTGATCTTGCAGTCTGTGGTTTGGTAGGCCCCGAAATTCAGCTGTAGGAAGGGTTATCAACGCACACAAGTAAAGTGGCACTTTGCCTCTAATATATCCAAATAGCTTTGGCATCGGTTTTCAATTAAATCCATTTTGGATCTAGAAGGCAGTTAAAGAGGTCATCCCAATGGGATTCAGGAAAGCAGAGATCACACAACAGAGAGGACGTACTGGTAAATGCTTTCAGGTCAGATAGCTTTTTATCGGATACCCAAAGGTTAACAAGATTGGGTTAACTCCACTGTCCAGCTGGGGACAGGAACAGCTCTTGCTTATTCTTCAGATTATTCAATTTTGGGACTGCAACAAATGGGGATTTTATTTGTTATTTAAGATGTACTATGTTTTGGGTGGGTGTTTGTATGTCAAGTTGTTAAAGATAAAATGTCACCTGGAAATCATTGGAACCGATATATAAAGGTGTGTGTGTATATATATATATATTGCTTACAATATGCTATTCGCCAGGTAATGTCTGTCCTGCGTGTTGGGCAATATGAATTCCACATCCCTGAATATAAATGTATACATTTACTGTTTTTTTGTTTTCATTCTGCTGTGTCAATCTTGTTTACTATTTTCCTAAGTGAGAATCATGCTATGGGGCACTCTCTAAACAATATTAATTTACCTTGAGTGGTCTGTTAATGATATTACCATAACGTCCCGGGTCATGCTTTATCTTGCTGCCATCTTTTGACTGATAATGTCTTGTCCATGCTCTCTTAGTGACGAATAATATCAATAACAGTTTTTATTTGATTTTTTTCCCCTCTCTCCCAGACAGGAAGAGTAACCTCTCTGTGTAGTCTAGGGAGCTATGTTGCATGACTCTAATTTTAACTCCTCAACTGCTGTGGCAATAAAACTCTATATCAAGCAATGTGTAATATAGGTTTGTTCTTATGTGGTTCTTGCCATACTTCTCAATATTGCTGTGGATTATCATTTGCAGTTAGGAAAGAGGTGAAATGTCCTACCTGGCTCTACTAGGCAGCTAGCAATCGTATGCCGAGCATTCAGTTTATACATAAAAAATGCCCCCTGGAACCCACTGTGATGGCAGTGTCAGACAAGATCAGATGTTTAGTTTAACACACACCCCCCCCACACTCTTTGAAAAAAGTACCGCATTGCTGGTCCTCATTCTCCAAATATCTCCAGTCTATCTTTACTAATACATTTCCAATGGAATGTCCATTATCTATAATATGATTAGATTGTGGGGACTAAAAATCCGATTGTCATAGTCGTTATATAAAATACACGGCACAGTAATTTTATTTTGTCCATAGCACTCGCTGAGACGATATTCTCACACTGCCCACAGCATTTGCATGTTAACAGTTGCATTCCCACACTGCCAAATCATTAAAACAACTTGTTACATCTGTGATTTATTTTACATCTTACTCATGCTATTCACACGCATCTACAGCGTGCCGATTTTACACCAAGCATTCACGTACTGCAGAATCATTAACACTAAATACAGTACCCATAGCATTCATAGATTACATACACCATTCCTATTTAAATTCTATACCAAGCATTCACATGCTGCTAAATCATTAAAACCGCCAATAGCACAGATAGTATTCACAGCTTACTCTTCCCATTCACCGGCTTCCAGTAGCATTTCAATTCTCTGCCTAGTCAAAATCTATCTCCAGTACTCACACATAGAAGACTACCACATTGGAAGCATTATCACACCCTATACAGAATTCGCACAAAGCCATCACACACTGCATAAAAAAAACTCTCTGACTACACTATCCGCACAAACTACAGACATTCAGACACTACAAACATGCAGTGACACAGAATTGTTTGTTTTTGGATGTGGGTCAATATCGTTTCACCATCTATAAACGGTTTTCTTATTTGTCTAATTAACAAAGGTCATTCATTCTCTAACCTAGTGACATAACAGATCTGGTGCCTTTAAGAAATGTCACAGCGAGAGATCAAGTGCTCCCTTTATAGATATGTGATTAGTGTACGAGGAAGTAAAAAGGCAAAATAGGTATTTGGAATCATAGAATAAGGAAATGAGCTAAGTTTGTTTTAAAAGGATTAACAAGCTTCAGTGGGTTGCCTGAACATTCTAAGGCAAGTTGTCTCAGAATAGGATCTATTGCCACATCATATTATCAGTACTGCTACATTTTGCAATTCTGTAGTTAACAGGATGACGGTTGCAAACTAAACCATGAATACGCAGGAAATTGCCAGGAACGTGGCAAATTGTAGACAAAAATAGATGGTCTGGAGTTATAGCTGACTTGGGTAATTTTACAAGTTGGTTATGTTGGTCTAAAATTTGTGGCTCCCCAATAAATTCCAGACAAGTTCCGTGACAATGAATTACTCTGGTGATTAGGATTTCTTTAAAGTGGCTATTTCACCATCTTGGGTCTTTGCGTAATTTGCAAATACCTCTGACAGTGACATCACAGCTGGGGGTCAGATGGCCATAGGGGGGCTGGGAAAGGTGATAACTTGCTTGAATGAGTTCCCAGCAGGAGCCACCATTCACTTCGATCCAGCCCCATTGCGCTAAAGCTGCCAGGAGCCGACGTCAGCGCTGCACTCTCGTGCATGTCTACAGCATTGAGGCCGAATGATCCTCCATAGAAAGCATTTTCCCCTACAACCACCTCTAGTGATGGCTGGGGAAAATGACATGCTTGAGGAAAAGCTGGGGGAAAATATCTTTGACTGGGTTGGAATTTCAGTGAAATTATAGCAATCAATTGCTGAGTATTTCAGAAAGATGCCTTTATGAAATACTCATTTTTGATATGGGGTTGACAGATGCTCTAACTACTGTTACTAAACAATTTATTGCCTCTTTTTTTTTCTAGTTTAGATAGTGCACATCAAGCAGTTCCTCTTTGGATGGGTAATTTTCCACCCACGTTTTCTCACTATAATAACCAGTTTATGTATTCCTGACTCTAAAGTGCAAAACCCACCATTTATTTCCAGCGCCACGCTGGTCCACCGGCACTGGTTTCGCCCCCCTGGTGACATCCGAATTGATGATTTTTAGCCAATCCAATGCCATTGGGAAAGCATTGGATTGGCTAAAATTGGCGCGGGGGGGAGGGGGGAGACACTGTTTTGGCCAATCAGCACCTCTTCATAGAGATGCATTGAATCAGTGAATCTCTATGAGGGAAATTTAGCGTCCCCATGCAGAGCGTGGAGACGCTGAATGGCAGTGCTGCCTACTTTGCTGCACTGAGCCAGGAAGCCCCTCCAGTGGCCATCTGAGGTGTCCCTAGGGGCAAGGCAGTGTTTGCATGAAAATGCCTGAAGGCAAGCTGTAGTTGTTCTGGTGAAGATAGTGTCCCTTTAAAAATTGTACAGTTCTCAATTCGTTGCCCTATGTAAACTTGGTCAAAATGACTTCTGGACTGAAATGGTTAACTGAATGTGTTCACCTCTTTCGGAGGAAGTGAGAGTTGCCTCAGTCCAACATTTTAAAAAAATTTTTTTTTTTTTTTAAAGGGTAGTACATTATTATTTTTTTTATTAGATTATTGTCTATCTATTGATTGCTGCTATTGAGTTTCTAAGCATTTGCTATTATCAGCAAGAAATAAAAGCTTCTGTAATTCTATCAGCATTTCTTTCATTGATAGAACATTTATAACAGTGTTTTGTCCATGATCCCTCTTAGTTGCTGAATGGAAGCGATTCTGTTATGGCAGGGCTGAAGTGCTCTGTGCTTTATTTCTACAATGATCTAGATGAGAGCTTACCACTAGCCAGTGGCTAGTTAAATTTTAACTGTGTAGTCGACATTCTCTCCTGGTGCATGGAGCCTCCAGGCTTCCAGTAGAATAGAACATGAAATTTTAAAGGGTCACTCCAGACCCCTAAACAACTGTAGCTTGCTGAAAAGTTTTATGTGTAAAATGTGTGATCTATTTTTTTTTCTTTTCATTTTGCAAAAAGTGGAGCTTTCAATAGAAATTTACATTTTTATAAATTAACCTCATTACACCCCTTTGGCTTTCAAGCAGACAACAGGTAATGTTACTTCCTGGTTTGTTTAGCTCAGTGCAACTGATCTCAAGAGGCAGCAATTGCCTAGAGCACCTGACATACAAAGCCTTCTCATTGAGCTGTATTGGGATGTCTGTGATTGGACAGCAACAGAAAGTCTGGGCGGGGTTAGAAGGAGGAGGGGGAGGGCTTGTTAAGGCTGCAGACACTAGATCTGCAGATTTTGCAGGCTGTTTTTATATAGAACTCCAATGAAAAAATACATAATTAAATGCATGCAAGTTGTCATTTTGTGTTATATCAACTAAACAGTGATTTTGATGTATTTTGTATTTGGGCAGTGGAGTGCCCCTTTAAGCCGTGACCAAGACAGAATGTTAACAAAAGCGCAGGTTTTAGCTAAAGTGAATTTAAAATTAAAGCCAAAATAGCTTGATTTGAAAATAAACTTCAAGTTAGCTATGCTTCCAGTCCAGCTATTTTTGGCCTTCTCTTTGAAATTTACTTTAAATTCTCACTCTAGTGAATAGAATAGCCCTTTTAGTTTAGCCTTCCGTCCCCCTCAAAATGTTTTAAAAAAAATAAATAAATGGCTTCCACCAAAAATCCCGCACAGCCATTGACCCTGAAATGACACCTATTTAATGTAGAATATTACCTGTCGTATGTGGGTAGGCAACTGCAAGTGGTTTCATTTTAGAGGAAGTATACATAATTTCACCCACCAGCACAATCTATAGGTTGATCACTTACATGTTTTGTGGAAGACAATTAATTTGATATTTCAGAAGCCAGTAATTCATACTAAGGCCGCTAATGGTATTATCAAATCTTATCAGTAGACCTAAAGCAAGCTTATATTGCCGCAGCTTCCACGTTGACAGATGTTTTTCAGAAAGCATTCCCTCTCATTGTTAAGCACTTGAGCCTTCATCATACCTGTCCCCTTTCCTCCACTGACTGCTTACTCCAATATACCCATTATCAGCTCCTCTGTAAGCCCAGTCTTTCTTTTGTGCTACACCTGGTTCATATCTCATAAAAAGTAGGCTTTCTTTGTATACGCACACATATATTTAAAGGTCAATGGAAACTCCTCATAAGGAAGTATAAGTATTAAAATGAGGTTTGTATAAAATGTTTGCGGTGTTAAATAAGTTTGCCATATAATAGGGGTTAGAATCATAAGTATGAGTGTGCTGCGGGAGTGTTGAATTAAAGGAACACTGCATCCCTAATGCTATTGTGGTGTTCTATGCATTTAGTTTAAGACCCCCATGTCTAATTAAAAATGGTTTTGCTCACCTTTTATCACACATCGCGATGCAGTCCCAACAGCTGCTCTGTTCGCTTCGCACAACATCACAGTGACTCTTGTCTCTCATCCAATGCAATGCTCCTCATAGAGGTGCATTGGGGTGCGAAAAGCACATGTATGGCCATTGCTGTGCTCCTCCAATCAAATGGAGGTTAGCTGTGAGTTTGACTCTGTTCTCCTAGAGGAAGCACCTCTATGCAGGAAGACATTTAATTCTGCAATATTAGCATTGCTGCATCTACTTAAAGCAATATGCTTTACATAGCAGGGGTAAATCTAGAGGACAACTGAACTCAGGCCACTTCATTGAGATGACAAGATCCGGGTGCTTTTAGTGGTCCTTTAAATTTTTTATAAATTATTTTTGGACTGTAGTAGGCTTGTCGTTAACGGCACATGAATGTGTTTACTAATAATGACCTTTTCAGACACTGATAATTCTGAGGCTGTTTTTTTTTTTTAATTTTTTTAGAGGCGTTATCTGTCTTTTTAATAAACCCTTTCAAAGCAAATGTTACTGTGCTATATAGTAGCATGATTACGTCTATTTCTGAATCGGCTCCATAGCAACAGATCCATACTGATAAATACATAATGGGAGCAGTCCCTATGAGCAATCCTGTATTTTTATATGGTATTTGCAGTGTATTGAAGGCACACGTTAGGGCTTATTTGATCCTTCCGCACACCCTCCTGTTTATATATTATATAGTTAACACATTATATCTAATGACTTATTTGATCTGCCTCGTCTTCAGTCATCTTTAACAAGCAAGTGTCAGAGCTCTCTCCACGCATCCCCGATCTTACATTTATTCCGATGCGCTAATTACCCCGTACAAGCAGGAAAAAAAATTACACAAGCAGCTGCCTTGCACATGTGTTCACTTATCATTTATTTCTGTTTTAAAAGCGTTTCCTGTTGGAAGTGAGAGAGAGTGGACGAAACTACATTAACAAGAGTGCCTACCCTCCTCCCCAGTTCATTTCAAATAAAAAAATTTGGCCTGCTTTGCTGTATAAGACGCAGTCCCCCCCTTAGACTTGCATTCAGTAGCGGTTTCATAGACAAGACCCATACACCACAATAATCCGTAAGTCTCTGAAGAATCCCTGCCAAGGACAAGATTGAATACAATTTATTTAAATCATTTTTCCAATACCGTTTTTATTGTGAATGTCAGATGGAAATAATATATCATTCTCCAAAGTTTGTGAATAATGAGCAGTTATACAGTTGACATAGCAATGGAAATACAGCATTTTGGACATTTTTAAAGTGGACCGGTCAGCATGCTAACATTGCGATACTTCCATTCTCGATTTTTCTCAGTAAAAAATATTGAATTGTTAACCGAGACGAGCAGCAAATGTAAGAATAAAACACATGCCTTTGCAGGCCCTTCTGGATAATGACACTCCGTGCTTTGTATGCCAGCTTGGGTATTGCATTTTAGATAAATACTGTATACACATATAAGAACTATATTTATTTTCATTTTGGTTGTTCAAAGAATATGAGAGGTAGACCGTTTCTCTTTAAGATGTGTCCATCATGTTGCAAATTGTTGGTTGGCAACTGTCACATAAATTGTTTACAAATTGTAGGCCTCTAAACTAATGCAACACATTTCCTGATGGTGCACAGCTGTATTGGACTGTAAAACGTTACATTATGTGCTACGGTGCTGTGGATTTAAAGGGACACTATAGGCATCCAGACCACTTCAGCTCATTGAAGTGGTCTGGGTGCAGTGTCCCTGTCCCCCTTATTCCTGCAATGTAAAACATTGCCGTTTTTAAAGAAACTGCAATCTTCACTATGCAGTGCTAAGACTGCCTTTATTGCCTGTCTACCAGACAGCCAATAGAGGGGCTTCCTGTACTTTCACGGGGTTCGGGTGCTTTGTATGAGAACGTCCAGCATCTTCTAAATCCCCATAGAAAAGCGATGCTTTCCTATCGGGAGAGCCTAATGCATGAGTAGCCTGACCCAATGCCGAGGAACATGGGCGCTGGAATTAGGTAAGTAACCGAAAGGGTTTTTTAATCCTGTCATGGAAGGGGAGGGGAGGCCTGCGCAGGCAGAGGGACATTTTAGTGTTAGGAAAACATCTTTGTATTTCTAACACTAAACTGTTCATTTAATGCATTGTTCTGGGAGTGTCTTCCTTGACTTGTTTTATACGCTCTTTGATAAGATAAAGGAGTTAGGTTCCAGTAATGATCCGTTGTTTTACCTGTTCTTGAAGGGTTAGGATAGGACGAATTAGGGAGACTCTTCATGTTAGATTTTATTTATTCTTAATATTTTAAGAGCAATATTTAACGTACTCACATTTTAATTTGCTGGCAAATACAATGCTGCGCGGCTTGTACTGTATGCTATCGGCAAACCAGAAAGTGACTCAACCAGTCATGCTCACTTGTATATCTGTTGCACTGCTTGGCTTATCGCGTAATTACAGGAATAATAAAGTTTTCTGTGAGTTGTATGTGCTTTCATTGTTCAGTAATCACACATAGCATTGTAATGCCCTGATACGTGTATTAAAGAGGAACTGTCAGTTCTGTGGAAGAAACCGTTCCTTCAGCCCGGTAACTGCTATTGCAGCGTTTGCTGGAGTGACGACACAGCAAAAGTAAGTAAATAGAAATAAATGCACTTGCCTCTGCCGGATTTCCACATTGTGGGTGACTTCACAGCCGATCATGCACCCACAGGTTGTAGTGGTTATTGTTCCAAGAGCAGTTTCTCAGTGTAATATGTAAAACTGTTTTGTATGGTTTCACAAGTTACCTGGGTTGCCGCCACATACCTTGCTTCTGGGATTCTCTTTGTTGACAGTCTTGTTGGCTGTATTTACGTGCGTGTGGCACTCTCCCCTAATGAACATGGTCCTGTACCAGCTTTGCTTAGCTATTTTGAGACATCTGGCTTCTCTTGCAGGAGAAGATCAGCTTTGGTGCTGGTGACCAGGGAACTCAATTAAGTTGTTAAATTAAAATGATTTGAAAAATTAAACTAAGAGGGTGAAAGGGACCTCATGGCACCATAACCACTACAGTGTGTTTTTAGTGGTTATGGTGCCTAGAGTGTTTACTTAATTGCATTACTGTTAACATTTAACATTGTTGCTATTCCTTGTCAGTGCTATTATATAATATTACAGAGAAAGACATCTGTGTTCAGATGTGAGACCCATCATATTTCAATGCATCTGTGAGCAATGAACAAACATTTCTGGGAAAGTATTCTGTCCTTGTGATGAAGGGATACTGTGCTAAAATGTTTTTTGGTTATTTTTTTGCTCAAAGATGCTCTAAAAATAAACATGGTCGTACTAGAACACACAGATTACACCTTTTTCTTTGAATTTCTCCCCTCACTTCCTTGGCTTTCCATCTTCAGTTTAAATTAGTTCCTAATTCGATATCTGTTTTGGTTCATTGTTTTTTGTTTGGTTGTTTTTTGGCACATTCCTTCCTTTCAGTTTTCTTTTTTTTTTTTTTTTTTTTATTTTTGTAGTGCAGGTGAGTACATACCGCTTTTCATGCCCCAACGGCATAGAACAAAAAATACAGGGTACAAAGCTTACATGGTATAAAAGCATTGCGATTGTCAAGCACTAATTTTTTAAGGTATAGTAACAGGTTTATAAACACGCTTGTGTGAGTAGTCTAGTGTTCGATTACAGCATCAGCATTCCTAGTAGGTGAGGATTTCTAGATACTTGGTGAAATGTAATAATACAAGAGGTTGATTTTAGACTATTTCTGCTTTGTTTTGGAGCTGCTAGGTAAGATATTTCCAGTATGGCTGCTTTGTCTGTGTGTGTGATGTGCTTTCAGCCCCAGAGAGGTGAGAGCGGTCTGGGTACAGTGAGTTGACTACCTGGCAGTGAAACTAGATAGAGGTGCGTTTTAACATAAGGTGGGGTGAAGTGGGCATCACTAATGTTGTGTTCTGTCAGGTTAAAACAAAATTGTGGAACAACGTGCTTCTAAGGCAGGAAATCAAAGTGTTTTACAACTGGGTATGGTCGGACTTTGGGTAGTCGGTACCCTGACTTATCCCCATCTCAGTTCTCTGCCCTTTAACCGATGCCATCCCTGGTGGCTTTGTAGCTGCTTCCCTCTGCTGGCAGTCGGCAGACCCACAGTGGCTCGTTGGGCCGTCGGTATGTCTTCCATCCCAGTCTAGGTGTGTGATTAGGCTGTGGTCTTGGGTCCGATCTTTCCACTGTTTGGCTGTGTTGCCGGTTTGCCCCTGGGATCTGCTGGTTTCTGCTCCCCCTTGGCTTGCTCCTGTGTGTATAGCGGCGCCGGCGTCTCTTGTAGCTTGTGTGAGTTATCGGTCTGAGCGTGGGTCGGGACTTAGTGGCTTTAGGCTTGCCTGATGGTTCCCTTGCTACTGGATGCGCCCGCGAGGTTCTGCTTGGTGGCGGGAGGAGACGTTTCTTGTGGCGCCATTTCTGTGCTCGTTTCTCCTCGTGGTGTGAGCCTTGATTTTGTGAGCGTGTAGGCAGCAGTGGTGGTGAGTGTACCTCCGTGTCTGGGGTCAGTGCTTGTCGGTCCTCTATTCTTCGCCAGAATGCCTCGAATATGGCATTCAGCCTTGCCAGAATATCTGGACCCTCTTTTGTGCCAGACGGCCCAGTTGCTATCGGCACCAGTCTGGGGTGGATGGGCCCTGTCTGGATGTGCTGCTCCGTTGCTTGGGCGAACTCTCTTGGGACCGGGATGACCCCCGCCGGTCCATAGGGGGGGGAACGTGGGCTTTTTGTCGTGCTTACCGCCGTGGTGGACTGCAGGGAAGCGGCCACCTCCCCCGCGTCCGCCATGCCTGTAGGCCGCAGGTAATTTTCTGCCATGTCGTGCCCAAAGTGCTGATTGTTTGGTGTCCGCATGTACCCCACAGTGGCACCTCACCATTGGTGGCACTTTTGTGTCGGTTTGATGCCCTACAGGCCTGGTTTTGGCTTAGTTCTTGCCTGCTGTTACAGGAGCTATACAGTTTCGTGTCTGCTCGGCTCAGCGGTCAGGCCCGCCCCTTCCTTTCAGTTTTTAATGTTTTAAAGCTAAACGGGAGTCTTCGGCAGCACCATCCCCTCTGTGCTGCTTGAACGAATGAGCGAGCTTTAGCCTGAGCAGCAATGGCTGGCTGTGATTGGCTGAGTAAGCTGACTGCTTTCAGCCTACTACACCGCCCATGGCTGGTATGAATTGGTATGGTTAGGAGAAAATAATCTCTGCCTTAGCCACACCTCTAACAGGAGCCAGTCTGTGGGTGGCCAGGGACTCTCATTTTGTGGTAAAATTCTTGAAAATGGTTTAACACTGACTATAGGGACAGTGTCAGGGTAATCCAAGCACTATAACCAATTCAATGAGATGAAATGGCTATAGTGCTTACCGTGTCCTTTTAAGTATTGAATCAGACAGTTGATAAAAATTTATTATTTGGTATGTAACCCCATCATGTATCTATACCGTTCATGTACCTTATACCACGTCTGTTGCTTTCCCAATGCTTTTGTCTGAAAGCTCTGAGAAACCTTGGCACTGCTCAGATGTCTATTGTAGAGACAAGAGGTCTCCATGGAGCTCTCTCTAAACATTGATCATCTGTTCTAGTGTAATTCAGTTTGTTGTGAGAACACAAGGGAGGAGGCAGAACCCGTCATGTCATACGCATAAACCAGTACTCCAACTCCATCATTCACTGGGCATAAATAGCTCGTCTCTTCTTTGGATCTTCACGTCCTACTCGTGCTCTGTGCCTTTCCACCACATTGTCACATAAACAATACTTTGCAACCTTTTCATATGTGAGCGCGTATAAGAAGCTTTTAGTAATACATTCTATAACTACCTCCTTTGTTTTGGTGCAATTGTTTTACTTTCTATTGTCCTTTGTAAAAAGAAAAGTCAAAGTCCTGGCTCTGTATTTGATTTTTTTTTTTTTTGCTTTTTAAAAGCCTCTACATTTTTCTTTTTGATAGGACCTCTCTCCAGTTTGGCGTTTGATGATATATGTTCTGAGCTTCTTGCTTTTTGCTTTTTTATTCTCCCTTGCGCCTTGGTCCTCAGATGATAGCATGGGGGTTCATTGGGTCAAACTGTCCCGTTCCCTGCTGACCATCTGTCTTCATCCTTGGGTGCTGGGGGATGGTGAGAGATTTTGACAAATCTTCTTCTCTCTTTCAATACCCTTTCTGTTCCATTGAGATGTTTTGGAGATCCTGCATGTGATAAACTGGAGGACACCATGCTCCCTCATCTTTTCCACTGCTTCTAATTTTCACACAAGTATATGCTAACTAGAATTTGGTCCAACCAGAGCCGGAACATTGCAATCTGCTCAATTCTCAAAGGAATGAAAAAAACAGGCCGTGTTCAAGTATTACATTACAGGACAACTGTCTGTTCAAAACAATTTTTTGATATCCTTTCATCAAGTTTTGAAAGGAAATAGTTGTTTTTCAAGCGAAGTATATGTGAACAATAATCTCTACCTTTCGGTATATAACAGGAGCCTTCAACCATAAACATGTACCTTAGTCAGACAGTATTTGAAAACCCACATTTAATCTCTATGGTCTTCCCTGCTTCACTCCCTGCACAGAAGCAGGGAGGACCAAATGTCGGTTTTCAAACACTGTCTGACCCAAGGTGCATGTATATAGCTGAGGAATGGGTTGTTTAATACATCACGGTTTGTGGAGTTAATAAATATAGGTTCATTCATAAAGTGAACCTAACTTCCCAAATACCAAGCACTCCTAAGTAGCCTTTTACGGGGTAACATTTCTTTGTTGCATTCTTCATATTTTATGAATGCCGAGATTACTTTCTTGGGTATTAAGATACCTAAAAATAATCATTCATTGTTAAGTTGAATTTTAGAGAAAAAAAAAAAATCAAAAATACAATATGATCTTTTAAAGTGGAGGCATTACAAGATCTCATGCCTTGGTAGTAAGATGGTGGGTTGGCTTAGCGTGCATTTGCACGTATTGTAAGTCTTCTATCGTAATTACGTCTTCATCCCTGTTTAGTGGCTTGGGAGGGTATAGAGGATGCTCAGATTTCCCCATGGCGGGTAACGCCTTTATTTAAACAAAAAAAAAAAAACCTTTCACAGTTTTACCAACTTCTCAATGTGTATGGAGACATTTGGCATTCCCACATCTTTAAAAATGGGGATTTAAAAAAATATTTGCAAATCCGCCACTGTTTGATGGAAAATGTCCATGCAAAACTTGATGGAAGGATAATTGGATTTAAAAAAAAATAGTTTTGAAGTGACAGACCCATGGTCTTTTTTTTCCTAGAATTGCCCCTGATTGTATCATGGGAGCTTGTTGGTTACCATTGACTGTAAATAAACCATTTATCTTAGACATTTGTTAAGTTGTTGTTTTTTTGTTTCTGTTTTCTTTTATGGAGATTTTGAGTTTTCTTCAGTTTTAACTTCTGTCACTTTCACCAGTTTTCCTCACTTTTCCATTATTTTCTCTTCTGTTCTTGCAGGCTGCAACTAAATTTCCCTCCTATCGTGGTGGTGGCCAGACACTTGACATTTGGGACTTTTCTCTAGTGGCATACCAAAGGTGCGGGCAACGAAGGGGGACAAGCCCTTCTCTTTGTGTGGCCTCCACAGGGAAGTTGAAACCACCATGGAGGCCATAGCGAAATACGACTTCAAAGCCACTGCGGACGATGAACTGAGCTTCAAACGAGGGGACATTCTGAAGGTGAGTGAAATCTTTGAGAAATTTGCCATGCTTGGTATGTAGAACTGTTGAGTATTGGTAACTTTTTAAAGAATATTGGAAAAATTACAAACACAAAGTTACTGTAAATATAACAGTCAAGAAAGCCTCTGTGGCCCAGTGGCGTAGCAGATTGGCAATATCTGGCTCTGAATTATCATAAGCATATAAGCTTAGTGTGCAAACTCAGGATGGTACCGGTGCTCCCTATTGAAGGTAATAATGTGGGTTAAAAGACCATTAAAGGCCCCCAGACCAATTCTAGTATGGACTAGGACACTAGCATTATTAACGCCATAGTGTTCTTTTAAGTAGCCTAAGGCATGCACAGTTAAAGGAACATTTCAATGCGCAAACACAATTTTTTTTTTTAGAAATGTCAGTTTGCATATAAGTTTTATAAAAAATAAAATGCTATTTAATAGATATACCTCCAATTAAAACATTTGTGCATTTAATAATGCTTTTTTTATTTAAGGTATATTGAAAAACAGCTAGCAAAAGCTTCAGGTCTCTTGTTTGAAGTCTTTGCAAGCCCTCCCCTTCTAAACCCTACCAGACTTTTTGTGACCGGCCAATCACAGACTTCCCAGTGCAGCTCAATGAGAAGTACTGCTCTTTGCAAGGCAGGAGTTGCCTGACTCTTGAGTTCAGCTCCACTGAGCTAAAGAACCAGCAAGTAACAGGACCAGTTGCCTTGACAGCTGAGGGGAGTGTAACTTGGTTCATTTATAAAAGTTCCAATTTCTGTTGAAATCTGTACTTTTTCTCAAAAGAAAATATGAAGACACTCTTACACATAAGCATTTCAGCAAGCTAAGTTGTAACGGCACCCCCAGGCATAAAAGGTTAAACCGCCGTTTAGTAGATCTTCCCCTTCCAGAGACACAGGCACAGCTACTGTAGACACAAATCCACCAAACCGGAGAAGCATATGAATGCTGTAAACAGCCGAATCGGAACCATACGAATGCTGTAAACAGCCGAATAGGAAAAACCATACGAAAGGTTTACACTCCTAGCAGTCGAACTGGAACAGCATACAATAAATTCCACCCAAGAACGAGACAAAGCTCCATGTTGAGGGTCAAGCAGTGAACAGTGATCTGTGAGTACTCCTCCGGACATCCCCAAGCCGATCCGTTGGGATCAGACTGTGTATGCCGGCTTGGTTCTGGGGGAATATTGTGGCAAAACTAGCCACTTATGACTGTATTTGCATAAATGTGTTTCTATAGCTTTAAGGTTGTTAGAACCAAGTGTATTCAGGTATCTGTATTTCAGGCGAGCAAGAGCATTCGTATGCTGGCGGCATGAAAGCAACCAGCATTCATACAGTAGTTTCACGAACAATGAATTTCAACACTGTTCGTGAAACGAATAAACTACCGAATGGGAGACCACACACAGGAGGTCGTGTCGCGCCCATTAACCTAGTTAAGTGCTTTCCTAGGTGGCCGTCATACGGCTACCGACCACACGGCGGTCGGCCATCTTGGATCCTTTGTTAGCCCAGCGGTATTTGGTCGTCGAGCGCCTGGAACTAAAACCGGCTACTTGACGGCACGAATGGACTTCCAGGCTGTTCGGGAGCCCCGGTAGTTTATTCCCCTACAATCAATCGGTATTTTAAAGGCAACTAGAAAATAATGTGTATTTTGTGCGGTGTTCGGTTAGTTATGCTGGGATCTGAGCGGTATTCTCACGAACTGTGCGCTCAGACCCCAGCTATCTACCGAATGTCCGTTCGTTTACATAGAGTGAATAATGTGAAAGTTATGTATTTTAATGTGAAATATTGGTTCTGCTGCACGGAGGGATAATCCACTTAACTGTATATTCTAGTGGGAGTATCCCCCTCGTCCAGCAGTGCATGATGGGAGAAATGTCCAGGTTGTTAAGTCCCCCATGTAGTCCCCTACTGTACAACCCCTGGAATGTCAGTAAGGAAACCCCTTTCATGGGGAATCCCATAAATACGGTGACCTGTGAATAAAACCTCAGTTGACTCCCAGCCTATGTGTCGTCTAGTTCTTGGGAGGGAAGGATTCTTACAACGCTACCGGGATTATTGTATGCTGTATTTATTTACCTGGATTATTTTATGCTGTTCCTGTTACCCAGCGGTGATACTGTGGATTATACTACCTCTCCGCTACATAAGTGCTTTAGGGTTTGGAGTGTCCCATTTAAGAAATGGATTAAATTATAATTTTGGGGGGGGAAAAACCACAAGTTACAGTTCATAGTGAAGTAACTTAATTTATAATAAATGTTAATGAAGATTACTATTGTGCATCACTAGAAAAGTGTTTTTTGTTCGTTTGTTTTGTTTTTTAATCTTTAAATAATTTAATGCTCTGGGCTTTCACCTTATTGCTGGAGAGAAAGCAGAGATCTGAATTGCTCTGTGTCACATAGAGAAGTAGACCAGGAGCTTCCTCAGGATAGTCTAACATATATATTGGCATACGTTGGACAGGAGACTCCATTCCGGGCACCAATTCCAATGTTTCTGTTACCACGGCAACTTTCAAAAATAAGATTAGGTTGCATGTATATATGCTTTGCTCATAACAGAAAAAAAGTGTTTTGTTTTTTTCTGATGTGTGTGCGCGCCTGTGATTGTTCGGTTAGGAGGCAAGTGTCAGCAAAAAAAAGTGTTCTGATCTCGCCACATGATCTATCATTGTATGATTCATCATGAATTAATTTAGTAGGCTTAGTATAGACTAGTATCTAAAACTGTCTGAACATGTATTAAAGGAAGACCTTTCACAAAAGGGCTCAAGCATTATGTAATTTTTAAAGAAATTTTAAATACGTGTTCGGGGGGGAATTTGATATTTTACACTTTACTTAAAATTTCTTGTATTACTCTTTTTTTTAAAATTACCTGTCTTCTCTCATTATTAATCTGAATTTCTAAACCATTGATTTATTTCACACTTGATACAGTACTGAATTACTGCAGCACATTATAGTGTCTATGGTGCTATAAGTCTTAAGGGGCATCCCGTTTGCTTTCCCCAGGTCCCATAGTTTAATCCCTTCTTCATCGAAATACACATCTGCCTAATCGGGTGGGGGTGCCTGCTGAATTTTGGCACTATAACCACTACAATGAGCTATAGTGTGGATAAGGTGCTTAGAACAGTGTTACAAACTGGTGAATCATATAGAGAGGGTTGTGTCTTCTCTATCTCTCTCTCTCTCTATCTATCTTCAAAGCAAACACAAAAGGCAATTTCTCTCAAATCAAAGCAAACACGAAGAAAGACAATTTCCTCCCATTTCCCCCTCTACTCATCAGCTTTTTGTTTTTTTGCTGCCATGTTTTACGTGTAACTGTCTTATTTTTTTGTATTGTGTGCCCGGTTTAATTTGTCCAATTACCTCTTGGTTGGCAAGGGGAAAACCGTGTCAAATTATATTGGTGGTATATTGATGATGGGTTCTTCAGAAATGTTTTTTTTTTTGTTTGTTTTTTTTTCCTTTTCCTTTGTTTTTTTTTTTCTTTGAGGAGTTGAGTTCAGATGGACTTTTTAAGGGTTGAAAGGGAGGGAGAGGGCTGGAATCTCCTTTTGCATGCTTTGAATACTTAGGCGAGTGATAAATACACCATGTGCTGAACTAGCATAACACTGGCAACTGTACGATAAGGGACTCTTAAAGAAAAAGTGTGAAATCTAGTGTAAAGACTGTTATCTGTGCAAGTCACACTTGGGCGAAATTGCGTAAACAGACAGTGGCTTTCTGGCCAGACTTTTCTGCTAGCGTATGTGAGAGGAGGGAATGTAAGGGATAACACCAATAATAATATGCCAAGTCACTGCTCACCATTGTTTTGTCTAAGTTATTGTTGCCGTCGACTAAGTTTTCAATTTCTATTTTGGTTGCCTGTGCAGTCGGCGTTGATGTTGCTGAATGCTTGATTGACGTACAAGGCTGCCATTTGGATATTGCATATTTGCAGTATAGTACGAAGGCTATACAAGCTTCTGATCATTGTCAAATAGTACATAGTGCAATTGTGGTTTTTACAATCTCCATGAAGGAGCTGCTCTATCCTGTGCACACCTCTCTGACCACAATAGTAATATGCTTCATGAGCAGTTTGTATCCTGTTCTCGTATCATGGTTGTGCACACTGTCAAACGCTGTGTGCGTGTTGCAGATGCATATTTTTTTTATTTAATCCCATATAGAACTATAAACTTTCATTTCTCCTTTTGAAACTTTTTATTTTCATTTTTTTTTTTTTAATTTGCAGTATTTACGGTTGTCTGTAAACTCTAACTGAGCTGAAATTTTTTTATTTTTTTTTTCGTTTTTTGTTTTATCGGACTGGTAATAGAGGAGTAAAGCGGCACACACTCAAATGGTGACGTTAGAGAGGAAAAGGCACACTCACATACTGGTATACAGCAGGGTACACTAGGAGTGCACACAGAAAAAGATCTTCTCACTTGCAAAGACTGAAAAAGATAGATTCAGTCCTTGTCTGATTTCAAATCTGTAATTTTACTTGCCTCCAGACTTCTACTTCAGCTGGTGTTGAACTACGTCATCCCTTGGCAACACCACTTACGTCATGCTTGTGCACTTTAAAGAAAGCATAAACCTTGTGTAAAAGCGTAACCATACTGGGCAAGATTTCCTCTATCCCAAGTCCGTTCCCCTTTTCTAATCTCCATGCCGGGCGGCAGTCATTGATGGATCCATTCTGAAATGACCTACCTCAAATCTGCACTCTCTTTCCAAAAACTACATATTGTTATAGTTACGTATCAGTCCTTAAATTCGTTTATCCCTGTTTTTTCCCATCTTTCCCATTCATCTGCAAATGAATTTCTAGATGATGGAGAGTCCGCTCACACATGGACCTAATGTAACCTAGTTTATCTTGTTTTGTTATCTTGTCAGGGGTTGACCCACGAGGAACCGTCACACAATTTATGATCATTGCTTGAATCAATAACATGTTCCTTATCAGTAAAGTTTGCAGGACCACTCCTTTTTCTGAAAACTCGTTTATGCTTCTACTGATCCTGCCAAAGTAATAATTGGATAACTAGAAATAAATCACTATGGCAATTAATTATGGACTTTGATACATTCGACGGTATTAGGTGGAGCTTGCTTGGCATTCCCTAAATCTATGATGTGAGAGCTATAAATTATTTTAAAAAAATTAAAATGTTGTGTCTTGGCAGGTTTTGAATGAAGAATGTGACCAGAACTGGTACAAAGCTGAGCTCAATGGAAAGGATGGATTTATTCCTAAAAACTACATAGAGATGAAGCCACATCCGTAAGTATCAGCTCTACAATGGAACATCCAAAATCTGTATTATACACTCCTCTACTTCATTTTCTCTTTCTAATGTCTCCATTTGTTGGTTCTACGTTTTAAGATTAGCATTCTACCGATTGCTTCCACTTTGTGTCTACTACCTTTTCCTCTACTTTGGATTTTAATCCTTATTCTGTTCATCCTATTTTCCTCATCCCCTTGCTGTGAACCAGTGCCTGTCTTTGGAGTTTTCTATCGTATTTATTCCATTAAATAGTTCTGATGTATTTATTATTGTGTTGGTGGCACAGCTTGTGAGCAGACCCTGTGCGTAAACGCACAATCCCATCACTTTTCAGTCATTTGTCTTGTCCTCATTAATGACAGAACAAGCCCAAGAAAGGCTGTTTGAAGCAGCAATCAGACCCCTACCTGGCAAGGAAAGTGCTCCACCTATCACATGTGATAGTATCCCATAAATCTCTGTCCCACAGGATTTTCTAGAATAATTATTGTATCCCCCACCTGCAGTTCCACTCATCACACTGGATGATTTTAACTGCTCAGTAAACTGATAATAGCCATATTATACTGCCCGGCTAACCGTTCAGTGATCTGGGCTTTGTGCAGTGTGCGTGCGTCTGTCTGTCTGTTGAGAGCCATCCTTCCTAATGGTTGGACAAAGGTGACCAATCAAAGGAAGTAGTGAAAACAACAACTTTGTTTGTTGTTATAAGTCGCTCTGTCCAATGATAATAGAGAAAATCAGGCAATAGTTCTTTTCAGAAGAGTGAAATTCTAAACAGATCAGTCACAACATTAAAACCACCTGCCTAATATCACGTAGGTTCCCTATCAAAACAGCTCTGATGCATTGAGGCATGGACTCCACAAGACCTCTGAATGTGTCCTGTGGTATCTGGTACAGCAGATCCTTTAAGTCCTGCATGTTGTGAGGTGGGGCGTCAATAGATTGAATTTGCTGTTCCAGCACATCCCACAGATGCTCAATCGGATTGAGATCTGGAAATTTGGAAGCTTAGGTAACATTTTGAACTCTTTTTTTCAAACCATTCCTGAATAATTTTTGCAGTGTGACAGGGTGCATTATCCTGCTGAAAGAGGCCACTCCCATTAGGTAACACAGTCGCCATGAAGGGATGCATGTTGTCTGCAGCAATCTCTAGGTAGGTGGTACGTGTCAAAGTAACATCCACTTGTATGCCAAGACCCAAGATTTCCTAGCAGAACATTGCCCAGAGCATAACACTGCCTCTGCTGGCCTACCTTCTGCCCCTAGTGCATTCTGCTGCCATCGCCAGGTAAATAACACACACGCACCCGGCCATCCACCTGATCTAAAAGAAAACACAATTCATCAGACCACGAAACCTTCTTCTATTGCTCTATGGTCCAGTTTTGATGCTCACATTCCCATTGACGGCGCTTTCAGTGGTAAATGGGTCATCGTGGGCACTCCGATCGGTCTGCAGCAATGCACCCCCAGACGCTGCAAACTGCATTGCACTGTGTGTTCTTACACCTTCTGCCATGGCCAGCATTAAGCGTTTTAGCAATCTGAGCTACAGTAGCTCTTCTGTGTGATCAGACCAGACGGGCTAGCCTTTGTTTCTCACGTGCACCAATGAGCCTTGGGCGCCCATGACCAAAACCAAGATTAGCATATCCACAGACTGGAATTGTACTGTCCAAGTGCTTATACCTGGTGCTGATTACAAGCGCCAGAAGATTGTAAGTGCATTTCCTTACTTTGATTTATAATCACCAGCATCAACAATACTACACCATATTCAGTTTTATTTGTCCTCTTGTTTTGCATATCGCTCCATCTTTATTTAAGTTGAGGATATTTGTGAAGGCTCTGCTTCCCTGCATTCCCTTTCTATATCTACCAATGGCCTGAAGTAAGAGACTCTGGTTTGGGAAGTCCGATCTGCCACACAGACATTGAACAAGTGCTAGAAATGCAATGTTTTTATTTACTAACCACTGCAAACCAGGAACACCCATCGAGACTTTGCCGTTTTGGAGTTGCTCTGGGACAAAAGTCAGTCAGATTGCTAGCCCATTTTTCCTGCTTCCAACACATAAAATTCAAGAACTGTCTGTTCACTTGCTGCCTAATATATCCCACCCCTTGACAGATGCCATTGTAAGAATATAATCTGTGTTATCACTTCACCTGTCAGTGGTTTTAATGTTGTGACTGATCATTGTATATGTCAAAATGGATATATAAAGCGATTTTGTTTTGTACAAATACAAAAGTTCAGTTCTTTTTATAATGAACTAGTTAACAGTGATCCTATTTTAGTTGTTACAGATCTGTGTTAACTACACTTTCTTTTGTGTCTTGCTTTTTCCTTTTCCTGATATCTTACTGCCACAGGTGGTTTTTTGGAAAGATACCACGTGCCAAAGCAGAGGAGATGCTCGGTAAACAGAGACATGATGGTGCCTTTTTAATCCGGGAAAGTGAAAGTGCGCCTGGGGACTTCTCGCTATCTGTCAAGTGAGTTCTGGCCGGAATGTTTTTCTAATCTCCATGCTTATTCTCCACCACTGGTGGATACAATATTATCTCTTACTGAGAGCTAAGTGGCAGAAATTGCTGATGGGTAATGAAACGTGCATAGCTTGTTAGGCCCAAGTGAAACTTCTTCTTACTCTCTCATAGATTCGGTAATGATGTACAGCACTTCAAAGTTCTGAGAGATGGGGCAGGAAAGTACTTCCTATGGGTTGTAAAGTTCAACTCGCTGAATGAGTTAGTGGATTACCATCGGTCTACATCTGTATCCCGGAACCAGCAGATCTTCTTGCGTGACATCGAGCAGGTGCCACAGGTACACGGGGGAGAAAGAGCAACGAATTTACCACAGGTATATAGAGGGGTGGGACAGCAGGAGAGCCCTGTATCTGTAATTCAAGACTTTTTTTTTCAAATTTCCCTCATCTATACTGTAACCTAATAATTTACAGATTCTCTGAAAGAAGGTTTTATCACCATCTTATCTTTCTGTTTGCTTATACATAATATTCTTTATGGCTTGTATGTACCTTCCAGCCACTCGGTGGCATTATACTATGCGTATGTGCACTGTATAGGCAACACTGCTGTGATTCAGATAATTTTTAGTAGATTAAAAACAACTAACTGATCTCTGAACTTTTGTTTTCCCAGCAACCTACGTTTGTGCAGGCACTGTTTGACTTTGACCCCCAAGAAGATGGGGAACTTGGATTTCGACGAGGAGACTTCATCCAGGTGGTGGACAACTCAGATCCAAACTGGTGGAAGGGAACGTGCCATGGGCAGACCGGCATGTTCCCACGCAATTATGTGACACCTGTCAACCGTAACCTGTAACTAGAGCCTGCGAGGGACTGGCAGCCAAGGAGGAGCACAGGCAGACTGACCCGGGAGAGTGTATGGACTGATTTTTTTGGAGACCAGGGTGGTGTTCAGTATGAATTGATATAGAGAAGTATGGACTGTTTAACTGACCATGTGAGCAAAGACGTATTATTGACAAACAGGACCACCAGAGGACAGGGTTAGGGTGGACATATTGACATGTAGATGCACTAACAGACTGGTTGGATAACAAAGTCAGACCCCAGATTTGTCAAAGAGAGGTTAGGCGGGTTGGCTCTATCACAGGTAATTAGTTTGCTAGTTTTGTTAAGTTACTGACCAATTCAACTGCAGCATGACATATGGGGAGGGAGACTTATAGACTTATATGCAAACTTGTAGACTGACCTGCAGAAACAGCTGTGAACACCCCCTGGTCCATATTATGACGAGGCCTCCCAGGAGTCTGGCTGTGCTTAATGCATTTGCTTCATCTTTTTGAGGGGAAGGGAAGAACCTTTGGCTCCGAATGGAACTTTATATTGGGGTGGGAAGGGTTGAGGTTCTGGCAGGCTCAGTGGGGGGTGGGGGGGAGAAATTATGGATGTTTTGATTTAGAATGCCAAAACTTACCTTTAAATTAAAAACCCAAAACAAGAGACTTTTTTTAATTAACAAATTCCCTTCACTGCTGCTGTTCCTTCCCCAATTTTAGCTCCTGCTTCACTCCTCTTCTGTCGTATCATGCATGTGTGTTAGCAACGCACTGAATACAAAACGCACCTGTAAAATAAAATGTGCAGAATTGAGAGCTGCCATTTTCAGTCATTTTCTCTCTATGCAATTCTGGGGCTACTGGCATTCATGCAGAGAGCAGATTAGTAAATGCCACCGCTTCTCGGGACAGATCCAAGGATTTGCTCAACTTGAACGAGGAAGCTTGAGCGTAAGTCAGATGGCTGCCATGCCTGGTCATCATTTTCGCTGTTCAGCTGATCCGCACCAGCTAGCATTATTTATACAATATGATAATCTTCAACATCTCCACTGAAAGGGGTAGCATGTTATACCTAATCTGAGCAAACATCGGTAGATCACGTCTGTTGTAGAGGTACTAGAAGCAAAGTCTACATTTCTGAAATTGTTAGAAGAGAAATGACACTGCTAATCTTGAGAAAGTACATTATAAGGGTCTAAAATTAAAATAATTTAAGTGTACTCTGACACTGAAGGGGTTAAACATTTTTTTTTTCCTTCTTCCTCTTCCTTAAAGACTTACCTGACTATTAAGTCCTGCACGAGACGGGAAAACTTGTCTAACCTACCTAGTTTGCTCAGACTTATTTTTTACGTCCTGTGTCTCTTTTTAACCCTTAATCTTCAGTGGAGGTGAGTTCTGTTCAAAGCTAATGATCCAGGGCAGATCTTTTATCCTTTAGACCACAGCAAAGTACAAATTCTGCCACTATACAGTATCGCTTCGAAGTATTTCACTTGTCAAGATTCTTTCTAAACACTTTGGAATGTTTTGCTTGGGAAAAAAGTATTACTATGTCCTCTGTACAGCTTTCAGCCTTATATTTGCATAATTGGAGCTCGACCATTTTGCAGTATGTATTTAACCTCTTCAGAGACCTATTGACTTTAGACAGGAGTCTAGGCCTTTAAGGTTTAGTTATTCAGTGCTGTTCATGTTATGGATTTATGCTGAGAAAAAAAAAAAAAAGGTTTGGTTCCCTAATTTTTCACATTTTGAAAGGGGTTCCTTGCAATGGTAACACATTTCCCGCAGTGTAACAGCACCGGCATATGCTCTGTTTCTGCTCCTTTTTGCCCCTCTGTGTCTCGGTTCATCTATGTCCACTTCCTTCAGGTCTATGTGAATGGGCTAGGAACGCACTGGGACCATATGATTGTGTAATTGAGGGTTTGTGTATATCCTGCAACCTTGCAGATCGATAACTTGTGTGTGTATATAAAAAAAATCAAATCAGTGTTTAAATAATTAAGAACAGCTTCTGTATTTAATCTTCCAATACAGCATTTGCTAGATAGATAATAACTGTGAATAATAAAAATCATGTGTATTCTTCACTTGACTTTTAGTGACCTCATTTCATTTGTACGTTACAATGATCGCCCTGCAAAGCATTTTGTGTTCCCAAAGATTAGAACATTCTGTTAAAATAATATGATTTACGTGACAATTTCCTGCCTGTTGATGTAGGATTCTGTGTGGTGTATTATATTAAAGCGACACTGTCACGTCAAACGTAACTTTATCGTATTGTTTCCTCTTCTAATCCTATGTCAGAATCTGTTCTTCTTTTCTTTATTTCTGATCTATGTTCCTTTTTTTTTTTAATATAATACAACGTAAGGACTACTTTGTCTTATGTATTTTTCCTACACTTGACTCTTTGACCATTTCCTGTGTCAAGAAGAAGGGCGAGTACTTTCTCTGACACAGGAAATGGAGCAGACTTAAGCTCCTCCTTTGGTCAAAAAAGTAAAGTGTAGCAAAAATACATAAGATAAAGTAGTTCCCTACGTTATCTTATGTTTTAAAGAAAACTAGAACAGAATTAAAGAAAAGAAGAGCAGATTCTGAGAGATGAAGACAAGGGGAAACGATGGGGGAAAGGTAAATTCAGCGTGACAGTGCTGCTTTAAAACTCAAACCATAGATCCATTACTTGTTATGGTAGTTAATCCGACAGGCTACTGTAGTGTTTTACTGATGGGTATATACGTAAGCCATCAAAGGGAATTGATTGATTGCATGCTTAGGTTGCACATGGGATGGGTACAGTGTTTAGGCTATGTAAAGGGGACTTAAAGGCTTTACCCACTCGCATGTGATATACACTGCTCAAATAAAATAGAGGGAACACAAAAATAACATCCTAGATCTGAATGAATTAAATATTCTTCGGAAATATTTTTGTTCTTTACATAGTTGAATGTGCTGATAACAAAATCACACAAAAATAAAAAAATGGAAATCAAATTTATCAACCCATGGAGGTCTGGATTTGGAGTCACACTCAAAATGAAAGTGGAAAAATAGACTACAGGCTGATCCAACTTTGATGTAATGTCCTTAAAACAAGTCAAAATGAGGCTCAGTAGTGTGTGTGGCCTCCACGTGCCTGTATGACCTCCCCACAATGTCTGTGAATGCTCCTGATGAGGTGGCGGATGGTCTCCTGAGGGATCTCCTCCCAGACCTGGACTAAAGCATCTGCCAACTCCTGTACAGTCTGTGGTGCAACGTGACGTTGGTGGATGGAGCGAAACATGATGTCCCAGATGTGCTCAATTGGATTCAGGTCTGGGGAACGGGCAGGCCAGTCCATAGCATCAATGCCTTCGTCTTGCAGGAACTGCTGACACACTCCAGCCACATGAGGTCTAGCATTGTCTTGCATTAGGAGGAACCCAGGGCCAACCGCACCAGCATATGGTCTCACAAGGGGTCTGAGGATCTCATGTTGGTACCTAATGGCAGTCAGGTTACCTCTGGTGAGCACATGGAGGGCTGTGCAGTCCCCCAAAGAATTGCCACCCCACACCATTACTGACCCACTGCCAAACCGGTCATGCTGGAGGATGTTGCAGGCAGCAGAACGTTCTCCACGGTGTCTCCAGACTCTGTCACGTGTTCAGTGTGAACCTGCTTTCATCTGTGAAGAGCACAGGGCGCCAGTGGCGAATCTGACAATCTTGGTGTTCTCTGGCAAATGCCAAACGTCCTGCACGGTGTTGGGCTGTAAGCACAACCCCCACCTGTGGAAGTTGGGCCCTCATACCACCCTCATGAAGTCTGTTTCTGACCGTTTGCGCAGACACATGCACATTTGTGGCGTGCTGGAGGTCATTTTGCAGGGCCCTGGCAGTGCTCCTCCTGTTCCTCCTTGCACAAAGCCAGGGGGGTAGCGGTCCTGCTGCTGGGTTGTTGCCCTCCTACAGCCTCCTCCACGTCTCCTGATGTACTGGCCTGTCTCCTGGTAGCGCCTCCATGCTCTGGACACTATGCTGACAGACACAGCAAACCTTCTTGCCACAGCTCACATTGATGTGCCGTCCTGGGTGAGCTGCACTACCTGAGCCACTTGTGTGGGTTGTGGACTCCGTCTCATGCTCCCACTAGAGTGAAAGCACCGCCAGCATTCAAAAGTGACCAAAACATCAGCCAGGAAGCACAGGAACTGAGAAGTGGTCTGTGGTCCCCACCTACAGAACCACTCCTTTATTGTGGGTGTCTTGCTAATTGCCTATAATTTCCACCTGTTGTCTTTCCCATTTGCACAACAGCATGTGAAATTGATTGTCACTCAGTGTTGCTTCCTAAGTGGACAGTTTGATTTCACAGAAGTGTGATTGACTTGGAGTTACATTGTGCTGTTTAAGTGTTCCCTTTTTTTTTGAGCAGTATATTTTAACCTGTTTTTACCTGTAAGCTCTGCTCGTAGGACTAACGGGTTTATTCTCTAATACAATTAATTAATAAAGTAACAAGATGATGCTAATATAGCCAAGTCCGAATCATTCTTTAACGCCTTTAACCCCTTAAGGACCGAGGACGGTTCAGGACCGTCATCGGCATTTTTCCCTTGCCGACCGATGACGGTCCTGAACCGTCCTAACGGTCAGAGCTACTTACCTGATCGCCGTCGTTCCCCCGGCGGCGATCAGCGTGGCTCCGGTTGTGGGGAGACCGCCTGCAGCCCAGACAGTCTCCCCACACTGATTTAGGACCCCTGTGGCCATGTGATCGCTTAACACAGCGATCACATGGTCACAATAGGTGTCCATAGTGCTGCCTGCAGGGGGACTGTCTGTGCTGACAGGCAGTCTCCCTGCTAGTGTAAAATCAGTAAAAAAAATAAAGTTAATGTTAATAAAAAATAAATAAATAATTATATAGGTGTATATATGATATATAGACATATATTATATCTATATAATATATGTCTATATATCATATATATATAATGTCATACTAAGTGTATTTTTATATTAATATGTACTTATATTAATATAAAAATGCACTTATAATTAAATTACACACGTATATATATAATATATATAATAACTATATATATTGTGTATATATATATTATTATAAAATATAAATAATAAGTAATTTAAAGTAAATAAAATATTTTTAAAATAATAATAAAAATTTTTAAAAAAATTATATAGCTATATGAAATTTTATTCTAACTGTATTTTAAAATTAATATATATATATTTATATCAAAATACACTTAGAATGAATTTGTATATATATCTATGTATATAAAAATAAATAAAAATAATAAGAAATATACATACGCCCATATACAAAATTACATAAATAATTATAATATATACACGTAGACTTCAAATATATAAATATGCATATATATTTAAATTCTACGTATGTATTTATGTAATATTTTTACATAATTCAGTAATTTTATTGATTGCAATTTGAGGGACCTGCCTGCCAACCCAGGCCGAAATTCCAGAGAATTTAATTTGCTAGCACTGTATTTTACCCTGTAACGTTCTACCCTAAAACCTGTACATGGGGGGTACTGTTTTACTCGGGAGACTTCGCTGAACACAAATATTAGTGATTCAAAACAGTAAAACATATCACAGTGATGATATTGTCAGTGAAAGTTACTTTTTTTGCATTTTTCACACACAAACAGCACTTTTACTGATGATATAATTGTTGTGATACGTTTTCCAGTTTTTAAACACTAATATTTGTGTTCAGCGATGTCTCCCGAGTAAAACAGTACCCCCCATGTACAGGTTTTATAGCATTTTTGAAAGTTACAAGGTCAAATATATGGGTCAAATATTTTTACATTGAAATGGCCAGGTTGGTTACGTTGCCTTTGAGAGCGTATGGTAGCCCAGGAATGAGAATTACCCCCATGATGGCATACCATTTGCAAAAGAAGACAACCCAAGGTATTGCAAATGGGGTATGTCCAGTCTTTTTAGTAACCACTTGGTCACAAACACTGGCCAAAATTAGCGGTTTTTACTTTTTTCACACACAAACAAATATGAATGCTTACTTTGGCCAGTGTTTTCACTAAGTGGCTACTAAAAAAGACTGGACATACCCCATATTGAATACCCTGGGTTGTCTACTTTAAAAAAAATATGTACATGTGGGGTGTTATTCAGCGATTTATGACAGATAATAGTGTTACAATGTCACTATTGATAAATTTTAAAAATGTATGTTTTGAAACCGCAATATCCTACTTGTACCTATAGCCCTATAACATGCAAAAAGCAAAAAGCACGTAAACACTAGGTATTTTTAAACTCAGGACAAAATTTTGAATCTATTTAGCAGTTTTTTCATTCGCTTTTGTAGATGAGTAAAAGATTTTTCAAGTAAAAGTCAAAAACATGTATTTTTTCAATTTTTCATCAGATTTTTGTATTTTTTTAAAATTAAAATACATGAGATTATATAAATAATGGTATGTAAAGAAAGCCCCTTTTTGTCCTGAAAAAAACAATATATAATTTGTATGGGAACAGTAAATGAGAAAGCGAAAAATTACAGCCAAACACAAACACCACAAAAGTGTAAAAATATGCCTGGTCGCAAATGTACAACATCGCAAAAACAGTCCAGTCCTTAAGGGGTTAAACTCTGCACTTTTGGACGAATTTTAGCAATGTCCTTGTCAGTTTGCCATAATTTATTGTCCATTGGCAAATTAAAATCCAATCCAGATTGCAAAATTGTGGTTGGAATAACCAAGCTGGGACCATAGTGAAGTTCGAGAACATCCCCTGAACATCTATCTTTACGTGTTTTTCTATTCAGATTTTTTCGGTACTATCCAGAGGTTAGCATTTTTTTTTTCAGTGCTGCTATGGTCTATTGGCATAGCAACCTTTGGCCCTCCAGGTGTTTTGGACTATACCTACCATGATGCTTTGCCAGCATTATGGGTGTAAGAGCATTATGGGGGATGTAGTCCACAACATCTGGAGTGCCAAAGGTTGCCTATCCCACTCTATAAATATATGTATTCATGTCAGCTTGTTTTCATTTTGAAGGTATCAAAACCGTAACATTTTGAACACCTGTTTCTGACTTTATTTTTTGGGGGATATTTTTATTTTATTCTAAAGCAGTCTAGAATTGTGTCCAAGCTATTAGGGTTACAAACTATTTTCTCATGAGAAACATGAAATAAAAACGAGCAGAACACAGATTGAGGGCTTTGCTTTTGCAAGCCTACAATAAAGCTGGAGTCGGTCTTGATAGGTTTGGAAGATACTAAAACTCATGGACCGATCCAATTGTGAGGGAGAGTTGG